GGAAACCAGGAAACCAGGAAACCAGGAAACCAGGAAACCAGGAAACCAGGAAACCAGGAAACCAGGAAACCAGGAAACCAGGAAACCAGGAAACCATGAAACCAGGAAACCATGAAACCAAGAAAGGAAACCAGGAAACCCGGAAACCAGGAACGAAACCAGGAAACCACGAAAAAACCATGAAACCACGAAACCAGGAAACCGCGAAGCAATGGAATTGAATTTCGGGGAAAGGGCATAAAATCAAAAATTTTAGGATCTTAGCCAACGCCTCAAACTCGCGAGGCCCAATCTCAAAACGACGACAAAACGTGGAAAATTTTCGAAATTTGAAAACGCGAATCCAAGGCATTAAATTTCAGAGAAAGGGCTTAAAATCAAAAACTTTGGGATCTTAGCCTTTCAAAGTCAAGAGATTCACGCCCAAAATGACGAAAAAGGTGGAAAACTTTCGAAACTTGAAAAACATGGAGCCAAAAGATTGAACCTCAGGGGAAAGGGCTTAAAATCAAAAAGTTTGGGATCTCAACGCTTCAAACTCACGAGGCTCAAACTCAAAACGGCGACAAAATGTGGAAAATTTTCGAAATTTGAAAAATGCGAAGCCAAGGCATTAAATTTCAGGGAAAGCGCTTAAAGTCAAAAGCTTTGGGATCTTAGCGCTTCAAACTCACGGGATTCACTCCCAAAACGACGAAAAACGTGGAAAATTGTCGAAATTGGAAAAACGCAAAGCCAAGAGATTGAATCCCAGGGAAAGGGCTTAAAGTCGAAAACTTTGGGACTTTAGCACTTCAAACGCACCGAATTCAACCCCAAAACGACGACAAAATGTGGAAAATTTTCGAAATTTGAAAAATCACGCAAATCCAAGAGGCTGAACCCCAGGGAAAGGGCTGAACGTCAAACGCTTTAGGACTTTAGCGCTTCAAGCGCACAAAATTCAATCCCAAAACGACAACAAAACGTGGAGAATTTTTGAAATTTGAAGAATGCAAATCCAAGAAGTTGAATTCCAGTGAGTCAAAAAGTTTTGGGATCTTAGCACTTGACTCCAAACGCAAGAGATCCAATTCGCAAACGATGGCAAAACGTGGAAAATTTTCGAAATTTGAAAACGCTGATCGCTTACGTCTTTGCCTTGCTTAGTTTCTTATTTTGGGGGGGAGGGGGATCCTAGTGGGAGGGATGTTATCGGACGCTCCAAGCTAGTATCTATGTATAACTTCTTTTCAAAATATTACGCGATGCAGCCAAAATTTGGTACTTATAATGACATGTCTTTCTGTAATTCCAGATCGTTGGCGAGCGTTGTAGTTGTAGTTGTTGATTTCTTCTTTCGCATCAGAATGATATCCATAGCTGTCGTTTTCGTCGAGTAAGCGCAGCTGTCAACTACAACTTTCACCTCCTTCTTGAACAATGCACTTCACTTTTCAGATCAAAACCATTCAAGATCGTTTTATTTTTATAAAGCGAGTATTTCCATCACACGATGAAAGGAGTCGAGAAATCGTCCATCGTCATAGTCTCAACAAAAGAAATTGATGTTCAAATTCTTTTAGAATTAGGTTACACGAACTTGTGAAGAGATGGGAATCGGTTCGTCCCTGCATAAGCAAGAACTATCAGATTAGATTCATCCTGGACCAGGAACAAACTCGACCTTGTACAAATAATACAGTCACTCTGGCTTGACTTATGAAGACGTAGGCACTGAAGATAGGTGGTCGTCAGTATAAGTAATAATTCGCTTTCAGTTTTTCGACATTCTTTATTCACGTCTCATTTTCATTGCCATTGGGTCGTTAAAGCATGTGATGATGTTGATATAAATATGTAGTCACAACTTCAACTTCTCCTGGATATTGTATATAATTCACAGGTGGTCTAGGGACACAGTAGATGTGACTGGCGTCATTACATACGAGTCTCGTCAACTCGCACCAGTAAGAGATCAGCTTCATTTGTTGGTGATGCTCTATGAAACATTTTGATTCTTTGCATGGTAGAAGAGAGAAATTGACGCATGAAGAAAATACCAGTAGGATAAAATTGACGTATCACAACGACAACATCGAAACCGATGACACAGATAAGACGACTACGCACCGGTCTAGTCTAATTAAATATCTCGAACCGGAAACGTCTACAATGCGCTCCAGTTTGTTTTTACGCCGGAACCTATTGGAGCAGCCAAGTAGTTAAGGGCCCATACGCTCATACGAGATAATCAAAGTGCTTGAGAAATAGGCTACTTATCCACCACATGAAGGCTGCAAGTCACTTATTAACTGCCACGACATAGTTTGGCTTGTACAAATGCCCGCAAAAAATATTCTTCATTCAACATATCAGGTGTCAGTATCACCAAGATCAACACACGCATCGACGGTCTACTGCATAAAGTTTAAGATGCTGCTAAAAAACCAAGATGAAGTTATAAGTACTAATTTATTAATCGATTTTAACACGATTTTGACTGCTAGACATAAACATGAGGCACAATGATCGAAACATAGAAGAAAGACAAAACAAAAAGGGAGGAAAGGAATTGCTGCACCTACACACAAACTTGCAAATAAGTAAGTAGAAAGAGTAACAGATGCCTTCTTGATTCTTCATCGCGAAACACGAATCAATTCTCATGGCTCTCATCTCCTCCGCTAGAAGTAGCGACAGAATCCACGACAATAACACCAGAAAAGAGCAAGCGCGTCCCTTCTTGGCGATCATCATCATCATCATCATAATCAAGAACATCATCTTCATCATCATGAAGAACACCGTTCTCAACGTGCTTTATTGTTCACTGTTCGAAAGTGGGCTGCTATTCTGATTTCCGGTAGTAACAAGAACATTACGTATCTGGTGCGTCAAATTCCGAAACGCTCAAACTCTAGAAATAACAGGGTGTATTCAGATCATTCGCTTCCTCATCTTCTACTAGAATAGTATCAAGGTGATGTAGCTACTATCGCAAATATCAAATTGACACTCAGACTTTGGAAGATTCTCATTTTGAAGCGTAGTCGAGTTCTGAATACGAAAAATCTATGAGTGGATGGACCCAGTATAGGCTTGAGCAAGTGCCAGAGTCAGATTCTTTCGAACTACCAATAACATTGCCGTAGAATACAACGCTGTACTTTCGTCTCTTCGAAGCCAAACAAGAACCTACTGTCTATCATAGAAACTAACGAGATCACGTCGAATAAGAAGGCTGTCGAAGAAAGTTAAAGTTCAAGTTTAAAGTGTCTATATTCATAATATGCTGTGGCTGGATCTGTACGTGGTAAGTCATGAAAGTTATGTCACTCTTCATAATTCTATATGCTTTTTTCTCTTCCGCGGTGACTCTCTTTCTCACTGTTCGCCAACATGTTGACTACAGTGCCTGCAAAACCATGACTATGCTGAAGGAGAAGCTGAGCAACAGACTTGATGCCAACTCTTTCGTCGCGAATGCGTCTGACGACATAGCACCAGCCGCAGACTGCATGACCCCAGTCGCCTTTGTGTGTTTGCAGTAGGGCACACCAGGAAAGCCGGGCTTGCCGTTGGTGTCAACGTTCAGGACGTACACGTACATCCCGGTAGGAAACTCCGGCGTCTTCGTCCACCGCCCGCCGCACTCGTCCACTTTCCCGGTATTTGTGTCCGTAGTAGCGTCAAAGGCCCAGTTGCTCGCCACCGCGCGCTGTGCATCCGTGGTGCAGGCTGTGCCACTGACTGTACACCTATACCCGCTATCAACCCGCACGACGGTGGATGAAGCGTCCTTTCCGTCGGTATAGCCATACGGCCCGTAGATCGGGAATCCGTCGAACGCCCATCCGTAAATCTGGGAGTGCGGGATCGCACTGCCGGTCAACGTCCCAGACTCGCCGTGTAGACAGGGCGAAAAGCCGTGGTAGTGGTACCGATTGTTGGCGGGGTGCCCGCCGCACGTGTCCAACGTCTCATCGTACGGCGCGAGCGTTCCGACGCCTGTGTACGGACTGAAAATCACGACGCCGTCCACCGCCCAACCGACCATGTTTGTGATGATCTCCCGTGACTTCGTCGACGGCTCCTTGGAGAATGCTTGGGTGTAAGTCGTCCCTCCAAACGTCGTGCCAATCATCGGAGGGGTATTGTGCAATCCCGCGGCGGAGCAGTAGTCTTCCATATCTTTCGCGGAAATCCCCTGCGCACCGAGCGTGTAGTCACTCGTCCCGGTTGTGAACGTGATGCCGCTATAAGTCTTTGCTTCTGCCGTTTGGCTCGCGCCGGCGCCACTTGTACAAAATGTTGCCGCGACCGCCTGATTGGTGCCGACATTGCTGCTCCACCAGGAGCCGTAGTAATTCGTCGTACTGTTGATCAAAACGCCGGAATTGTGGGTTGTGAAACCGGAAAGCGAAGCGAGGACCTGCGCATCGCTTATGGTATAGTCGGCGCAGAAGCCCGTCGGTGGCGCAGTGCAATTCACGTAGTCGCCCCACATGGTTACGTGCGCATTCTGAGAACTGGCGCCGCGCGCATTGCCCCCTGGCTTTGGCGGAGGCTGGGTGTAGGCCGCCGGAGCGAAGACGGTGAGAGAGAGAGCAGCGAGCCGAAACATTGTCTCGGTTTGAAGATCTTAGTTTCCAGAAAAGGAGAAGCCTTTTGTTTGTCTTTGATCGGAGCCTGACGGGTGGGGCTACACCGTGGATCACAGAACTTGCTCCAAAACTTTCGACATTTTTCCCCGTTACTGCACACCTCACTGCTTCCAGATGATTGAGGAGTCACATTATCTTTCTCGACCCAAAACAAGTAAGTACTTCCAGCGCTCGGGTGACTCTGCGGGGCATGAACTTAAAGTTGAACAGAACCGGAGATCGTGAATATCGTATGAAGTCCTAACCTTTCGCTTTCGCACGCATCACTTTATCTTCTGCGTATTTCCTAATCTGTCCTAAGAACCTTTTTTCGTGTTCGTCTCTCTGGAACAATCTGAGTATCTACGTACAGGTTCTCATGTATAGAGTTTTTAGAAGACAGTAGAATAATGGATGATCTGCAGCTTTAAAAAAATCCATTTACTGACCTGCGCCTACTTACGATAGCAGACGGAAGCGTCAGTACGATTGCACACGTGAAGATCCTTTTCCGCAATTTCAATGAAGCCCATAATTGCCTATAAATCATATTGTCGCGGCGCACGCCCAGCAGCCGGATGCTTCTTGAAGTCCTGCAGCAGATTGAGGACTCCGGTCAGGCCCTGGTTTTTCTGTAGCCAGCCGCGAAAGAAACTCCACTGAAACGTTCGATAGCTCGCGAGTGCGTGAATGGCCAGTTTGGGACCCCATTTCTCCCAGTTGTCTTCTATCCGCTTGCCGCCTTCCTGCAGATCGGCGCGTTCGAACGCCAACATCACGTCCTGCGAAAAGGTGCCCGCCATCATCATCTGCATGCCCTTCTCCTCGTACGGATTCATCTTTCTCAATTTTGTTTGTGTTATTTCGCATTTGCGTGGCTTAGACTTAATTAATAGTAGAATAGTTATCATCTATATAGTTGATCACACCGGCTGGCGCGCGACTGCGACTGCCAACTAAGTACCGTAAAAAAAGGCATAAAAACAAGGAAAGCGCACTCCAGCAAGAAGGAGCCTTTTTTCTCGAAAATGGATGATGCTCATCCTGGTCAGGTCTACCTTTGATCTCCATGTCCATGTCTTAACGAAGTGATCATCGCTTCCGATCTTCGTTGCGGATCTAGGGTTGTTGAAAGCAGCTTGAATATCGTCCATTATTTTGAAGTGTAGTACGCTATATTTCGTAGTGGTCTTCTCTGATACCTCGTTGATCTGCATGCCACCTGACCCGGCCATGGAGCATCGCATTATTGTCTAGCTTTAGCGGATGCGGATCCTTTCGATCCTCTCCTGATTCGTGTCTATCGGATGCGGATCCCTCTTCTTCTGATCTGCGCAATTCCGGTACAATTTGCATTTGCTTCGTTTCGATAGCAAATAAATCGTTCCATGTCGTCCTCCTCGTTTTTCCCACACTGCTGCAATCTGTGCAACGCGTACCAAAGCAGCGTGGCGCTTCGCTGACACGTTTTCGCGCTCCAAGGGTGCGCACAACATAGTCTCCACGAGTCGTCTTACTCAACGAGTGGAAGATGGAACACACACACGTTGCTTGATTAGAAACCACCAGAGGAATCTCCAGACGCCCGTATTTTTATAGCAGCTACGCTCAGGCTTGAGGAAAATTATCATCATCGCGTCTGGTTAAATATCAACACACCAGTGACAGATGCACCTCAAAAATAGAGTCTGTCCCTCAAGCAAAATGAGAAGCATTGTTGCCCTTGGCTCTGAGCATCCTCTTTGATTAAATGAAGGGACGAGGATATGCATGTCTTCCAAATGCGCCAACATCAAACTCCGTTTACGCACACACGGTGCACGTAAGTTTGCCCAAAAGGTGGCAGCATTACGAATGGCGCGGCGTCTTCGTGGGACGTTGACGCAATACTTCTACATATTCTTCTTCTTGGCTTCCGGTCTTGACGGGGACCAGCGAATAAAAGTGTTTCCGCACGAGCTAATGCACGCTTCAAGCGACTCTGTGCTGCGCGTGCCTCGCCTTCCTGTCTTGCAAGTGCTGCCTTATACTTCTCAGCAAAAAGCAGCAAGTCGTTTTTCTTCTGGCCACTCTCCTCCTGTGCATGAAGATCTTTCTGGCTGCCAGCACATCGTGTTTTCCCCTTCTGCTGACCACAGGCAATCACTTGCTCAAGGCGGCTCGACACAAAGGATGAATCAACGTTGCAAGAGGAAGAGTTGTTGTAACCTGAAATTATAGTACCAGGGTCATCTTTGTCCTCTTTATTAGCAGCTCTTATCCTTCTTGCTCTCCTACAAGCATCAGGATCTCCAACGCAAGCCTTCGAATAGACGAGCACGGAAGGTGGCTCGATATTGCGAGGGAAAATCTTATCGAGCATCTTGGCGAGACGCAGAAGGCCATCACTTTTTCCAACTGCGTCTTTCTGTTTCAGGGCATGCCATTCCGATCGCAACCAGACCGGAAACGTGCGGCCCGAAGCCCGAACTTTGGCTAAGAGCATGCTGTCAGTCGTCGTCGTCTCAGAGGGATTAGAAGATGAATGCGTCAATATCAAAAACTGGTGTATTCTTAAGTTTACGACAAAGTTTCACATCTTAGATAAAGTTTATCCATGATCTTGTAGGAAAGAGAATCCAGGTGTAAACAGTTCATCCTTCAGTTTCAATCACAATCTTGTTAGATTACTACCTGGGACTAGTATCAGTCTATTTACCAATCATCATCCTGGGCATAAAATTCCTTGTTCTCTTGTCCTGCGTAACGAAGTCTAAGCCTGCTTCGAGTCGCTTTTCCGCAGTTGACAGCGCCCGGCGCAGACGAGCGCACAAGACGTCTCGAGCTTGCTGCTGCCGTTCATTCACTGTGACTGCAGAGTTGCTTTCCCCACATGCTAAGGCGTTTTCTGCGGAAGTTATACGCCGTGTCCACAAAGCGCGCTCACGCTTGCACCACGGCGCGTAGTTCGCGGGAGGTTGCAGGCGCTCCAACTCGTAGTTCATTCTTCGACCCAGAAGATCAGCAATTCTTCCATTTTCAAGCGCAAGTAGCTCAAGCTGGCTAGGTGGCGGCGGAGAACGATATAAGAGAAACAATGAGACGATTGATAAAGTAAGTACATCAAACGCCTGCGAACAAGAGCAAGCGAAAACACCACTCGCATTCTTGCACACTCCCTGCATTTAACAAATGAAAAATCCACTTCGTTCTACTTAAGCATAAGTCTACTACAACTTCAGTGTTGTTGTTCATAAGTTAGCAGGATGAGAGACCGCGTCATCGGAGGGACGCACTTGCTCCTTTGGGCTCAAGAGTTCTTCCTGCAGTCGCTGAAGCCAGAAAATCCGCGCTCTCTGGCTCTCACTCGCTGCGTGTGCGTGCGCCCGCCATATGCGCATAGAGCACAAGCACTGATCCACGCCTGCCGCCAAGGACCCTGCACGACTCCTTTCAGGAGAGAAGTATGTGTGTGGCTGATCGTCTTCCGTGGAAGAAGAGGCCAAGAGCGCATTCCGGTGTGGCTTCTGCCGCATCTCATGTTGCACGAAGAAGGCCACATCCGGCGCAGACCGCGATGTTACGGGTAGGTACGGAACAAGCACGTCCTCACTTCCTCCTACCTCGAAGCCCTCTGCTCTCTGAGTAATTTCCAGAGCAAGCTGTCGTCGCTTCGCAAGCACGACTTCCGCTCGTTGACGTGAAACTCTGCTCGACAACTGGATGTTGGAGTCTCCTGGTGATGTCGTCATAGCCCAATCCACACGTTGCGCAAGCGTCACCAGGTCAAGCCGTTCCAGAACGATCGGCAGAAGTGCACTTACGATGCCATCGAGCATCACCTCGCACTGCGTCTGCAAAAGCGCATCTTCAACACTTGCCTCTTCGGATGAAACTGAGGAAAATGCTGTTGACTCGATGTAACGTAGTGCGGAACCGACAAGCGTCATGCTATTGTTGTCTTGGTATTTATTGTTACCGTCGCTGGAATATTGACCATCACGAGCACGTACTTCAACGTCATGATCTTCCATCAAGACCTCGTGTGCGATGCGTATTCTCCAATCTAGTTTCACAGCTTTTCCTCGCGAGCCGTCGACGTCCCGCTGCCCTTCGTTCGGCGTCCATTCGAGAATCTGTTTCAACAACGTAGTCGCATCTATCCATGGGTCAAATCCAAAAAATGCTAACGCAGATGATACAGAAGCCGGCAACGCCACTCGAGGTGGGTCAGCGTCAGTCGTTTGCTGGACGTTGCAAGAAGTGTTGGTATTCTTGCTCCCTCGCGATGGCTGATTCTGTTGTGGTTTCGCGGCGGTGGCGATCGGTCGCCGAGGCTGTTCCGTTCCGTAAGTTGGCATTATGGTATTAATTTCAAGTATTCTTCTCAAAAAGAATTTGCAGGCTCAGCAAACTCACGAGACGATTTTGAGGCGATTTTCCATCGACATTTATATATAAATATATTCTTTGATCTATCAAAGTACCCTTCTTCAACCGACATGATCTTGCTGCAGCTACTTTTACATTTAGTACTCAGCTTTGTGTGTCATCTTCATGATAAATGTTTCCGTTGTCTTGTTTTGTGAAACGTAGTTTCCAGCCGTCTGATCAATCTGCAGGATCACTGTGCATGTACTACAGGAGATCATCCACATCGTGATTTGGTCTTCCGGTTTCCCCTTCGCTAGATAGGGTTCTCTTTTCGGACCCTTCAAGAAAGGTCGCCCGAAGGCGATGCCGGTAACCTGTGTCTAGTACTAGAGCCAACGCTCAGTCATGTCATGTTACCTCATTTTTCATCCTGTCTATAATGGTATAGAAATAGGCGTCGTTCAGCCGACTCAGAATTGTCAACAATCAATGAATTGTCCTAGATGAATGAGTGTCCCCAAAAACAAGTTCCTTGTAAGTTCTGAACCCCCATTAACGCTTCATTAAATTTTTCTAACGCTTCGTTGTTCATTATATTCTGGATAGTTGTGCGCTTCCAAATTTCTGTTGGTTTTTTCCCGAGAAAACGGATCCAAATCATTAGGTGTGGAATGAAAGAAGTAATTAAGTGCTCACTTCACCTAGACTTAAGCTTGACTGAACTCTTGGAATAAATTGTAGATGAAGTCTAGTGGCACAACACAATCACGGTCCCCACAACTTTCCACAAGGGCCATTCGCAGTCTTTTTCTTCTAAATTCCGCTAAATCTTTCATCAGAGCACCCTCAAAAGCGCCTCCCGCAAGTGGACGAGGAGCAACCTCCCAGGCTCTGGCGCCGCTTGCAAGAGCACTTGCTTTAACCGTAGTCTGTCTTCTTCGCGGTAATCGCCGTAACGCGCTACAAAATCGCACGAAACCCATTCCAAAAAGTCCCAACTTTCTGAGTTGGTCGTGCCTTCCTTTTCGTTTCCTTTGAAGCCTGAACCAACTCTCGCGGCAGTCGCGAGCACCTGCGTGTAAAGCCTCGGGGAAAAGCGAACCGCAGGTGCGCGGTCGTCAGGAGATCTGCCGCGGCCAGCAGCCCTGCGCTCTGTTCGCATTGCCGTCGATGGAGCCGAGATCGTTGTGCGGCTTTGACGCGCAACGATCTTCGCGATTTCGTACTGCACACGCTTGTGCTGGCGCTCTCGCTCCACTTGGAGCCTGAGACCGGATAAGGAGCCCGATTCCACTTCCCCAGCGGATGTCTTCGCCACGATGTCGCTGTCCTTTTCCTCGTACAGCTTCACGATCTGGTGCTTCTGGTCGGTTGCAATGCGGTGCAGCATATTTGCTGGAGCCGTCACTTTACTCAGCTGGCCCTTCTTCCGTGGGTCTGGATTTGGGAGCTGCACAATCACCGGCTTGCACTTCAAACTATCTGCGCCAGTAAGCGCTTCTAGTTCTTCGCGCACGGCCTGCAGTGAGGGCTGCATTCCAGCACTCATTACGAATGCTCCTCTTCTGTTGTTCGTTCCATGATCCGTCATAGAAGATCCAGTGCCTCCACTTCGACATCCACTGGCACTACTTGTACTACTGCCGAAAGATGTTGTTGAACCAGCATCCGTATAATTATTTTGCAATGTAGAAGCACTAGTACAACTGGTCGTTTTGAGGTCGTGGAGACAAAGGGTACGAAGCATGTGGTGCAGCTTTCGGCACTGTTGGCAAGAGGTGACGTACCTAGTGCAGAGACTCCACGCAAGCGTGCTCAGCATTTCATTCGAGACCCGTCCGTCATTCACGAGCGCGTCCGCCTGGGCACTGTGGCGTTGGAAAACGCGAGCGGCGTCAGCATAGTTTAGAGTCTAATGGACGAAGCAGCTCGTGTTCGCCATCAAGACTGGTGGTGTAACTAAGTATTCACTTGGTCTAAGATGATGTGAGTGTGACACAATTGACGGGCACTCATCTTAATTGTTTCGTTTGGACGAATGGAAATGAGCCTAAAATGGTAAGACAAAGAGCCCTGCTGAACAAACGGAAAACCTAAAAATCCTCCATGCAAGGAAGTCAGTCCCAAGAATCGATGAGTCAAAAATATCGATTCTTTCTAAATTATCTGCCTTAAATTTAGCCGCACTGGGGCGTCTGCACTGTGCGGGATGACATCTCCTCCGTGGCGTCGAACCAAGTTTTCTAGTATTTCCACCGCATGGCGAGCCAACTTTGCGTAGAGCATTTCGTCCGAACACTTCATTACACTAAAGGCCCAAGCTGAATTGCAGACATCGATCAAGTTTGCAGGAGACATGAGCCGCGCCACTCTTCGGTTAAACTCGTCGTTCACGACCTTGCCTGAAGCCAAAGACCAGAGAATGTTCGCCAACGCGCGAGAAGTCAATCGCGAAACAACTGCGTTACCTCCATGGCTACTTGTGAGTGCAGCTCTATCAAACGTCTCAAGCGTCGAAGATTTGGCAACCTCTCCACCAGCGGATTTACTATCTCCTCTTTCTGGAACTGCGTTGTTCATCCGACTACGAAATGGCAGAAACGAGTCGAGATCCTTTCCCCCTTCACCGAGGTACAACACTCCGCCCTGTCCTCGTCCTTCTGCGGCACCTGCATCTGTTCTCGTCGTTCCCGTATAATTATCAACAGCACGACTGCCTCGTCCAGTGTGCGAAGAAAACACGTCGATATAATGATCCTTACTTCCTGGTATGATGTAATTTGGATCAGCTTCAATATTTTGCAGTATCTCTCTTTGTACTTTAGGTCCGAAAACTCGCACTCCTGGATGCAGACTTCTCGCCAGCGCGTAGAGAACCTGACTCATGCCCTGCGCGGTGAAGAACGAGGCCGGGACTTTCGACGCCACTGCAGAATACCACGAGTCACGCGCCACGCTAGGGTAGGAAACAAAGGCCCAAGTAGCATTCGCAACGTCCTGTTCGCAAAAGGCGTCCTCTTCTTCAAGCTCATTCCGTCGATCCTCAAGATATAGATTTCTTCCATTGACCGTTTCTGTTGTACTTCTAGAAGACGAGGTTGCCGCGGTGGTCCGGGCAGTATCCGAGGTACTACTGACAGTAACACTGTTCGTACTAGGAAGGACTTCAACTGCTCCAGTACTGTTCCTTCTTGTGTCGGCTTCTGAAGATGCAGCTGTTGCGGAGCCAGCTACTTCTGCTTTCTTGTCTTTCAAACGAGTGGTCATAGAGGCTTGTAGTTTGAAACTCATCATTTTCGCTAGCTGCTGCATTGCGTCCTCCACTTCCATCCGGATTGCTCTATCTCGGATTGACGGTCGCAATGTGGCGAAGGCCCAAGCGAAGGCTGCGAGGGATCGACAAGTAAACTGGTCTGCTGACGAAGGCTCTGCTAAAGAAGGCTTGACGTCTGCTGCGACAGGATTTAGAGCTCATTCAAACGCATCTTGAGATTCATCTTGGAGCTGCTTTCCCCTTATGGTACAGCTCCACGATGCTTCAGACGATGCATTAGGGTAAATGGGTAAACCTTAAAGGATTTTTACTTCGACGCTTATTGATGTCCGTGTCGGTTTTTGCAGTAGCCTCGCCCTCGTGATGATCCTTCCTCTTTTGACGTGCAGTTCTTTCCATTTTGGTCACATCGTCGCCAGCGCTCGAGAGTTTACGGGCAACTGCGGAGATCAGGAGAGGCTCCACGAGACGTGCGTTAGCAAGTGCCCACATCAAATTCCCAAGATTTCGAGAGGTATAACCTTGACCGAAGATTTGTTGCAGTTGAGCGAGTCCTCGTTGGCGGTCTCTTTCGCCCTCCTGGACTGCTTGGCTTAGCGCAGCTACGTCACCCAATCTGGTTTCAATTTCAACACAACACGCAGTTAGTAAACGTCGACATGCGATAGTAGAACAAGTAGAAGATAAGTACTTAGTTACTGGCAGCGTCGTGGCGATTGGATTGAATATTTCAAAAAAGTAAAATGCTTTTAGAGAAACTTACTAGTTGTGCTGGAGCGTTTGAGTTTATAGGTTGTCAAAGTTTTTTACCCAGCACCAGTATGCGCTCGGAATTATTTCTTTACCTCGGCACTGGCGCTTCGGGGATGCGCAGTCTCGACAGATAGATGCAAAGATTGGTAAAGAGTCGGCCACAATCGTGGAGGACAAGAGCCGGGTCGCTCAGGATGCTATCCACTACGCGCTTCACCAGCCTCGGCCGCGGGCAAACCGGGCCCCTAGCTTCCTTGCACAACATTAAAGTAGGAACTTGTATACCAAGCATCCAAATTTTGAACGATATCGTCCGCCTGCAGAAAGATGCGGGCTACTGGGAGAAAGAACATTTCATTCAAGAAACGTCTTCTATTTGTATTTTGTGTACTTATGTTAATTTCAACTTCTACGGTGTTAATATAGTACCTACTAGTAACTACTGGTGTCTACATCAACCATAACAACAAGAGCGCTTGTATACCTGCAACTTTGTCTGTTGTGTCCATCTCATGTTCATGCCTTTCAAGAAACGAAAGGAGTTCCATAGTCCGTCCCTGCCGCCCAAAATCATGCATTTTTTTATGGAAATGCCGCTGTAAAAAGGACACACGTGGTATCTCTGCATTTGAGGACGAAGATACTTCTTCACGACATGCCCAGGTTGATGATTTCACCGGCGCATCAGCATTGAGCCAACTCGCACCCACGATGGTGCGTCCTCGTTCTGCTGTTCCAACTGCCTCTGCTCCTCGTGCACCGTCCGCGAGTGTCATTGTCATAGCTGCACTGGCAGCGGTATTGAAATGCCTCCTGGACGGGCGTGGGTCTTCTCCTCCTGTAACGCGGCAGCTCCCAGAGAGACCCGTGGTTCCCGGCGGATGCAACCAGCAAGAGGGACGAGCGCGAGAGCGCCTGCAAGATGGTATCACTCTCCTCCGCATCTTCGTCTACTGAACTCTAGGTCTAGTGGCTAACTCTCTAGTAATAAAACGAAAACATCTTCCTCTCTTCTATAACTTCACATTTTGATTTTTTGATGAGACTCATAATAATTACAAAGTAGCAGTATTTGTATTTCATCTCAAGCATCATTCCCGATGTGAGCCCCTGCTATTTCCCTAGTGCTGTCTGGTCAATGTTGAAAAAATGAACAAGAACAGCCAACACGAGAAAGTTGCGTGTTCTCGCAGTCTCAGAATTGTACTTTTACCATGTTGGTGTGTACGCGCAAATCAGATACGGTGGAAACGCGCTGGCTAACGTCCGCAGTGATGTGGAAATGTGAGAAGAAGTTCGCAGTATGAGAGAAGACAGTGACAAATCGGTCAACAAGTGAGTAAGAGTAGATCATGCTAGGTGGTTATTTTATGGACGAAAGATGTTAAGTTGTAATGAACGCAATTTTATCAACATTTTACGTAGCTGGGATGATTGATATCATCCGATAATGTTACAGTGATGTCACAGTCATGCCGCAGACACGACTGCGGGAGCGGGTTTTACACTTGTTGTATTCACAGTAGGAGGTACGGGCGGTGCTTTTTGGGATGGAGTTTCCGGCGGAAGTTCGTTGCTGTCATCACCAACTGCTGAAGGACTACTACTAGTGCTATTTTCCACGCTTGAATTTGAAACTCCTTCTGGTGACGGTGTTGAAGCGGCGACGTTACTACTATTTTCTTTGCCCACAACTCTACTTGGGTCGGTTTTATTTCTTCTGATCACGGCGTTCTTGCTTTTGTTGGCCTGCTTCCTCATACGGCGCAGAGGACACGCATCTGCAGGTTCGAAAATCTCTGCAAAATTTTGCGATTGCAGAAGGCTCCTTGCTCGCGCAAATTCTTCCCAGATAGCTCGCCACACATCGGCACTCATCGGATTGACGTTCGCCTTGGTCAGCGGACAGCGCATGATCAGCACCCCTTCATCGTTTTCTTCCACAACGCCGTCTACAATTGTTCGACCGCGGCTCAGCTCCTCGCTGCCGAAATACATGAAGAAGTCGTAAAACAGTTCGCCAATGGAAGTCTGCTGGTCATACACTTCATCTACTTCTACTCCTCGTTGATGCGCAGTGTCGTCTGTTGCATTAGTACTTCTCGTATCTTCCCGTAAGGCCAGAATTTCAGCGCGGCTTCTAAAAGCGATAATCGGGTCACCGTTGGCTCGTCTTGGCTGCGCCTTGGGACTCCCATCGGCCATAGCCACAGGACTGACAAGATCCCTGGAAGTGAATCAGAAAGATGTTCTTCCGCTTCACAAGAACGGAAGGTGGCCAGCCTTAGTTGTACATTTCAATCTTTTGCTGTCGACTTACTTAGTCGGAAAATCGCAAGCTTCAGTAAACATGACCAATCAAATGTGTGCAAACGATACCTGAAAATCGGTAGTATTTGGAATAGATACCTGAACAAGGGTAGTACGCGGAATCGACTTTGCATGATGTAGAAGAGTTGAAGTATGAGTGTGTAGGTGCTCAGCGTCCCCTCTGCCCGCTCATTAATTTTTCGTAGTTTTGCCCAGTGCTTGATGACGCGACCCACATGCCTCACACGCGGATCAAACATTGATAAGGAGCGAACAAAATTACTGTTGTCGATGGCCACCGTGTTATTTATTGAGATGTCGCCAGCCTCAGAACCATCGGTATTAAAAACTTTCGCAACCGGCACTTTTGCAGGAACTACCTGCACGCGGCCTGCTTTCGCAGCGCGCAATAATGCACCGACTAGACGAAGCTTCGATACCTGTTGTAGGGTGGAACAGATAAGAAATGTGAAGCTTCGATACTTACCTGCATGTGCGTCCATTGTCAAGGCCGAAACACAGCTACTTGCTTCACAAAGAATGCTTAACGTCGGACACAAGCTACAAGAAATACTAGTCACTACCTGCGCATCCTTGACGTTGCATCCCGGTACTGCTAAACATGCATCTACGTCTGATCCTCGCTGCCAGAATCCGTTTTGGCAGGAGCCGAAGGCATAGAGCTTTCCGCCACAACGCTCTTCGAGTAAAGCACGCGTCGTAAGCATCCACCTGTGTTTACGGGCGTACTGCGCTATCGTTGGCAGCAGTTGGCGGTCCCGCTCGAGCACCTTGTCAGAAAGCTCATCCAAAAACGCAGGATCTGGCGCCTCGTCCTCAGTAACACCAGGCGTACTCGATGAGGAGGCGCTTCCCTGGCTGTCTTCAGAACAAATGGAATCCCTGATTTTGGTGCTAACCCCATCTTCATCAGCCTCATCCTCGTTTTTAACGATGTAATTAGATGTACTAATATTACTCTTCCTAGTACTTGTCGTCTCCTCACTAGGTGTTCTGTTCTGACTAGTGCTCGACACTTTCTCAGGAGCGTTGCTGTCCTGAACACTGGAGGGAGACTCAGTCGAACTTGACTCTGACATTTTGGTCCAGGCGCGTTCTATTTCTTGGACCTGCTCTTGATCCTGAAAAAGATCTGGCGCGCGTCTCATCAGACTACGCAAAAAACGCAGGTCTTCCAACGTTGTTTCCAAGAGCGCAGTTTTATCGCCCGGGTCATGATCTCTCACGTCGCTCGACCGTGTTGAGATCGCTGTAGCTCCGCTGGATGACGAAGCGACCACATGGCTGGAGCATTTACTGGATGAAACATCAACAGACTGTCCAGCCGCATTTGTGGAAACATCAACAGTCTTCCTGCTAGAGTCATCGAGAGCAGCACCATCAGAAAGCTTCGTCTCCCCTACTATGCCGTTTCCATTATCCGTAGGTCTCCCACGATCCATGCGAGCAGTACTCGTACTTTGAGTACGCCGGCTGCCTTGAGTGCTACAGGTACTTAGGTGAGGCAACGGCAACTTCGTTTTACAGGTGGCGGCACGTTCAAGCTTCTTCGCCTGCCTTCCTTGACTCGATGAAGATGCAGGAGAGGTTCCTACGCTAATTAATGTTCCAGTATGCGAAGCGGAGGCGGCCGTTTGAGTTCCACTCCCCGTCGCCGAAGCCTTGCCAGCTCGACTGAAACATCGCTCGTTTCCTCTGTAGACGCTTTTTAGCACGCGACTTTTGTGCACACGAAGAGACGCGTCCCAGCAGCAAGCAACCTTCATCATTACGTTGGATCTTCTCCGCAAATTCATACAGAACAATGATCAGCCATGTTGTGGTAGTGGTATCAATCTATTGTTAAAACACCCAAAACTATAAGTTACACTTAAAGTTTCTTGTTGATATAACTCAAATTTTCACAAGGCCGGGGCGCACTGCCTTAGAAGGGTTGCGTGCGGCGCCGCCAGTGATCCGAACCAGGAAACAGCTGTCTCGATGCTCCTTAGCACGATTGATCATAGAATAGCAGGATTACTCATCTTGTACTAGCTCAAGTCATTCGCGTCCCTTGGGGGCGACCGTGTACTCCACCTCTTATAGATACATCTCCGACCACGACCGATCATAATTCCGGTGAACACTTATTTGTATCGCCACGTTGAATAATCAGAAAAGAACTATTTCTTGCACTTTCTTACAATGATCATCATCGCCAAATTGGTGGTTGTAGTATGTAGGGAACAGAAGCGATGGCATCCCAAGGGCGAAAAATTGCACTTCTTCTAACAGGCGGACTCAACTATGCATTTCATACATACAATAAATCCTGTAAAAATATTCAAGCGACATCCACTTCAGTTCTCGTGCACTACTGCCCTGAAAGTTAAAGATGGCTGTGCAATAGCTACAGGTACTTCTTACTTTCGGTTCATTATCATTTCTAATATGCGGCACACGCACAGCTACGGTCCCTCGTTTTTCAAATACTGCTTTCCCGGACAGTGGATTGTTTACTTAGTGCTCGAAAAAACAGTTCTGCGTAATTTGAAGATCCATTTAAATGGAATCATCATCATCATCATCCAATTCCAACTCATTATATATAACCACCCGTGGTCACCAATCTCACTTAGGCGTCTACTTCGTGCTCCCTAATTCTAACGAGCATAAAACGGCAACAAGGCGTAGCATCACTCGCCTGTAGGCAGCAGTCTCATCCTACACTTCACATCTTGATGAATATCCACCACACTATTTCCATGCGAAACCTTTTCGTGCGTCTGGAGATGCGGGCGTCATCATTTTCTTGTATCTCTCCTTGCGTTCCTCCTCCGCCGTTGCTGTAAACTGCGAATGTCGACCCGAAACATTCTCGAATTTTCCCAATGAAATTGTCCCTTTCCCTGAGCCCTTTCCTTTGTCCGCAGAAGCTGCCAACCACTTACCAGCCGCGGAAGTGGCATCTTTGCTTGTACCCACCTGCTTACTTGTATTTCCAGAAGCGCTGCTTGTCTTAATATCTGCGTTTGTAGAGGCCGCGCCAACTTTTGTATTCGAAATAGTCGGGTTCGATGGCCCATCTTTCGCCGTGCGTGCGAGATTTTCATTGCCGTTCTTGCTGGTGTCAAGAGCAGTCCTGGTAGCTGGAGCACCATGACTATCTTGTTTTGTAGAGATGACAGAAGTAGTAGAGGTGGATTCTTGTTCTCCAGCATTTTTTGAATTAGCACTGGTCGGTGCAGCTGGAGCCGCCACGGGCACAGTTGGCCCAAAGGCGTTCTTTGACGCAGCTAGTGCTGCATAGGTAGCCGGAGAAAGCTTTACCGAACTGCTCACGGTCGTCGATGATGTGCTGGAACTACTGGCTGAACTAGTTCCAGAGCGCTTGGGTCGCAGAGCATGTCGGGGACTGACTGACCGGTTTGCTGTTTCGGAAATCTTGCGCAAGGGGTTTCGATCTACGTGGACGAGGCAGCTGCTCACGAATCGTGAAGCGTCTAATGGAAAAGAACACGTCGGGTCAAAGAAAACATACACACCAGACCCATTCATGTCATCCAAATCTTCAGTAGTAGACAGATTTTTTTCATTGTTCGATGAAGTTCCTCCTCGTGTGGGCGTTTTTGGTGATCCACTATTGAATCTCCCAGTGATTTGCTCCATCGTCACTTCCCCTTTCAGGTTTTTCAACTCTTCCGTATTGGGCTGTCGCGGAAAGCTCGAAACGTCCATGCTGTCGAGATTCACCCACCACTGGTTCTTGGAATCGTTTTTTCCCATCCCTTGTTTAGCAGAGAGAGGATTCGATTTTGAACCCTTTTCTGGTGTTTGAATAGGTCCATCGGCTCGAACGAAGGCCAAATAGTGACCGTTCACCAAAACAATAACCCAGTCCAGCTGCGACAAATCGATACTTTGTTGTTCAGCAGATACCTGCGCGGCATCTCCCTTGCCAAGCCCAACATTATTCGTCGTGGAATTTCCTCCAACACCAGTACTAGAGGTTTTCTTTACCCCAGCGGGAGAGGACGTGTTTGTATTACTTGATGCATTTCCGTTTTTCGAAGATGAACCACGCTCTTCCTTTCCATTTGCAGCACGAATGGCCGCTCTATTGCGCTTGCGGTCACCAGTGGCTAGAGCCGTTGCGACGTCGGCACCATAGCGACACTCCACTCGGGGGAAAAAGTGTTGTAAAACTCGGTGATAATAGTCCAATGGCAGCCGCATCATCATACAGGCAGTTTCCCGATCTTGGATCAGCTTATCCCAATCGCCACGAGTCAAATAATGCAAAACACTGTTCAGCGCATGCTTTGGACATTGGGCCCGAAATTGTACCTCTCGATAGAAAGGCATACCTGCGCTAGAACGCATCATGGTTTTGCCTTCAGCAGGAGCTACCTTTTCTATTCAAGTAAAAAATAAATCCTTTATTAAGGAAGATGAAGTAAGAAGTAAGTAGGTACAAGATTACTAGACGAATTTAAGTAAAACGATGGATGATCAAGAAATGATGAAGAATTCTTCATGTGTTTTGCGGCAATGAATTGTAACCAAATAAGGTGCTAGTGCTTGCAGCGCGACTCATAAAGAAACCAATATATGATTGAGGTAGCCAGGAAACTCAAGGAGCTGCACAAGACGAAGACCTAACCTGTAATGAAATCATTTCCATCATTAAGTACTTAATACTTTTTCAACCCACAAAACTGCCTCTTGGGAAGCACACGCTCTCTCGCAATCGACATTTTCTAGATTCAGCTCTCAGACACAGATTCTGATCAGACGTTCCGGATGCCTACGATCAAAATCTCACATGACAGACAACTCAGATACATACGCCCAAAGACAACAAATGTAAATCTCACACAGAGAGATCTCTGCACAGAAAAGCCTTTTCGGTTTTTAGATCTATGAGTTTACAGAATTAACTGCTCGAAGGATTCATAGTTTTCAGTCTCTCTTTTCACAGATCAATTCTCATCTGGCTTGATTTCCATAATAGATACAAGGATAGGGTTGGGAATTTTCTGAATAACAAAATCGCACGTGCCGACGTGACCGCATGAACGAGCGCAGATTTTGGTTCTATAGCTTGTGCATTCGAAAGGCGACTTCGAATCAAAGCACGACAACTTCTCTTTTCAGTCGTGCACATGATGTGCATCTCCACCCACCTGCCATTGTACGGCTTTATCTCTTCTAATAAGGCATGAAAAATCGCCAGGTCAGCTTGTTCAGTTCATTTTGGTCTCTTTGTTATGCTTTCCCCTGGTGCAGACATAGTGCCTCTCTACACCTGTAAGACATTTTTCTTCACAGCCATCAATGAATTGTATTCATCGACAAACATAGACGAAAAATCAACAAGAACATGAACAAGAATCAATTTCAGTATAGAAGATTCAAATTGTGATTTTTATGCATCAATTTTCTTGGAAACTGTGAGAATCAGAGTTCATCCGCGCCGTCAAAAGACGCGATAGCTGCGTAGTGTACAAGGCCCGTGCCTCCCGCAGCCAACTCTCGAAAGCCACCGTAAAATCTTAGAGCTACAGCTTCCGTGATCATGTAAAATACACAAAGAAATGATTTGCTTAGAGCATTGTCATTACTCCTCACGATGTAAAATGTAGATTGCGATCAATCAAGCGTCCGAGGCTGAAAATTACCTTCTCCTTCTCCTCACGAAATCTGAGTGCCATGGGAGGCGCACTGCAAATGCATCGTTCCCTCTTTTCTAGGCTAATAATAGCACCGGTAACTAAAGGTAAAGTAGGAAGCTCACACACATTGGTGCTTTAATCGATTTCCAGCACTTCTCACTTCTTCGGAAAAAATCAAGATACAGGCCTTAATAATTCGAGATCATGTGCATACTGTTGCTCTGCGATCCTCTGCTGCTCCTCTGTCTTTAAACCAATAGATTTATCACCCAAATGAATGAACGCCGATCCTTCGTTCCAAGCAGCTAGGGAACCCCTTAATTTGATAGTGAATTCATCATGGATGATTGAAACTAGGGGACGGTTGTAGCAGTAGATATAAATATTATTCTTGAATGTTGCTGATAAGAGCGCTTACCCCATAAGCACACGGTCGTCTGGCCCAGCACCAGCAACGAAAGAAGTCATTGTATATTCTATAATAACTTGATGAAGGGGAATAAATCATTGGAGTAAACTTAGCAACGAACAACATTGCTCAGACATTAATTAGAGTGAGTCAGAGTCTCTACTTCTCATCTACTTAAATCGCTTTAGCGCTCTCCATAATTCATCATCCAGCTGCATCCTTGAAAAGTATGGCAGAGTATCGCCCTGGAATTCTCTTCCATACGCTTCAGGGATGCAGTCGAAAATGCATTAGCTACAGCCTCAAACAAATAATCTATCTATGGTATCAATCTAACAAAAATATGCAATTGTTGGAGGTTCTTCAACAAGTACGAGGTCGAAGAGAGTTATCATATGTATTAGTATTTATAGTGTAAGCACTAATTTTAGGTGGACCTTTAAAATCTATATTTATATATATATTATAATATGCTCTAGTACCTCATGCTAGGAAAGGGAGGCTCTCGGGGTCCCTTTAGCTCAACCTTCGCGCACCAACTGCTGTCTGGCTCGTTGCTTGGTGCGGGAGTCCACCCCATTTCGAACCATGAAGATCTTGAGTGGTACGACGCTGCGTCACTAGTACGTCTATGTTGCAGATAGGAGCGAGCTGAGCCTCTGTAGTTAGTCCTTATCTTGTCGGGACGTTTTGTTCTTGATTCCCTCCTCCTCTTCTTGTCGGCAACTTTGGCATTGCCCTCTTCAATGTCGGAGGATGAGGATGATAATACCTCACAGATCCAGAGGAGCGAAGTTAGGCAGACCAGCCGTCTTCTAGAGGCTGTTCGCATTTTCGTCTTCGTGAAAAAGGCACTTCTTTGATAGCGCTCCTGGATGTGGAGGCCGCAGTTGTCCACTTAATATCACTGAAGAAAAGCAAGCCGCCTTTGGAAGCTTTGAACAGGTAGTCGTGATGTACTTGTTCTTTACGGGTCTCTATCATAATCCCTAACTACGAACAACTATGATGGAATGGACCAAGGCACTGCAAGCACAATACTTCTGCCCCTACAAAGTGAAAATGTTGAAGACACAACGTTGTTGTAACAAAAGTTCGCTTCAATTCGTTTTCACAAGAACAGCTATCATAGGCAATGGCAATCCTAATGTATGAGTCGTTCCTAATCTTGGTCAACAAGAAAGATTACATCTTAAAGACAACTGCAGGTGCAGTTAATGTTTCTACTTTACGACCTGTGCGGAGGGGATGTGTCAGGGGAGGCTATCCATGACTTCGAGGACAGAGTAGCAGTATGATGAAAATTTGAGGCATCACAACATCGAAACCGATGACACAGGTAAGACAACTACCGGCCTCATCTAACTAATTATCTCGAACCGGAAACGTCTACAATGCTCTCCGAGGGCAGAATAGGTTTATACTGATCTCGCTTCTTTTTTTAACCCACCTAGACGCACCGAATGCTTCTGCGAGACCGAAATGTTGTCGCACATACGCGCATCGAAAATCATAGGATTGAAACGTTACGTTGTCGGACAGTCTCAATTTCGTGCCATATATTGTGAACACAAGCGGACCACCGATGTAAGAAGCCATGTTACCTCGACTATCCTTCCGCCTGCACCCTTCACCTCAAGCGCGCACGCCTATCGCCTCTCCTAGCGCCGGCATACTCACAGCCTAGAAAAATCGAAGGAGGAGAAGCTGGTGTCCTTGGAAGAAAAAGTGACAGATGTCATCTAGTTTCTACGTGAATACGGTTCTTTGTCCACAAAAAAGAAGAGCACAGCTTGACGTTTGCGACGTCATCTGGCTCAACATCGACTTTTTTTAAATGTAAATCTGCTAAGAAAGTGAAAGCTTGAAAGTGGTGACAAGTGAGGTTAATGCGTAAAAAAGCTCGACGTGTGAACGTCTTTAGGTGTCTAACTTCGTGAATGTAAGTGTATCTACCATCTCTCGGCAGCATAAAAAAACAAACTGAAACTTAATTCAGCCACGAAAAACGTGACCAAAAAGACTATGCTACTTCTAGATCGGTAGGCGACAAAAGTGAAGCTGAAGGTGTTATATATTTATAATTCAGTTTTAGAAGCCAACGCTTGCACGTTTTTGAAGCTTTCTGCGGACTGACGGTATCTCTTCGGCCAAGGTCTGCCGACGCCGTGTCCGCGTGTGCTTCGCGTGCAATTGGTCTGCGACCTTTTTTACGTGCAGATAGCTCTCCTCCACGTCTTTGAGCCAGGATTTGAAAAGTCCAAAAAATTCCGTGTAATCTCGCTTTTTTGCAGTGTCTTTGAGGTACCCTCGAACAGCTTCGAACCGCTTTTCCGCATCTCCGAGTACATTCTCCAGCTTCGCGAGTTCCGGCTGCCGGCTCTCTAGATAGGCCCGCTTTTCTAGCATCACCGCCAGCGGCGTTGGTCCGCCCGCTTGAGAAGTGCCACTCGGGCTGCCTGGCGGACTTTTGCTGCTAGAAGAGGAAGAAGATCGTTGCTGCCCCGTAGCTGAGGCTGTCGAAGAGACTGCCTCGACCACGCGTGCTCCACCAGCGATTTCGCGGCTAGCTGATCGCGAAGCCAAGGGTCCATCCTCGCCCTTGGCACTGTCGCTGCTCACTGACCGCGCTAGCACAGCTATCTCAGGATTGCTTTCGATGTCTTTGAGAGCGTCCACGGCACTTTTCACGCGTGAGCGCAGGCTGAAGAAATCCCGACGCAATTCGGCTGCAGTAAAGCGTGCCGCTTTGCTCACAACCTCGTGCACCGATTCTGCGCCATACGCCACATTGATGCGAAACAACGACCCCACTTCTTTGATCCCTGCGGAAAGCACGAGAAAGTCACAGAAATCTCGAACGCTAGGAAAGGCCAATGGATCTTCTGTAATCGTCGCAAAGTCATCGGCAAATTTTACTCCGAGCTCGTCGTAGCGTGGAGTCTGTGGACTACCGCTCTTCGGGCTCAACGAAGTCGGCCGGCTGCTACTAGCGCTGCCCACGGCCGAAGAAGGCACTCCGCCCACGGATTTCACGGCGCGACGTCCTCCGCCGATCGGAGGGAGCTGCAGGCTTGTACTCGAGTCTCCTTCTCGCCGTGCACGGCTGTCATCGCCATCGCTGTCGTCACTCGTGAACGAAGATGACATTCCATCCTGATCATTTCCACGTCCCCTCCGCTGTTTCTTACTATTGCCGTTGGGAGTGGATCCCGGAAGCACTACACCAGTGTCTTTTTTATCGCTATCGACTTCCTTTGCATCTCCAACTGGCCGCCTGTCTGCCGGTGAAGCACTCGTGTCGTCTGGCATCGAGATTTTCTTCGGCAGAAGTGGTGAAGCCTCGCCTTGCGCCAGAATCGCTCGATCTACACGTTCCCTACTTGCACTTCCTGGTTTTTTCGCGCTGCTGTCGAAGCCGCCGGTACTTGCCCGCCGTTTCTTCTCCCGGTTTTCTTCGTCTTTTTTGATAAGTGCCAGATCGGGAAGTCTATCTTTCGTCGTTTTTACGGACTTGATGTTTTGCAGGATTTCCAGCGCAAAGCCATCTGCGCGCTCTCGCGCTGCACTGCCCGCATTCAGAATATTCCCGCTGTGCACTAGAATGTTGAACATACTGATCAACACGGGATCTTGCTGAAGAAAATCGCAGGCGTGCAACACGTAGGTTGCGTTCTTCTCTATGTCTGCGAAGAACTCCGCGAAATCGTAGCAAATTAGCCACACCTTCAGTCGCAGACGAAAGCAAGGGATGTTCAAAAGATCGAGGCAGTACCGTTCCACCGGTTCCAGAGATGGCTTCGTAGCTAAATCTAACATCACTTCAATGTCGCTGTCTGTTAGCGCGTGCGTGTCTTCCTCGTCGCGCTGCATCCGTCTTTCTACTTGCGCCGCCATCCGCTCTCGAACGTACTCAGCGACAGCGTCCGGGAGTCGCATTTTTGAGGTGCTAGACGAAGATCCTCCCTCCTGCTCTAAAATCGTAGCGGGTGGAAGCGGAAGGGCAGAGGCCAGACGCTCCTCCACGCCTCGCACGAGTCGGGCAACGTAGTTGGTCGCGTACTCCTCAATCAACGTGCGATTTTCTTTGGAGAGTCGCTCCTCCTCTTCGCGTGCTTGTCCACGCAGCTGCTCTAGCAGTTCTTCACTCGGAAATGCGTCGCGGAGCAGCCCCAACTGCGTCCCGTCAAGACCCTCTAACCGCATGAAATTCCGTCGCAGTCGACCTAGCGGCGGCATCTTGGCCCGCATAAGCCCGATAGCGCGCGCGTCCTTATCTGAAAAGACGCTGATCTTTTTCGCCGTCGATTTGAGCACTTTCTGAACCAAAGCCTGTCCATGATCTATGTCAAACTGCTTCTGCCTTCGCAGTAAATGCCCATTTCCGTGCTTCTTGAGTCCACCGGAAGCGGCGCCTGCTTCTTCGCACTTCTTCCCTGCATTCCCGACGGCCTTCACGGCAAAAATGTGTTGCAGCACGGACTGCGAAATGCGTGCAGGGTTCTGATCGATCACATGCCAAATGGTGTTCTCGTCCTTCTTTTCAGGAGAGGCGTCTAACCTCAGCGGATGCCAAAACAGCGGTCTCAAACTTCCAGGGGCAACGTCGGGAATCTGTGTCTTCCGAAACTTCGCTTCTGGAGGTTCCTCAACTTTGTTCAGACTCGGCTTGCCTGCCGTCCCCTTGCCAGCGCCCTTCTTTGCGCCTTTCGCTCCGCCCGCTGGCGGCGGAGCTCCCTTCGCACCTTTGGCCGGTGGAGCGGCACCCTTTGCTGGCGGCGGAGCGCCCTTTCCCTTTGCGCCCTTCGCGGCCGGAACTTCGGGCTTCCCCTTTCCGTCTTTCCCCTTCCCAGCCGGTGGTGGCAGCTTCCCTTTTGCTTTTCCTGCGCTTTTGCCTGCTGGCGGCGCCGCCTTCTTCCCCTTTCCAGTGCTGCTATCAGACTCCTCTTTCTTGGACCCTGCAGTCGGGTCCGGTGAAGATGGTGGATCTTCTTCTCCTGGAGCGGAAGGCAAAATATCAAGTGTCATTTCGTTCCCGCCCATACTGCTGCTTGCGCTTGAGCGTCCTAGTGACGCCCGCCTTACTGCTGCAAGCCTCGCGCGGTCTAGAAGTACTGACTGTGTCTGGGGCGACTCTGCTACTGGAGCGCCAGGCCTAGCTTGAGATGAAGCAGTGGCTTTCTTCTGGCGATCTTCTGAATCTGAAGATGTACTAGACATTGGTCGCCTGTCTTCACTATCATTTTTCGCCTCTTCATTACCTCCAGCGACTTCTAAAACTGGGTCTGCCACTACTGATTTCGCATTCGCATCCGATTTGAGTCTTTGAAGATATGCTGCAAGCTCGTCCTTGGATAGTGGCGATGCACCCTCTGCGTCTCGGCTTAAGAGAGCAGCTTTGATAGCGGGATCCAGGCCAGCTGGCAGCGAAACACTACCTTCCGGAAGCCGCGCGCGGCCCGCGCTAGTGCTCGGCAGCGCTGGATCCGCCGTCAGTTTGGACCATGGGCCGCCAGTCGCCGCGAACAGGATTCCCGTACTAGTACCAAGAAGTGCGTCCGAGATTTCGGCAGCATCGGGCAGAGATGCAGACGGTGAGATGTTGAGCGACGCGGTGGCAGCCAGCGGCGGAACCCCTGCGCGCAAATCTTGATCTTCTGCAATTGTTCCTAAGGGTATCCCAGCGTCGCCGCGATTTTCCACCGGTCCGACGGAAAGCGATGCGCCACCAGCCGTGAAAGACGCGTCCAAAGCTCCAGCTGCGCTGCCTAGCAGCCCACTAGCAGGTGCTCCTTCCTCTTCAGAAGCACCTGATGGAGCGCCAAGCATCGAGACTGAAGCATCAGCAGGATGATCTCCTTCTCCTGACCCCAGAAAACCTACTGCCGCCACGCTGACGCTGCGATCGCTTCCTTCTTTAGATACTACTCGAGATACACTCCCACTAGCAATGCCCCCTGATTCTATCGATGCCAAGTTGTAGCTCGCAAGTCCTGGTGCTTGTCCTCCCATACTGCTGCCCTCATCAGCGTGGCCCTCCGAGGCGATTGAATGCAAGAGGGAGTCCACGTTACTCCGCTTTTGACTCGGTGCAGTATGAGAGAGCGTACGCTCGACACTGAGAGAAAGGGAATACATTTTCGATGAAGCACGGCTGTTCAAGGCGACGTCCAAGTCGGAGATATCCCCTGCTCTCCCTTCAATCAGGGTAAGGTTTGCGCCGTATCGTGAGCCTACAGAATGATCTGAACGTTCCCCACCGAGGTTTGGTAGTGGCCTGTGAAAAACATTAGTAGATGCTATGATAGTAGACAATTAAAGATTTTTGCTGGCAAGAACATCCTAACAACTCTGTACTGTAGACTTGGATTTCAGCAACGAACAAAAACGAGGGTCTGCGATATGTGTTTGATGTCGCGATTGCTACATGGATACTCTTGTCCACAGAAAAAGTAGTTACCCAGGGATTTCTGCTGAGACAGGCGGAGGCGCATTGTCTTCTCCTGAGAGTTCGATCGACACTTCCGTCGTGAAGCTTAGCGGTGTGTCTGTCCTTGGAGATCCCTGGAGGCCCATCTGGGTTGGCGATCCTGGCGCAGCTAATGCTCCTGTTGTCACGATGCCAGGATGCGAACGTGGCTCCTCAGGAGGACTTCCACTTTGCGAAGTCGGTCTTCCGTCTACATGCTCTTTTGGTACTAGATGAACCAAAGCCAAACGATCTGCGACCTCAGGAGAGGTAGCTCCTCCAATTGCAGCCATTCCTCGAGGGCCAGACACAACTACATCCGGCACAACTACACCCAGCGAAGGAACGATTGGGATGCCAGGGAGAGCAGCTGCGCCATCGAGATGAGCTACAGTAGTAGGACCTGGGCCATCACTGCTCCCTGCCGCGATTGCATTTGCAGCTGCAGCGGATGCCTTGTCAGAAGGTCGCTTCCGCAAATGCTCCTCATCCGTTTCACGCAGATTAGCGAATGAGGGGCCACCGACTGCTCCTTGCGTCGAGTACAAGTTGCTCGACCCTTCTTCTCGTGTCTTCTTCGCCATAGCTCGAGAAGAAGGGCAGGACGGCACAGGAAAACCCAATCTTTCCAGATGATCGGCGAGAACGCTTTCGTCTCCAGCCCTAGCGTGTCGATCTTCTGTACCTGTTCCCCCATCAGATCTAGTCTGCGAAGCTGTTTCACGCGCACGCTCGTGACGTGGCGCCTCTGATCTTTCTTCTTTTGGTGCAGTTTTTGCCGGTTTCTCCGCTTGGTTGTCATCACGTGGTCTTCCGCGAATTCTTGTACCTCTTTCGGCAGTCTCGTCATGACCCCAAACTCTATCACCTCCAGACGCTACGTCGAGGGAAGGATCGCTTCTCTTATGCCCCGGAGCTGCGGCACCCACATTAGAAATAGCAGGTGTAGTCGCTGCTTTAACAAGCTGCCCGTCCTCCTCCTGCACAGCAAGGGTGCGCAATGTCCATGTCTGCAAATCCACTTTTCCACCTTCTTTGCTCCGACTAACTAGATCCATGCGAGCTCCAGATCTATCGAGTGACTCAGCTCCGCGTCCGCCTTGAGATTCATTGCTTTGCTTCGACAAGCTCCGAAGCTCCGCCTGATTCATCACGTCAGGCGATAAAGCATCATGCACAACAAAATGTCCAGGCACTGCTCGATTCAATATGGCAGATGTTGTAGTGTCCTCGGCATTAGAGATTAGTGGTGATCTTTCTCTTACTTCTACAGACGCACTGCCATCCTGTTCTCCGGATTTGACGCGAGAGGCAGAGACAGGTGAAGAAGAGCCATGATCACTCGATGTGGATGGAGATCCGTGTTCTCTATCTGGTCTCCTCCGAGAAGATTCATCTGCTGCTCGCTTGTTACTACTTGTGCCATCATCTAGTGCGTGTGCGCTTTTTTGTGCGGACGACACATCGAAGGGGAAGGGGAGTATTCCAGTATAATTGTCCTGCAAGCTACGTCGGTAGATCTCGTTTGCTTCAGGCGACGCATAGTGCTTTTCGATGGAGTAGTCAGCGGAATTCTCGTCATCTGGGGACATTCGAACAACTTGCGCACTGCCGAAGCGGCCGGCGTCGCGTTGTGCTCTAGCAAAGGCGCGACGACCGTCGATATCGTCCAAAGGTGTCGCGATACTAGTAGCCAGCGCTTCCGCTTCGCGGCCTGCGCTCTGTGGCGGTTGTGGTGGTTGCTTCAGCACATGCGCCCTTGGTTCACGGCTCACACCTGACACAAACAGCCCAACCTCCGCCTCGCTCGGAGCCCCAAGAGGTAACGATACCGTCCCACGTCCTGGTTGCGAAGAACCGGGTGAAGAGGGGTTCTCCTTACTCCCGCTGCGACTGCTCGTACTACTTGCGGCAGATGCTTCAAACCAGCGCGCCGCGCGCTTCTGCTGCTGCTCAGAATCACCGCTTCCTCTACGACGTAGTAGGTCAGAAAGCTGCTGGGCTCCTGTCGATCCAGATGCTTCTCCGGACGACCCTAGGGCAGGATTGCCCGCAGTACTAGCACTCCCCGCGTGTCCGACAGGCGTTGCTGGTTGTCTGCTTTTCGGCACGGGCGTTGGTTCTTGACCAACTGACCTGAACGCAGGATCTGGTGGCCCCGCACGTCCAGAGCGCCAACCAACATCAAGAGCCTCCTCTCGCGGCACACTCCTAGCACCCGCATCAACAAGGTCGTTTTTCGTGGACGTATCCTCTACGCCTTGCAATTCCAGAGTTGAAGAAGCGCCACCAAGCTCATGCTGGCGCAACCTGGATTCGAGATGAGCAAGCTGGTCCAACGCACCGTGAACCGCAACTCTCATGTCGGTCTGGAGAGCGGTAGCCTCTTGGTATCGCCGAGCAAACTCTCTCACAGATGCTGACGGATCTGCGGAACCGCCCGGCCCAGCGCCCGCAGGTGGAGCTACGGCCGTCGGCGAGCCACTGGCTTTATGCGCGCTCGAGGTACCTCTACCTGGTGGGAGGACTTCGAGGAAACACAAAGAGTATAACGAGGAAGCGAGAAAATTCTCTCGACTGGCTACGAAATAAACGGAGGATATTGGATCTTTTTGAACGCGTTCGCAAGCCACTAAATGATATATAGGCCAAAATCATCTCAATACTGTATTTTTGCAGCTCTGCTGCCTCCAGTGCGGCAGTATTGGCATTTCCAGCTCGTGGCACGTTGTACGCCGGACCGTAGAGAGTTTTTGTGGTCGCTGTGGGTCCCGTTGAACTGTAATCGATGTATCCTGGCAGTTGCGTGGGACTTCCGCGAAGAGCTGATGGCACCCTAGTAGCTTCGCGATCCTTCGAAACCCATTGATTCAGAGTCGAATGAAAGTCATCCTGTAGGTACAACTGTTCGTGAGGTTCAAACTCAGAGGGAGACGTAGCGCTAGAATCTTCCACCAAAAAGCCATCGTCTCCGGTACCACTTCCGGCCTCAGCATCCGAAGCATCTTCCTCCTCCTCGCTATCGTCTTCATCACAGAAACCAAGTCGCTCCCGCTCAGATGTGCTTCTCTCCTCCTCCGAACTACCCCGTTCATTCGGTTGAAGCGGTCTGCGGGCACCACTATGCTCTTCATCTACGAGAGGGGCGATTCCTCCATACAACGAGTCTGGCACGCGGTTAACGTGCGGTGAGATTGGCCGATACCGCGGTGAGACGGCGTTCTGGTGCCGCGAAGCTGCGTAGCGCTGGGGCATGCTAGGTTCTCCCCGACGCAGTACAGGTGTCACCGGCGATCCGCCTGAAAGTAGATTAGCACTCCCACGACTACTTGTTGCATTGGCTCCCGTCTTCATCGCACCATAGTTGTGCTCTTGATTCATCCGACTCTGCTTCTCGCGGAGACTCTGTCGTCGCCTAGGCAAACCGCGGATTACTTGATCCACACGCCATTCTTCCCACAAAGCTCGCCGTGACTGTGTTTTTCTGGGCTGACAGCTCGTTGGCCCCGTGGTCGATGACGCGCCGTTGGTCACAGCCACACGCTGTTCGAAAGATGCTCGTGCCAGCAGAAATCGCTGATGTTGCTCCGGATCGACAGCAGAATCTCCCACGGCGTTTGCGAGCACTGGACCTCTCCCACCTCGAGCTGCTGCATCAGCGTAGCCGGACAAGGATATCGCAGACTGAGGCCGGCTGGTTCCGATTTGCACTGGCGCAGGGCGAAGGGCTGGTGGCCGCAACAACGAGCTGCTGCTCGAAACGACCGGCGTTCGCCGGACGCCGCTGCTCGTCCCGAGCCCGCGACTAGCACTCCTGCCTTGAGCTGCTCCGCTGGCTGAAGAGAAATAGGCGCCAATGCCTCCAGCAACGGCCGACGTGGCAGCTGGTTTTTGCTGCGCAAATGTCGAACTCGCAGATGAGAGGTCCACTCTGCCAGGTGGAACGAACACCGGTCGTCGTGATTCCGGCGGTGGCGCACTCTTCGCTGCTTTGACGCCGCTAGATATCACCACCCTGCGTCCGCCGCCCGCGGAAGGATGTTGAGGCTGGGGACCACCAGTGGGGGAAGTCATGATCGTCGGATGAATACGACTCTGTGTATTTGTCTTCAGGACGAGAGAGAATATATCAGAGTTGTACTTCTAACCTCCACAAGTTACTCCCCTGAAACAAGACCAACAATCGGCATCATTTTACAGATTATCGACAATCCTTTTACAGCTCTACCAACTCTCTCCTGTCATCTTACCCCGTGCCAGCCCTGCTATTTACGTGTTTGAGAACAGATCTTGTTTATTTTCGATGAGATGGTTTACTTTTACGACAACGAATATGGCGGCTTAAGTTGGTCTACTTATGACCTGAAAGAATGGGAATGGCATCCTCAACCTCCTGGCGGATATTCTAACAATACACTAGTGGATGAAAATGAAACACTGGCTTAGCACAAAGTAGATGTATTTTGGATTCCGACGGGAATCTTGCCCAACACTGCTCACTGCGCTGGTCCACAGTTCCACGACCACACTTGCCCTCGTCTAGTTCTAGTATGACAGTCACGATGCTTTTTTCAACGAAGATATGTGAGTAACCTGGAAGGACGAACGAACAACCGACGTAGAATGCTGATATTACTGGCAGACACCGACATGCTTTACGAACCCTCATCATGTCTCAAATGCCGATATTGTGACCATCCTAAAAACCTACAACCGACAATGCCGCACGATGATCTCCATCATTCATGCCACCATTTTCTCCCGCCGACCTTGCAGCACCGCTGTAAAAGACCCTGATCAGAGTTGATGCAGCTACTCACTCGAGGAGCATGAGCGCCGTTATGATTTGACTCGCTTTCCGCGACCCCTCAATTCATCAGCTATTGCTATATTCATAAATAATTAGGTTCAACTTCGAAATAGCATTTGATTCTGAAAACTACTCCCTGCGTGCCGTCCTTTGTCCTGAAGAAACTTGTCTCTGATAGGGAGAGGAGTAGCACCATGGCGATATCAACATGTGACTCCCCTACCTGCTGTTGGTACTATCTTAGTGATCGCACCCGGGAAGCATGAGGACGCTAGGTCGTATGACCATGGACCGTGTTACCAGTAATGTGCTCATCATTCCTTTTTCTATGATGACATCTTTATTTGTATGACATCGAACTGTCTCTGTGGTTTGCTCGGGACGTTGTAACACCAAACCATTGCATATTCTTGCGCATCTCTACATCGACATGCAAGTACATTATGGTCAAAGCAATTGATTCAATAAAGGAGATTGTCATGATGCTCAGCGTGAGTCTTCGTACATTTCAAAAATTCGCTCGTCGAATAGACTCCACTAGAGCTCGTAATTAGCCGGGCGGTCGGGCGTCTCGGAATTTGCGAGACTCGCTGCTTTGCAGAGTGCAGGATGGGTTAGCTTAGCCCGATACACGCAACGGTCTGGCTCGTCGATACCCAGAATCCTCTCCTCCTTCCCGCATTGAAGGTACACCTTTGCAGGGAGGATCGATTTAGAGGTTCGATAAGGGTTTTCTCGACCTGCTTTTCTAGTGTTTTTTCAACCAGAAGTCACTAGCTTCAACTAGGTCATCAAGACGAGAGAGGTACACATTGATGCCGAATAAAACAAAGCAAAAGTTTTAATATTTATTTACTATTTAATCACACGACGAAAATCTTCAAAGTCTGTTTCTTCAAGATCTGTACATGCAGATTTCGCTCTGGACCACCCGGACACATGTCGCCGCCAGTAAAAATCATTTTGTTGTCGCCTTCAAAGTGCGAGAAACGGCCCAGTCGCGTATGGTCCTGCTGCGCCTGCTCGTTGAAGAAACACACCTTGTACCTGTGTAATTTGTTGAGAGAGAAGAGTAATTGTGATGGAACTACTACTTAACGCGAAGTCAACGGGTCATGAAAAAATGTCCGATCTTGATTTGCATGGGAAACGGCACTCATTTTATGAACCTGTATTGCGCCGCGTGCGTTTCCAGACAGCGGTCTAGAAGAGAGTAAAAAGCGCGATGCTTTCGCAGGACCTCTAATTTCGTTCGCAAATCCTCTTCCTCTGCATCGAAATTGTCGACCTTTCGAACTGCATCTTGGTAGGCCTTCCAAGCGTCAATCTTTGCCTGCTCAGCAGGGCTCTTGGCATGACCGCTGTTCTCCCCATTGCAGACATGAAGGAGACGCATAGTTGATTTTTGTCGTCTTGTTACTTTCGGACACTTCTTGTTCAAGAATTTCAATCATATACATACACATAGTAGAACGTCCTGTACCTCTGCAATATCTTCAACATGACGATACCTCGTCCTGGAGGTAAAAATGTTGTATACTAACTTGTAGATGTTGATACCGTACATCTATCTAATGTGTGTTATAATCATTTCAAGTTCAACTAAGTAGGAGAGTCATCATAATGATCATCATTGCCCTCGCCTTCGTGCTCGTTATGATCACTATCGTGTTCGCCCTCGTCATCCTCGTGGTCCTTCTCTCCATGTCCATGATCGACACCCGCATTTTTGTCCATCCATTTCGCATACTCCGATACCGTATTCTGTAGTTAAACAAAAGAATTGTTACTTAGACTAGTTAAAACAAAGGAACTGTTACCTAAACTCATGGTAGAATTACTTAAGCTTAATAACCTCCCTGCTGAATAAAAAACAATAAATAGAACTGGTGGAATTATCGCACGCGTACCGCGTTATTTCTTAAGCAGCTATTATCATGATTGCTAGAGGGTATCCAAGCTGAGCATGACTGAACATGAAGAGCCTTTGTGTTAGCAGACAATTCTGAGATCTCTGTACCTTTGATGCTCCTGCGGCCTTGTCCCCTTGCGCCTGATCCGCTTGTGGTGCGACCGTTGTCGTTGATGTCTCCGCATCGCCGCTGGGCGCCGCTTCCTGCTCACCTTTTTCGTCCAACCAGGCCTTGTTCTTCGCCTCGAAAGTCACTTTCAGGTCGTCCCTCTGAACCACTAGTGCCAAGAATGAAAGAGCCTCAGGCAAGAAAAGCAGCGAATTGAACTACACGTCAGAGAGAAGTGAACAAAAGGTCAGAGAGATCCGTGAGGAGTGGTATTGATAAACGTCAATAAAGAGTAAGATATTCTTGATCAGTGGCATTGATAGACCAACGTCAAGTTAGTTAGTTTGTTAGTTAGTTAGTTAGTTTAGGAGGTCTGGCGGAAACTCCAGCGTTCAGACGGCCCGCGAGTTGTATGCGGGGCCCGGGTAGTACAATAACGGATTAGCTGGTAGATAAATTACTTATTAACTACGAGGAGCCAACCAAGGCGGAGCGCTCTTCCCTTTGTACCACGCGGGGCCATACTCAGCAAGATTAATTTCCGTAGAGCACTGCACTACTGCAGGGCGCGGCGCCCGGGCCTCGACGGAGAACTACGTCGCACTAATAGGGCCGGCTTCAGCGCACTGAGGCGGAAAGAAGCAGAAAATAATACACACAGAGAGCGCGCAAAGGCACCGAGCTCGGGCCCCTGGCGCTCGCCACACAAGACTTGCCGGGGGACGTCAGCCCGGCGAAGCAAAGACATCGGCCCAGCGAAAAGCGTCGACCCGGCGCAAGGCTTCGACCCGACAAACAAACAAGCGCCGGCTGCTGTGGCCCCCTCGGTAGTCCAATAAAAAAACCTGAAGGCAGCCCACCTCTCTGCATGTTAGTGTATCTGGGTCGAATTCGGTGCGCTGGCAACCAGTAGCGAGCTGGCGCTCTCGTCGCAGTTAATGCGTCGAGCTTCGCTAGCTAAGTAGCCCGCGGGCTGTTTCTAGCTGTAGCCAGTGGGCGATGTAGTGCCAAAATTGAAGCCGGGCGAAGCTTATGGGGGCTAGCGTCAAACAAAAATAAGAAAAAACAATCAGTTCCTCGTAGCTGTGAGTGTGACCGTGACGTCTTATGTCGATAAAAGCAGTTCTATGATCTTCTTGGCATAAGTTATAAGCAGCATCCCGGTTGTCCAGTTTCTCCTGCCATTCCTGTTCCTGCACTTTTGCACTTGCTTCATGTTTGTCGACAATCTGCAATGCTTCAGCAACCTCTTTTTCTAGTGCTGCACGCTGCTCTCGATAGGAAATACCTGCGTGATACGGGAAAGAACATGACGTCGTGGACCTTCACTTGCTGTAGCAATGCTGGCTGCCAAATCACATTGAAGTCAGAAGGTACATTCAGATTCGATTTCCTGAAACTGATGTGAGCAGGTTAATACTAATAGTTCGTGCAGGAGGATCGAATTCAAAAAAGATTAAGCATAAACGACGAGGTTAGCAATTGTACCTTCTTCCTGGCACGTATTTGAACAGGCAGGCGAGGCACCCAGTGCCGGCGGCTCGTCACTGGTGTCGCAGCAGTCGCAAATGCCGTCTGATACTTGGCTGCTGTATACAAATTTGGATTTTGCGCCTTCGTTCTTGCAAAAAAATAAGTTTGGCTGCACATCTCCTACTGTTTCTGACGTTAGGCCAGCACACGCAGACGTTTCGGGTTCGTCTAAACCTATGATGTATGGATTTTACATTTATTACCTCAAAATTTTTAGAGAACCAATGGCGTCTGAATGTCATGTGTATGTCCCTGTTATGACCATTCTTGATCACCGTAGTTTTTTTTTTTTTTTTGCGTTAGGACTATATGCTGCCACCCTTTCAACCAATTACTTACCCAATATTTATAAGATCATCCAAATTACATACTGGGTGCGCATAAGACCGTACAATCGGCCACAAGTCTACATCTATCGAAGAGGCCGTACATTCGGCCCCTGTAGAAAACCTAAGGCGCAACCCGACGCAGCGGGGCCCCATGAGCAAGTCAGCACACCTGCAGGGGTATGACACGCCGCAACACTGATGTTGGATATACTGATGAACCACCTAAAACATGAACTGACAGTTAAAAAAATTAACTAACTAACAGCGGGCATCTGAACCCTTAAACTTGATTCTGCACACAACTTTAAGTTTGATGACATTGATATTTTCTACCGCGAAAAAGCGATAAGCCCCGTCCTCAAAAACCTACAACTGTATCTAACTTTTGAAAAAAAACGTCGTAACCGCATTCTTCTATAATTTTGTCATACTCATACCACCCAAGGAAAAAACAGATAAAAAGTAGCAGCTAACCATTCAGGCAATCGCAGAAGCCATCGTTAATCATATCAGGTCTCAATTTCGGGTGTGCTCCATTCCGCAAGTTCTTTTTCATCAGTTCGCCTCGCGTCAAAATACAGGACTCTACGATCTGATCGGTTGCGACGACCATTTCTGCGGCAAGGGCGGCCACAGCGACCGCGACGCCTATTCTTCTCCCCATCCTTGTTGTCTTTCTGCTCAACATGTTGATGAAGATCAATGATCAGCACCTCATGGCCCCTCTCCAAGTCCAACTATAATATGTAGATGTGTTGATGATATCCTTTCCCCTAGTTCTTCTTCTTGCTTGATTCGATGCCCAGCACCAACAAAAGCCCCGGTGAAACTAGTCGTTCGGTCGTGCTCAGGACCCTGCAGGTAAAGGTATCTGTAAAGAACCAAGGCCGGCCAGGACGAGCTTTCTAAAAAAGAAAACGGCAACTACTTCTTGCCGCAACAACTGCGATTACAACACAGCTTTCTCTACACTCGGAAACTTCGCACGCAACCACCAATGCGACTCGCCCTCGGCTTTCAGTTCTCCTGATGCGAAAGATGCAGAACAGGCTGGGAAGCAAGACACGGAATTCCAGGTATCAATACTGTTGTTGCTGCGACCACACAGCAGATCGCAGACGAGCAAGAAGGGCTCTCTTCCCAAGCGTGTTACTGAGCGGGACAACGACGAGCAAGTAAAATCAAACCGAAAAGATCATAGCTGTACCTTGACTCCCTACAACGAGTGGACAAGAGTAAAACGAAATCAGAGAATAGTTAGTAGCACGCACCCTCAAGCACTGCGCTACAACAAGTGCATTTTCTAGTGTATTTGCTTCAATATACATTTTTTTCCTTCATCAGTCTGAAACAGCAATGGATCTATTCAAGAATCTGAGACTTCCACCTTTAATAGATGAGCTCAAGATCACCCAATCCACCTCTAATAGATCTTCATACACCTACTTCGTAGCTAAGACCACATCACTCTCACTCATGACGTTGTGTTCATTTGACCCGATTCCAGTGGCTACGCCACCACATGTGAACATTCATCATGATAGGTTATGTTATAGCTTATGCCTCCTGCGCATCGAGCGCAGCCGGCATCTGCTCGCCTCTGAGGATGATGTGCGACTTGAGGAAAAAACTCATATCATAAGTAAGTACATAAATTTAAAAATATCCTTCTTTCTCCAGCTTGTGGAGGGGATGGTTGTCTTGAGAGTAACGCTGTCCCCTCAGATCCTTTACACAGGCCGACCAGTATACAACGCACCCTCCACCAAGTACAAGTTCGTATTGCACGCCAGAACCAAAAGTACACTTGGAAAGGACAACTGATATGCACATCCCCTTAATACGTGAACACTGTCGTGTCTCTAAGTGGATTCTTGTTCTCGTCGACAAGGAATTCGCACGCCAACAAAGGAGCGCCGCGGGTTTGCGATGAGATTTGACTTGCCTTCCATTCATATGAGGAGAGTCTTGGAATAAGGTTAGAATCCTGGGAGCTCTTGCACGCTAGCTTAGTTTTAAGAAAGTGACAGCGATTTGATTCATATGCGCGACAGGAGCAGCACTCTCTTCGCCCCGAGAGTATGATCGAGACACGGAAAAGCTATGATCAACGAGCAATAAAGATTAGTAAGATTTTCCAGACTTAAAAAAAACCAAAAAGCCAAAACGTTATAGAAAACACGTCGAATGCCACAGACTGTCAGCGGATTTATGCTAGCTCTACCAACTGTCTTTTTCAATAGGAGGTCAATTCTTGACGGTTGCGCTCCATCTACAGCCTTTCATCCCGCAGAATTTTGGTGGTGATGTCTGCATCGAAGATCCCGCGGTATCGGTTAAGGCTGTAGCGATTTGAGATGCTTCTGGGCCCCTTTCACTTCCGCGATCCTGTTTGTGATCATTATTTTCGCATCCGCGATCCAGGCTTTGATCGTTATTTTCGCATTCCCAGTGATGTTTTCACAACCCATCTGCTCTACGTTCTGCAGACATTCTTCCGCTTTTTTAACAAGCGGGCCAATCTTTTTGAGAGCAGCGGAAATATCTTCGGGTGATGAAGGTTCGTGAGACGCCACTTGCGCTTCCTCTTTGGCCGAGTCTGCAGCATGTTGTGCGGCCCCCATCTGGCCTTGCAACGCGCACCATATTCTTGTCTGTGTGTCACAAGAGGTCGACTTTGTAAGTCGTTCAGACGAAGCCGGGTGAATCGGACATCCTTTAGGCGAAGCCGGCGGACTTGAACATCCTTCAGGCGGAGGCGGCGGATGTTGTAGAGGAGGAGGCGGCGGATGTTGTACAGGAGGAGGCGCCATCGGGACTTGTGGTTGGGAAGGTCCGGAACCCCGTACCCCGTCTGGTCCTCCTAGACGTGCAGGGTTCACCGGTCGCGGCAGCCCTGGATCAACCGTAAATGAAGGCGGTGCTGCGGGGACTGTCCGTGTCGACAAGAAAGCCTGCCCTCCGGAAGAGACCGGCGCTGCATCGCGAGCCAAAACGATCGAAAGTCTTAAGGATTTGCATGACCCACCCGGCAATCTGATAAAAAAACCGAAGGCAGCGCAATGCCCTGCACATGAGTCGACGCATCTGAGTCGGCCACCGCCGGCACTCGGCTCTTGTCGTAGTCAATTCGTAGGGTGCAACAGCGCACCCGCGAGCTGTCTCTACTCTAGCGGCTGTAGCCCGTGGGAGGCCGCTGAAAAGTGCTAAACTAACTTGAAGCCGGGCGAAGCTTGTGGAGGCTAGTATATATTATAACTTCCAACCTTCCTTTCGTCCTTCTCTAAAAAATTCCCAAGTTTTTGATTGGAGGATCTTCGGAGGTGAGAGAAATTGAGGATCTGGCTGTTGTGAGAGTTTCCTGTAGACTATAATTTTTTCGACGATCGTGCTGCAAATATTGTAGTTTGGAGATTTTGGATCGTTCACTGAAAGTCTTTGACCAAAGCGCTTGTTCATTATGGGTGAAAATGAACCTTTTCTTCGTAATACTATTAGATTGACCCGGAAGAATGCAACAACAAAGCTCTTTGTTTGTAGGCAAGTACTAACATGAACATGATCGAGCTCGTACTTTTGGATTTTCATTGTCAGGACTGCTCTGTGGCCTACGAGATGTGGCCCATTGAAGTAAGTACTTATGATGTTGCTATCATTGATTCACGTAAGTACATTTCGTGAACAAAGCCTTCGTGGTATACCCGTCGGTCAGATAGTCGACCAGAAAAACAAATGTTTTTAAGGGGGTGCTCTTCGAGAGAAACAGGATTAGTGGGCTTCCCACTCACAAAAAAGTGGTTTATTGTTCTATCACCTGTCGATCCTGTTCCTGTAATCATTGCGCATGCGCTCCTACATCATGTGGATTCCGAAGCGGTAAAGAATATTGTAGTAGTAACCATCTCAACAATACTAGGTAAATTCATAGTTGAGACTCATGGTCGGCTGGAATTGATAAGGCGCCACTCACCACCCGGTTGTTGGGAATTCCCGGGCCGTGGATATGCGGATCCGCCGTTTGGATGACCTGGCGACATTGGAGGAGGTCCTCCGGTATAGTTTGTGGAGTGCGGCATCCCTTTTTGATTTTGCATTTGCTGACCTCCATAGCCTTGCACGAGGTTCATCCCATTTGGGGGAGGCCCACCTGGAGCTCCCATTGGAGGTGCCGCCTGGAGGTTCGCATTTGGACCCTTATGGATCCCATTCCCGCCTGGACGTCCGTTTTCAGCAGGCAGCAGAGGTGGGGGAAGTCCAGGCTGCTGATATTGAAGATTCTGAGGAGGATAATGTTGTTGCTGACCAGAATTTGGAAGTTGTGCTCCTTGAGATTGTTGCTGATGCTGCGGTTGAAATTGCGACCACGAAGGTCCAGAATTTGGCCGCTGCTCCATCGGGGGCGGAGATCCTCTTTGATGGTGTCCGGGGTCTCCCATTGGCGGCGGCCCCCCCTGATGAAGTCCTCCGGGGTGCTGTCCAAGATGCGGCCCTCCGGAGTGTGGCCGTCCTGGCGGATACGGTCCTCCTGGATGTGGTCCCCCTTGATGAGGCCCTTGTGGCGGACCCTGCAGCTGCGCGTCACGTTGCTGCATGTGATCTGGCATTTTCATAGGTGACGGCATCCCCCTGTTCATGGGCGGCGGCGGCATACCGAAACCTTTCGTCTCGTTTCCTTTCATGCCGGTGAAAGGCGGAGGGTGTTGTGCCCACGGCGGCGGAGGCTGCTTCCCTGAACTGGGCTGTCCTAGCTGTTGGTGCGGCATTCTCATGTTGTTGATGTGTGAGTGGTTCCCCTTGTTGGCCAAGTGCTGCGGTGGAAAATCTTCTGGCCTTCGAGGACCAGTTCCTTTGTTCATCGTCATTCCCATTTCTTCTGATGAAGAGGCCTGCATCATTGGACGAAGTGGCATTTCACCAGGATAAAAATCCGGTTTTTTACCACCCTTCATCATTTCGTGTCGTGGCACATTTCTGAAGTCGAGGCTTCCCTTGCCCATATCCCTCGCACCTGGATGCAGCTGGTCTCGTGTATGCGGCGTTAGAAACGGCGGCGGGCCTGGTGCTCCGTTGTCGCTGACCAATGGTGGCCTAGCAATTGTGTAAGAAGGCGGCATCGTATTCGACGGTGGGCTCCCTTTCATCATCGGTTGATGTCCTCCATCTTTATTGCCTTTGTTCTCGCTGCGCTGTATCATTCCTTTCGGCTCTCCGCCGGAAGTGGTACTCGTAAACAAAGCGTAGTCTGGTCGAGGAGAAACATGGTTCACGTGATTCGGCTGCTGCTGCACACGCTGTTGATGCGATGCTGGTGGAGGCGGAAAATCATTTCTGTCTCCAAACGACGACTGGTTTGGTCCCCCACGTCCTCCTTTTTCCGCCATAGCTAACAGATGCTCCACCGATTGCGCTTGTGGTATTTCCGCTCCTGGCAGATCCATCACATGTTCTGTTCGATCCACAAACCGTTGCGCGCGCTCGTGCATCCGCGAATTCACCTCGTCAGTGTGGTAGGTTTTCCCATCTCCCATATTGATGCATCTTGAGAAACCTGGAATTTCATACATCGCTACGTGCTCGTCAGCACCATTTCCACCTTTGCTTGTAGCCGACACGTTGTTGTTGGCATCTTGCTCAGCATTACCACCTTTTGTCCCATGTTTCTGACCTTGGTGTGGAAATTTCTTAGGTGATCCCGCGTTTCTTGCATCGGGTGCAAACGACTCTGTCTCTGGTCCTCCATTCTGGCGCTTCTTCCCGCCGTTCCCCTTTTGCGCGAAACCGGCGTCCCGTCGGTCATGCTTTTGACCCTTCCCGCGCCGCGCGCCGCCTCCTTTGTGATAATATGATTCCGCAGGTGGCTCATCAACAAAGGGTCTCTCTCTCTGCTTCTCATTCTGGTCCCTACTACCTCCATCGCTATTTTGTTGCGACCCAGGTCTCCGTCCCTCGCTCTTGCTCTTGTGCAAAGGAGCTCCAGTAGCAGCATTATCGCGATTATGGACACTGCACTCACCTAGCCAGTTTGGAGAATTGTAGTCCTTGTCATACGAAATGAGATTCTGAATCGGATGCACGAAGTCTCGCTCGCCTACTCGCTTCAGCAAGAAAGGATTCACGGCAAGCTTCGCTAGACGCCCATTTCGACAGAGCTCATACCCACGACGCAATTCGAAACTGTATTTTAATTTTTGTGAAAAAGACGAGAATAAAATTCATTATATATAGATACCGAATCCTGCCTGTGCGGAAGCTACGCCGGACCACACTCAGTGCAACATGAAATTCCAATCACGACACCGATCTTGGTCTACTACTTCTTCTGCATCTGTGTCAAACGCAATTTATACTTTTCTACGTGGTTATGATCAACAGGAAACAAATTGATGGCATTTCAGTATTACGTCAATCGCTCTTGTCCTTTCGCGTTTGTGCCCAAGATGCGATCAACTTCAAACGGATCTTCGATAGACAGCCAGCTTTTCTTCCGAAACAAGTTCCACATGCGGTCCTGCTCCTCATCTTCCGCTTCCGTTCGCACGTCCTCCCGTATGCCATAAAAGTCTACTTTTTTCAAGGAGCGACCCCGCACAGACACTACTTGGATCCAGAAATCAAAATCGTACGCGTAGTAGAAGAAGAACTCTTCAAGTAGCTCCAGCAGGGGAGGCGGTTCTCGGAGTCTGAACGCAGTGCGAAGCTGGTCCACGGTCCAACCTGCTGCGAGCCAATCAAAGTACTGCACGACCGCGCCGCCGTCATCCATTGTCACTGGAGGCGCCAAGGGCACGGATCCGCCAGTTCGCTGTCCTCCTGCAGGATGGTGGTGTCCTCTGCCGCCCACCTGCTGCGGGTTGGCTGCAACCGGCAGCTCCGCGTGAGGAGCGTTCTTGCCCGGTTGCAGCACAGGCAAAATGTTGGAGCGTTGCAAAAAGTGAACAAGCAGAAGAACGTAGGAGTACGAAGAAAGAGTGCCGGTCAAGGAATCGTTGATTCCCCGAGCCTTCGCCCACCGCTTTAGAATCAGGGCTAATTTTTTGACACTGGGGTGCACGTCGGCGTAAAGCCTCAGCAAGCGACTGTTCGCAAAGACAACCTCATGCCCACAGCTAATGTCGAAGTTGATTTCTAGGCTCGTCTCTTCCTCCACCGCCAAAGGTTCTCCTGCTCGCTCCGTGTTCGCTGACCCTGAGGCCCCACCGCCTTGCCTTCCACGATACACTCGTTGCGAAACAACCAACTTCGCCGAGCACCTCAACAGTGGAATGCGTGCATTCTCTACGCGCTCCACTTCGAACCCGGCCGCCTCTAGCACTGGTGCCAACTTCCGTAATCCGACTAGGTTACCACGCGTTATGCTCATAAAGTCGAACATCTTCTGCTGTCCCTGGTCGGTGGCGATAGGAACGGGATTAGCATGCGGCTGCTCCGCGGCTGCGTCGCCTCCCGCAGTATGCGAAGAAGTCGGTTCTAACGCATCCCCTCCTGCTGCACTCGATGAAGACACACGTGCTGTCTCCTCCGCTGTTTCTCGAAGCTTCGCTATCTGCACAGTGAGACCCCGTCTCCAGTCACACCAGAACGCCTCACGTTCTAGGCCGGCCTCTACCTCTCGCGAAAAACGAATTCCTGATTGTAGTTTTCATGACATCAAACAGAGAAAACTAGCATCTAATGTTAATTCCCGCGACTACGTTTCGTGGATACTCCTGCAAGGCATGAGTCCTTAGCGAAAACATTGAGGTCAAGAACAAGTGTTCAGCAGTCCATCTCATATCATCGTCGAATAGTGGAGCCTAACATGAATGAGTTCGAGTTGTAGAAGTCGTACATAAACTTCATCGAGGTCATCAAAGAACGTTGGTTTGCAAGTCTGAGTTGTACCACAATCCAGGTCGCTGCTTTTGGTCACGAAGCCGGAGACAATGCTGCCGAATAGGTCGATGGAGGCGTCGTCTTTTCCCCAGACCTTCGTAACGAGAGGCTGGACCTTCGTCTGAAACAAATTCAACATCACCGCTTCCTTCACCTCATCCATCGCGCTCATTTCTGCGAGTTCATCTAAAAAATATTCGGGATCCTCGACTATTCTCTCCAGTTCACGGACGCTAGTCGTGGAAGCCGGCTCGGTTGCCCCGGAAGAGGATGCTGGCTCTGCTGCTGCTGCTGTTTGGCTACTTGGGTCGCCTTCTGGTGCTCCCGTAGTTGCTGCACCCGCCGCAATGCTGCTGGTTTGCCCTTGGCCTGGTGCTCCTCCTGAGTACTTAACATGCGGGCGAATATGAATGATGTCGCCGTCCGGTCCGAGAACCCTCGTCTCTAGACGCGCAAACTGCTGTTCGGCGAATGCTGCCCTTGTTGCCGTCGCAGCCTCCAACGTACTTTGCACTCCTCCAGTCGTAGCTGGATGAACTCCACCTTCCGCTCCAGCAGCAGCTCTATCTTTTTGATCAGAGGAAACTCGTCCGGGTGGTTCAAAATTCCCCGAGCGCACCTTCTGGATGAGTGTTGTGAAATGATAACGCCACTTGGCCCACCACTCGTTCCGAGCGCGACCTCTTGGAACCGCGGGAAATCGATCCCGCGACGCGTTATTAATTTCCCTAGTATTCGCTCGCTCTTCGCGAGCACATGCCTCGTCGCTTGTTGCGGCTCCATTATCATCGCCTTGATTGGCTTCATCGCCTGCTTTCGATGCAGTCTGACCGCCATCAGCGTCCGTCGTGGTGCTCGGCTTTTCCCTTGGCTTCCTCGCAAGCACCTTTTTTGCAGGCAGAGTGAGACTGAACTCATTTAGAGCACCCGCTGTCTCGCTCGATTCGCTCGCAAGTCGCCATTGCGCTATGACCTCAACTGGATCCCACGCGGCTAGTTCGGTTCCGCTACCTGCTACATAACACCTAGCTTCCATCAACTTCTTCCCCTCCTCTATAGTTTTACCACTACCTTCCTGTTCTTGCGGAGGCGGCCCTGTCTTGGCACCATCTCGCAGCAATTTTTGCATACCACGTTTCAGGAAAAACTCGGCCACCTCGAGTCGATTCCGGGCAATATGCGGCACACATCGTGTGTAGACCAACATTCTGAGCACCCGTTGCAATGGCACGCGGTACGCTGGCGTGTAGGTGGCAACGAGGACATACAGGATATTCTCAATCAACCGCACCGCCCCAATCGAATAAGCCTCAACCTGAAGTATTTCCATAAAAGCATTGCTAATTTCGCAAACAAGATGCTAGTATGCTGGGAAATGGACCACTCTCGTAGTCGTGGCGGATATCCAGAAGCTGTGCATAAGCAACGCGATAACGATGAAGCAGGTAACAAATCATGTATGACAGTGGCCCTGGCGCTGCTCGCTGACAAGAAATTTTTTTTCCAAACTATATAAAAAGGGCGGTTTTCATCCTTAGTACTCTAAGATTCCCACACACGTCCTCCTCGAGACAGGAGAGAATTTGGATGAAGGTTTTGCATATGAGGGGCCGCAACTGTGCAAACTGGAAGACGCGCTGGATATTGACTTCTATCCCAATTCCACTGAGGATATTTACAGGATCAAACTCCTCCGCTGCGTGCCTCTGCGCCAATCGCCCTTGCTTGCGTGCGTCCACAAATTTCCGAACCTTCCCCTGCATCTGCAGTAGCCATGCTCTCAACCGTTCGGTTGCCTCCGTTGCAGATGCCAGCTGACTTACTCCAGAACCGTCGTTGCTAGATGTCGCAGTTTTTGAACGTTGCAGCACCTGCGGTACCCCTTTCGTCTGTGGTGCCGGACCTTGCCCCGTACCGCTTGCATTTTGCGAAAATGCTGCGTAGCTGCTGCGTGACAACTTAGAACTACGGTTCATTGTGTATCTGGTGTTCTCTATAGTTCCACTTCTTATTCCTCTCTGTCTTCCAGAATCTATGTTCTATCTTGGGAAGTTTCGATCAACATCACCAAGGCATCGCAAGTGGTCACTCTTACTAACCACCTACGAGATCGAGACGAACATAGAACTACAAAAGCAGCTTTGCAGTCAGCTTAGTGCAAAAAATAAAAACTGCAAGAAGATGTATGAACGTCATTAAAAAAAAGTAACTATGGGATTGATTTATTGGTGTCATAAATGACGCTGGATCTGGAACTACAGGTGTAGCTGTTAGCCAAGGCTTGGGTCGTGGATCCTCTCGAAAACTCGCGATGCCTTCAAGTGTGTCCGCTGAATATTCTATCCTCCAACGTCGCGCGAAATTTGAAAAACGGCCACCGCCATCCTGTCCTCCCTCGGCAGCCATCTTCAAGTAGTCGTGATCTCGCGATGAATCGCAATACCCTTCAAATTCGCGTTTCGCTCTAGCGACTACTCTGCCAGTTTGCGCTCACCAGCTGCTAGAATCTCCAGGTAAGAGCTCGAGCTGTAAGAGAGTATCTCGGTGAAAACCCAGCTCACGTCGTTCTGGAAGATACAAATTTTTTTCCTTCGCAGAGAAGTTCAACATCGCAGCACCAATACCGGAGTGAAAAAGTCCCTGGTAACAATTCGTCAGATCAGCAATTCAAGCATTCAAGAAACCAGCTTCGTTCGCAGAAAACCGCGACTCAATGGACCTTGAGGAAGCCACACAAAATCCTAGAATGCGAGCACCCGCGAAGAAACGGTGGCAACAGATCGTCAAACCAGTACTCGCTCAAGCTGAAAAACCAAGTAAGACAGACGATGCCCCGCCATCGTCATTACTATACACGCCGAGGCAAAGGCACGGAGTCAGGACATGTGGTTAGATCCGGATTACAACGACGGAACGACATCATCAACATCATTCATTGCTTATGTTCTATTCTACGAATCATAGTAGTTCTTCATATGGGCTAAAGAGATTACTCATTTGACAACGACATCCTGTCTATCTCTTATCCTGAGCCTATCACTATCATTGATCACATACATTCATGTACTTTGCTTTCTGACTGGAACAGGGTAAAACATTCGTCGCTGTACAAAAGAAGCAAAGACAAGATTGCTGTGCATCCATACAGGTACTTCTACTACTAGGGAATTAAACATATTAATATCGTTCAAGATAGATACAAGCACTGTTATAGAGGATACAAGTAAAGAGAACGATAGCAATACAGGAGAAGGGACCTTCAGCCTGATCAGTTGTCTCGTCTTCGACCTATCATTTCCTAACTGGCGATTCAATTTAAATTTTTTTGTCAAGCCATGCGGGGATCGAGAGCGTTAGAAAGGATCAAACGACAACCAGTATTTTCCATCGAAGAGATGACAAGGTATCGACAATGTGACAGATGCAGATCGTATTTTCTACAAGTAAGGTAATTGCGTTAGTTGCTTTCTTTGAGAGATGAGAGACGCAACGAACGATGGGTAAAAGTAAAAAAAGTAAACGACCTGCAAGTAAGTTATTAAGCCGACAAAAATATATTTTCACAAGGAACTAGTTAGTAATTAAATCGTCAAGACAAGCAGCAGCTGATAACAAGAAAGTTACAATTCGTTGGTGACTTTGAAGTTCGTATAAACTGAAAGAAAATCGGTAACGCAAAAGATGTCCTTTTAAGCAGAGGCAGCACAGTCATTCTGAGTTAACTAATCAGGAGTCATCCAATGTTCCCCACATTCGACCCTTCCTCGGCTACCTAACCGATCCTGACAGTTTGGCCAGTATAACTTTTTTGGACACTGGACTCGAGTGCCCTTTGTTCGTGTTTCGTTGCATTTCCGTGGGGGCAGGGGGTAGGATCGATCTTTGGTCTGGGGTATCTCTCTCGCGGCTTCTATCTTCCAGAACCGGTTTCTGAACTGGGACTACATCTTGAAGATGATGCGAGGACTTCTCATGTCGACGCCAGTCGTCCGACCACAAGAGCAACAGCAAGAGGGTACGAATATAAACTCTGTGAGGACTGGTGACCGCAACAAGAAGGACGAAAACTAGACGATATTGAGTTCCAACATTATCATTCTCTCTCGATCGTAGTCGTACACTGTAATATAGTCAGACCACAACAGGAATATCACATATCTTCGTGGACGCAACAATTGACTCTAGAGGCATCCTTAAGAGGCACAATCTTAGTAGAAGCATCGCCAGATGCACCGGTAACTTTCCATGATCTCGCTTGATGAGGCACGACGTGACGAAACCGCACGAGCCAGCCCGTGGCAACTAGAGGTGTGCCAAGCTTTTTGCTCTTGCTGGAGCTGAATGAGCGGAATATCTTGAAAGTTTTATTAATATTTTCCACCGGAGATGATGAGGTTTTGGTATTTTTCATGCTCTAGGAGTGCACGACGAGGATGGCGTCTATATTATCCACGGCGGGAGACGGTGATGGGTTCTATGGGAAACATACCGGGAAAAAAATGGTGAGCAACAAATCTTCTTCATTCAAATCGGAATCAGGAGTCCACATTCATTAGCAGCGGTAGTACCTACATCGCAACAAGTATCACCTAGTTTTCCCCGTTGATGTTGATCGCATTTTTTTCCTCAGTCATTCTTTCTGATAGAAGATATCAGCGCACCTTTGTTTGCCTTAGCCATTTTTGTAACTGAGTCTCTTTTTGTCTAGTACGATACTTTACCTTGTCATAGCAACATGGTGCTACGTCGTATAAAACGATCTTTGGAAACGTTTTATATATTTCATGGCAGACAACCACCACGTCCCACAGAATGAGACACGACCGTTGGTTCCCCCTCCCCCAAGTGTCCCTGCTGTGAGTTGACTTGCTTCCTAGTATTACCAGTTGTAGTTGTTGTACGTTGGTTGGATTTGAGTTTGATTTGAATTGTAAGAAAATGAGTATATGATGCTGATAGATTGTACCTATATATATTAAACGAAAACAAAAATGTAAGTGATATTTTCAGGCGTAAACAATTAGCACAATGTTGAATCGAAATTTGGAAGATTTCTTCTCACTAATTAATAAACGATAAAGCTCTACAACCTCCTCCTGGTCCACGTTGGCCCACTTGCGGTACGAGAGCAAACATTTCTACTTTCGCAACATGAAGCTACTTGCCTACAAAGTGGTCAGAGCACTTTGGTCGCCCTCTTCCTAAGGCATCCACTACGTAGCAAACCAACCTCAATGGAAACACTTTAACTTTATTTTTCAGAGACTCTTGTCGTGAGAGTTGCAGTCTCCTTTTCATCATTTTTTTCCCTCATTTTCTTCATTCTACTTCCTCTCCATAATTCATCTTGGTGCTAAATGATCTTTGTCTACTTATCTATGATGTCAGATGCAGGGTGCTGCGCTTCATCTCCTTCTCAAGTGCTTGGTTCTGCAATTCGAGACCCAACACGAGCTGGTCATCCTCGATTTCCTTCGCAATTTCACAGAAGTCTGGCAATCCTTTGCCTGCGCTGCCGTCAAAGTGGGCGACGATCGGTCCCTTCTTGTAGTTACCGACAAAGAGGGTCACGACGATGCTAGTGCCCTCAGGACACCGTATGTAAAACGCGCAAGCGCCGTCCTTAGTTGTGTTCTGCGAACCTAAAGAAATTAACCATGCAGATCATTACTGATCATTTCGAACATTGTTTAGAAGGAAATGTCCTCTCACAAAAATCTTCAAGGAAAATAGGCAAACACATCAAACTCAAAAACACAATATTTCAAACCATAGACCAGTACCGTTTGGATAAAATTCGAGAAGGATTTCTCTGATTCCGGCCGCAGAGAAAATAGGCGAGTAAATGCTGCTTCCCCGAGGAAGATTTGCTAACTTCTTTTCCATATTAATCAGCCTCCACTCGACTCGAGAGATGTTCCGGTTCGTCAGAATCTGTGATATTTGAGAAGTAAACTAAAATTTCCTCTACTGTATAAGGAAATGATTTTAGGTCTACTCAACTTGTTGTATTCGTATGTGGTCTTGGTGAACTAATTATGGTCAAAATTCTGAAAGCTAAACTACCCCGTGAGGCACATTCAAGTAGATCTCAACGAGTGTCGGCGTCGAAATGGCTCGCGACAAACTAATATCCAACTCCACGGGTCTGTACAAGCATCAAGAAACTACCTGCGCCTCTTGATCGATATGCGAGCGGACTGCGCCCGTGTAAATTTGCAACGACCCAAGGTCAGACTGCACATACTGCGTCTTCTCAACCTGAGTATATCTCGTGGTTTTGAGTTTGAATCTTCCATCTTCCAGCATATTAAAGACAACTCGTTGTCATGGGGACAGCCTAAAAATTCTTGTAAATATCAAGACTCCTGATCATGATATAAACATTATGATGTAGCAGGACGTGCCTGTTATTTAGTTTCGAATATGAACCTCCAATATGTCGACGGCCACTGTGACGGAGTCTTGCGTGATTTCTGCTTCTAGCATGCAGAAATTGGAATGACCGTGACCCATGCGGCCATCGTATGTATCCTCGTCAGGTGCTCGCATATGCTTCTTATCTTAGAAGAGGGTGCTGGGCGTACTACTTACTTCTTAGAACAAGAGGGTCGTGCTGCCATCCTCTAATTCCGTCGTGGTGTCTTTGAACAACATCTTCTCGAAGATACAAGTACAATCCTTTGCACATGGTATTGGTAGTTTTTCTTCTGAGTAATCCATGATCGTTTGAAGAAAGTAGAAGAGCCGTGCTTCAGTACAAAGGTGTCACGAGGGCATCGAGATGTAGGACTGGAAAGGGATAGATAAATAAGGTCTTGGGATCATAACCTACGGAGAGCTGGTACTTGATTTTCGTGCCACTTGGGCACCACAAAAATAAGGAACAAAATCCTGTAATTGTCGTTGACTCCCGCCCATTTGGGAAAAACTCCAACTGAATACCGTTGATTCCACGAGCAGAAAATTCTGGAGACCAAATGCTCATACCTAAATTGCGAGAAGCGAGGTCACTGTGTCAACTTTTTCACATCACAACTTAGTATATATAACTAGTTGTATTAATTGCAGCGTCTGTAGTATATCAGCACAGCGCCCAAGTTATCAAATAAGACACAACATCGGACGAATCATGGATACCTTTGTCTTGCGCCTTCAGCCGATCACGGATTCCAGGGATAGTCCACTCTACTCGACGCACATCGTGCGATGTCGATTCAAGGGAGTTGCTACTGGCCTGGAGGGAGGCCATCTTCCTTCTCGTGCTTCGCAATTCATCATCGTGATCCTCCAGCTTTCGCCGCAAACTATTATTATCTTTCTCCAGAAATTTCACCTTCTCCGTCATCTGCAGAGAGGAGGACAATAGTGTTGATTGTTATTCAAGATAAATAGTTCACGTAAGCGTACTTTGTTCATTGAGGAGAATATAGTGGCATGTGTATATAAAATTCACACTCTTGTCCTTATGCATAGGGACAAGCAGCAGACATTCTTCATTATTCTGCTTCCAAGCCAGTGCAAGTACTGACGAATTCTTAGTACCTCTCGCATATCATTCTTGTAACGCGTATCAAGCTCATTGAGCTTGAATTCGATATCGCCCGACATTTTTTCCGCTATACCTATTCTATGCACTTATAAGTATGTTTTTAAGAACTGTTAGGTTAATCGATCGAGCAAGTTAAGAACGCCAACCACTCTTAGTGGCGGGTCCGATTGATCTTCACCTACTGCTGTGTATCAAAAAAAAAATTCTTCAAATCTTCAATTACAATTAGTTCTTGTAACAAGAACAGGTTGAGTACAGCGGTTAGCTAGCGAGATAAAAAGACTGAAAACCGCACGACTTTCCACTAATTTGCCGGACAAGATTCACTTTGCAACTTTTCATCCCATATAAAATTTTTTCCTTTTACAATCATCAATTTCAATCGCAGACCAGGAACTAGACTGGACGCCAGAGAAAGAGGATGCTCGAACAACAGCTCGTTATAAAAGTAAAAATTCAAAAAATGTACTTAATTAGAATAAGAGCAACTACTAGCCCATTACTACGTACTTGAAGTCATGATGTAGTTCAAGAAGGGCAGCTTCTCCAATTCCGCATCTGTAAAACAAAGATGATGTAGTTGTACGAAATATGTATGTGATCTATTGCTTCTTTGTTCAATCTTCTTCATGAGATTAAATTAGAGGTAGTTCAAACGATTCTTGATGTTTATGTCAAACATTCTTCTACGCCTGGCAAGATCAAGGACGAGAAAGGAATCCTTGATGGTTATCTCGTGACCAACCTTTAGCAGTTTTCAAAACCAGCCCTCAGAATTGGAAGGTTCGATGCTGTACCCCAAAATTTTGTAGGAGTAAAGAGAGATCCTGCAGCGCGTCGTAAAAAGAGAAGAGAGTCAACCAGCAGGTGGAAGGGGCCAGAAAAACTTATCGATGTGTGTCCGCATCCGACGTATCATGGAAAAAATAAATTGATTTTGGATAGTCGTAACTAAAGAATTATCGAGGAAACAATAGTCGATGTAAACTCTTCACACTGTCTGCAATTCATAGCTGGAGATCGCCTTTTTATGAACTTGAAGCAGAGTAGATATCCACTCAGCTGCTAAACTCGATTATTTCCCACTAGACATGGAGTCCCATTTTGATTAGCATCCAGATCAGTCAACGCTTCTACTTTGGTTCTTGGGCAGTAGTAAGTACTACGGCACCAAAACATAATGCTGTGGTAAAACCCCAATTTGCGGAATAGTTCGGTGCAGAATCTCGAATTTTGCAGCCGGAGTTGCAGCATTTCAAATCAGAGAACAAACATGATTTGCAGAAAAATGGGATGGATCGAAGAACTCGAACACCAGTAGAAGGCTTTTACACCAAACAGAAAGATACAATTTCTACCGCCACATTTTAAATTCATGTCCACCTTCATCTTCACCGCATATGTTTTCATTTTAGAGAGAGCTAGGAATGCACAAGCTTTCTTGAAAAAATCCGAAGAGACAGTGCCTTCTCGCAACTGAAGCCCTAGTGCGACAAGACCCTCTAGGGTGTCGTTTCCAAACACTATGCATATTGGACCAGCCTCGTCTGTCGTCCACACAATCTTCAACAATGTCGATGCAGCTACACATAATTTTACTTTGGAGGTCGATGAATTACACTTGCTCTGGTTTGTAGTATGAGAGACTACGAGGACGTATGAGATCCTAGAGAATATGTTGCGATTTATGTCATGCACAACGACGAGGTATAGACGAATACACACACTAGTGGAGACCATGTACAGAAGTGCCAATACGAAATGTCACCACAAAGCAGAGAACTGGGACTGGCCATAGTGTACTATAACTACAAGTACAATGTTTCTAAATTTACAATCATCTTTCCTATTATCAACAATTGTACAACGACAACTCCAAGACTAAGCTACACGATTTGGAGTTTCGAACTTTATACACGCAATTGGGAAAAGATTCATTATATTCACAGTAGCATGGAGATGAACATAATAAATAGAAGTACTTGAAGATGAAATAGATACAGAACGCGAGTAGTGATTTCTAGCCTGGTTTCCTTCGTCCGGGACTGGCGCGTGTTTCCCTTGTCGTACCACTGCTCTGCTCAAGCGCACGCCTTTGTCGTATTTCGGCCAATTCGAGGTTTGGCGCAAAAGGTCTCGGTACACCTTTTCGTTTCTTTCCGGGACTATAGCTTCCCTTGATCTGACGTCCTTCTTGTTTACCGGAGTGTTCACTGTCACCACCGCCAGCTGCGCCTTCGTGCGTTGACCCATCGATGTTCTCTCCGGTAACGCGCGCACGACGTTCTAACAACGCTTTTTCCCACGGATTGATCGGGTTAGAGAGAGGGAATCAGACAGATAGTCTTCACATAAAATGTGAAAATCTGTCTTGCTTAAATCTTCACTCAACTTGTAGTTGATCACTAAGCACGAGTGCGTGCTCATTCTGCAAAAAAACATGCTGCACGACAATTGCACGCTGTTCGTCTCCCTAAACAAATTACTTGTTCCTCCTATTATTGTCCCTGCTCTTACTGTAACTGTTACTGCTAAAGTAGATGATCAAGATTCACAACATAGGAATCGAATATTCGCCAAAAATGTCACTCTCTCATAATCATGCGTTGCTCCTCTGCTCTGCGGACCCTTTCAAGTGCTTCTTCTCGCATGCGACGTTCTTTGCGCATTCTTTTAGCTTCCTGAAGGGCAAAGTCCCGAAGAAGCACTTTGCCTCCACCGAACTGGTCGTGCAAAAATCCCATCCGCTCAATCGTCTCTGTCTTAGAAGAGCGGTATCAAGTTGTGGATTCCAGAGAGAGGATATCCACAGCTGGAAGACGCATATATCATACGGTGAAAGGGATCCCAAAAAGAATTCAGCTGCCTCCTGCCTACGAGTTTCTCTAAATAGTTTGGATAATCAATAAAGCGATCCAGTATTTCTCTACTTCAATAGGGAAACTTCTATTTCATCAGTTCTCTAGTTCAATTATAAGTGCCTCTCAACAGGCTGATCGCACCTGTGATATCTTCAAGAATATATGTGTTCATGTTCTTCGTCACAATGGCTCTAATGAAGGGGGAGTCCATGCCCATTTCTCTTTGTCATAACTGTCGGCTCCAAGTAGTTGTAGTCTCTCCGACCACCACGACTGCTTTGCGCGCGAGACGAGGTCCTAGATGAGGATGATGCAGTACTACCACTAAAACAACTGCCTCTGTTCCTGATGTTGCGTTGGCCTTCGACCTTGCTCCTATTGAGCAAGTCACGTTGATCCTCTCCTCCAACTTCTCCTGGTAATATCCTGCCTTCAAAATTACTGCCTCCTCTACCACTGTACAGTTCTTCCTGCTCGTGATCTTCACGCGGAAGATTTAGAGATGAAGTCTGTGCACCAAAGGTAGCACCTCCGCCACGTATCTTCGACCTCTCACCCTGTTTCTTCTGTCCTCCTCGTAGTCGTGGATCTGTTCCACCCGAAACGGCGTGTTCTGCAGATTCGTCCGTTTCAGAAAGTTCTTGCCAGTGCGGTCGCCCACCGTCCGAAGATGAACCATCCTCATGATCGTGTGCTTTTTTACTCGGGTCCAGTCCAGGATCAAGCTTTACTACAGGATGCGTCAGACCCGTCGTGCGCATCTGCCGTAGATCTTTGTCGTTGAGGCAGCCACTGAGAATCTGCTCTAATGGGCTCTTCCGTTCATGCCGCTTGCCACGTTCGTGCCGGCTTGTTCGCAGGTGATGCACACCCCCGTCCATCGAGCCTCCGTAAAAGTTACTTGTCGGAGCTGTCGCCGGCACAACGCCTGCTCTGGAAACGCCACCTGGTACCGCCGGGCTCTTATTCTTGCCGACACCAGGAGGGGCTGCAGCAGAAGTCGACGACGATGCTTTATTAGTTGTATTCGATTTGGTGGATGAGTCTGCTTTACTGCGGCCGCCTGGTTCTGGCGACGCACCAGTTGCACCCATTTTCCGGTAGGTATCATTTGGATGCGCCCCGTACTCCTCTTCATCGTTCATCTCACCCACTTCATTATCCGATTCGTCCTGTGGAGGAAATCACAGGGGCATTTGCGATGTAGAAGTCCGTGTCAGAAACTATCAAATGAAAGGCAGCACCAAATTAAACTAGAGCTTACGACACATTAGAACGTGCATCACGTCATCAACCTATTGATTGTTCTGAAACTCGAGGTCATCAGCATTCCAAAGTCGGTCGCTCAGACGTAAAACAGACAAGTACTTGGAAGTACCCCAAGATCCACACTCGCTACACCTGCAGGCCTATCAAATCCTAGCTCCTCTCCTGGTCGCGTCATGCCAACTGGTATTGGTCCATCTTTCGTACTTCGTCGAAAACGACGCTTTTGCCTGCGTTGTTGTTGGGACGCTGAACGCGGTATAAGCGTTCCCCTTGGCTTCGACAAGTGCAACGCCAGAAGTCGGACTTCCTCCTTCGTCAATTTTCGACCTTTCTTTTCAGGCGACATCATCCGTTCCACTGTCTTCTTTCTCGCGTCTAAGTCCTGGTACACCGCAGTGCAAAAGGATCAAGAGAACAAAAATTTAGGGTGGAGCGTACTTGTGTAACAACTTCTACTGTCATGTAGGTATTCTGCAGGCAATCCGACATCTTTACAAGTTTACCACGCGTAATATTCAAGAGCGTGTAGATAATTTACCAGAACCTACATTCATGTACTAGACACGTATCATGACATATCGCCATGCACGATAGGATTTTTGTAAGTACGAGTAGTACCTGAATAGCCTCCTCAATCTTCTCCTTGCAATACGCAGAGAAATGCGTCATAGAATGAGAGCGAGTTCTAGGCCTCTCCTCGGCTGGCCCAAAGAGTTCCGCTGGATCCATGGCTGCTGCAATGGCTGGCGCTTCGTATGATTTCTTCTTCACCTCCCAGTACGTAGTACGTGTGGTTGTAGGTAGAAGTTGGCGAAGGGTTTTTCAGGAAGCCGTCTGATGCTTTACTACGTCGGTACGTCCACCTTCCAGGTAGTACCACTATGTCCTTTTGTCGTAGTTGATCTTGTGGTACAACTTGTAGTTCACGAGTGATGTCGTGGTGAAAATCTTTATTGAATGCGTATTGCATGCTCCAGTTAGACCTTTGCGATGTGCTTACTTTGTTTCATATAAAATCATTCACCTTCTTCTACTACACAATGTTAGTAAACACTGATACTGGTACTTCTTTCTTTGAAGTGCAAGTGGGTACATACAAAGGGGACAAATATTGAACCGCTACCGACCGATACCTGTTGTCATCGGCTGCACCCGATGGAGTACCATGCAAATCAAGCCGACAGAAATGCTAACAACCGAGACAAAGACATCAAACGAGACAAAGACATCAATCACCGATTCAGTTACACAGTTCGTTAAGAAAGAATTATCACTTTGTGGATCCTTCACGACCAAGCTTGCTACTAGACAGATCGACCGGAAAATCATTGGAGTCTCTGCAACGCGGCGAAACGATGATCAGTCCTACATTTTGAATCCACAACGCCAACCGACTGTTCAAACACCTGTTCGTTGAATTCAAAAAGCGATGCTACGAAGCCTTCTTTGAAGACGTCGACCTCGGCGATTCTTGGGTTAGGTCATCATGAAATAGTCTTACATGTTCAAGAACTGGATGTTCAAATCGGAAACCGGAGTCACGTCACAATGGCAATATGGATAGCCATCGCAGTCACACCAGCAGACCGTCGATCCACCAGCAGCCAGCACATGTTTGTGCATAAAAGCAATGTCGTTATATTTCAATTTGCTCAAGGCTGCTCATCCTCCTTGGGCAGCATGGTGATCTGCTACGCCAGCTGGCTGCACGAACGCCGCTGTGTGCTCTTCTTTGGCACCCCACAAGAGTCGCTCGAGTTGACCACCGCCTGGCTGCGACAGTATTTGAGTTTCGATACGGCGTAAGTCTTTCTCTTTTTCTACCAGATCTACTTTGCGACGTTTCAGAGTACGCATATCCTCCTCCACTCCCTGCACACCGGATGCCACGCGAGCCTTGGGGGAGATGTAAGATATGGGAGATGTAAGATATGGTGCACAGGGAGAAGAGTCACAGTTGGAAAAACTGTCCCCAAACGGAAAAGACGTTCCTCATTTCATATTCTACACAGGCGATTAGCTACTTCATCCTTCTCTAGATACATATTAGACAAAATGCAAGTGATCATGAACTATGTATAGGCATCATATGAAAATTGAAAAAAATCCCAATACCTGAAATTCTTCCAGCTGCTTGCTGCCTGTCGTATCCCCGACTTGTGCAACAATATCTTGTATTGTATGCAGATCTCGAGTAAGGTTTGCTTTAAGTGCTGTGTTATGAGCCTCAGGCTTCACCATCCGAAGATGTTTCAACTGAGCCATGGTTACCTCACTCTGTCCTTGCACTTGTCTCAGTTTTTCTTTCTCCTTCTCCCGGCCTTCGAACTCGCGAACCTGCAGAAGATAGGATCGTCAAAGAGAAAATACGGGAGGCAACCTACGCATCTGAATAAACGTAGTTTTCATTTTCCTTACGATCAGCAAAGTGGCGACATCACATGAGAAGATGCCGCAACGCACAGAAAAAACTACAAATAAATTCACGCAGGGGCACCTTCAAGCTAGACCTTTATCCACATTTCGATGTCGTAGTACAGAAATCGGAATCACTTTTTGATCACTGTCGTGTACTATTAAACCACGACTTAGCAGCACCACTGGCTCTTTGTTGAGCTCCTTCCAATGCTTCTCTGCATTTTTGATCAGGGTTAGAGCGAATTCGGTGACTTTTCGAAATTTCACGGCTTCCGGTCCATTCTGTCCAGCGAAGGTCGCACTATAACGAGCCAATATTTCGTGAAACCGCTTAGCTACAACAGAGCCTTGATGTGAGCGTGGCCCGAATCTTGCTCCGGGAGGCTGCCCTGTAGTCGCATTTGCAACAGTGGTTCTGCTAGCTGCGTTGCTTTGGACTGTTCCAGACGTACCAGTCCCACTGTGGCGAGGTCCGAGATCAACAGAAGGTCGACCTGGCTCTCTTGAGGTATTGGAGGTAGTTGCGCTCCTCATAAAACATGTGCCAGCACCACCGCCACCGTTAAAAGTATTCACATTGTTGATACTAGATGAGGACGAGGTGGAGAATGTTGTGATTTGTTGCTGAGCAGTTGCTCCTTGTCCGTAGTATCCCGACGATGAGGAGGAAGACGAACCGCCAGAAACACTATTGGACACAGCTCCTCCTGAGCCAGCTTGATAATGCAAAATTTCTCCTCCATCCGCTGTTGCGGAACTGCTCCCTGTTATTCCGCCACTACTTGCTATTACACTACCAGAATAAGTCGTGGACGTGCCTGCCATTACACCTCCCGGATAGGTGGACGTGGAGCTCCGACTGGGAGGGAGAGACACGAGTGATGCGGGATGCGGACTAGCAGAATGGATCTCAGCGGCTGTGAGCGGGGGTACCGCAGACATAATTGCATCACCGGATGCAGAACGGACCTTACCTGCTGGAGGCAGGGATGGCGGCCGCATACTCATTTTGCCCAAATCACTGTCTTATGCTCCTCATCAATGGGCCGTGTAATTATTGTTGATACGCTTAAAGCGGGGAAATGCCATGGATTCAATGATCAATGTTGCTGGTGCAAAATACGATGATGATGATGATGATGATGATGATGCGCCTGGCAAGAGGTCAATATTTGTACCACCCAGCTTTTTATGAATCACGCTGTTCAATTCATTGTCCTACCACGCGGTTCGCGGACTCACAGTTCAAAATCAGAATCAAGATTATATCTGATAGGAGCCACGAATTTCAACGACACCAGCAAACTTTTTAGAAGTTCCCCTGCTGCTCCACCTGTGCTTCCCACTTACACTTACACTTCTATTACCTGTGACCTCAATGAACATGCATATGTATCTAAAAACAATGGCTAAGCCTGCATGTGGGAAGCTATTTTCTTGGGCGGCGCATTGTATTGCACAGGGTCTTCTTGCTTCTCACCCTTCTTTTTTCGTACATAAATCCAATCACGAGGACCCGCTGCGTTTTATACAATACAACGCAATGCAAATAATCTCGCACAGAATTCAGTGCAGACTGCCACACGGCGTCATGGTGTTTCGTTATATCAGATAATTGTTGGTGGGGGCCAGTCCTCCGACTTTTCGGTAGTTCCAGCGAGCAAGAAGTCCGTTCTCTGATTTCGGATATACGAGGCGAAAAAACCGAAAAGCATCCGATCTACTAAATTGTAGGACGAATGATCGCAACAACTTGCCACCGAATATTGATCACTCGTGACGAAGACAAATGCTGCCTCTTTACAATAATTGCATCAACTCGAGAAGAAGATCGGCACGCCTCATTTTCGCCGCCTACTACGTCTATCTGCACTGCTTCGATAGTGACAAGCAAGCAGTTAGCTTTGCGAGAGTGACGTTATGACTGTCATTCATTCATCTGATGCTTTCACTCATTGACGAAGTATGCGGGGGAGATGAATGAGCTTCACATGCGTAGTAGGTAGGTTCTGGTCTATCGACACTAAGAGGTAGGGCTCTCTAAACATTTTCAACGTTTGAGTATGCGGATTCTCTGATACGTTGCGATGCGAAGGAACTTTTGATACTACTTCTGTGCAACATTTCACGGATGCAGTTGGAGGTGATGCTCAATCAGAAGTCGGGTGAGGTATGCTGCCTTTTATCTTTTTGAGGATTTCAATGATTATGCTGTCCTTTATGTAGCTCGTGGTGGAGGAAAACGTGAGATGATTAACATGCTGCGCGTGCACTTGCATCATCTTCATGGTTCTACTTCATAGATCAGTGAGCTACACAATATGTTCACGCATGTCACTGTGGTACTTGTGGCACTGACTTGTAGCGTCCTTGTTGTTGTGAATTTACGAGAGCCCCCATCTATTTTTTTCGTAGTGAGATGAGCAAAATACTGTGCGGACTTTGTAGTTATGTTGTTGTTCGTGTATAAATCCTTCTAGCGGCTGCAGCATGTCTAAGACGAATGCATAGTCTTCTTTTGATAAATTCGCGCGTTTAACCCTGAGCGAATCATCAATCTACATCTTTTTGGTGATATTTTTTGTTTTCGTCTTGTTCTTCTTCTACTTCATCGCTTGTTTTATCATCTAAACGGCTTCGCCATCGCTCATTCCCGCGCAAGTCGCCACACTTGCAGAGATTGGACCATCCGAAGCCGGAGTCGTCAGGAGGGTAGAGGAAGCGCCGACACCCGAAGCAATTTCCAGTTTGCTAGTTGCAGCGCCGACCACGGCAGCAGCTCCTGTCAAAGCAGCACCACCAGGCGCAAAAGCCCGTCTTGTTACACTACTTGACGAAAGCATGACATCAGCCCCCACAACAGTCCCAGTTCCCCCAACTATCGCGCTAGAGACGACTTCTGCAGAAGGACCCGCTGCAGTTGAGACGCTTGTAGGTAGAGCCGCTGCAGCAGCACCAGATGAACCAGCCAGCAAGACGCCCCGCTGCTGTCGGTGTTTAGCAGAAGCGACTGCGGAAGTAGCCGCCGGGGACGCGCTGGAGCTTACTGCAGAAGTAGCATCACAACTACCATAGTTCTCATTCTCCATGAGAACATGTTTGCACCAGAGCAACCACGTAGATGCGCACCGTGTCCTTCACGCCTTTCTTCTTGATATTGATATTCTGGGCACATAGTCGCGAGGCCCTACACGTCGTCGTCGTGAATGTACTTCGATAGTACGTAAGCAGTCACGTCCTTCTCTTGGTAGAAGATGACGATGAAGACTGAGGTGTAGAGTACTATCACGGGGCCTCTGTAGTGGTCTAGTGGATGCTGAAGCTGATGCTGTTGCTCTTGCTGTTGTTCTTCTGCAAGCAGATGAATCGCAGAAGAAGCAGGCAAGCCGAGCCCTTTCGCTTTTGCTCTCCCTCTTGCTGCTGCTTCTGCTCTTGCTGCTGCGACTTGATTGGCTTGCTGTTTTGCTCTCTGGCCAGGTGGCAGTGTGGCGTCATCATCTCTATTTCGAGTCTTGTCCGTCCTATCCCGAGTAATATGCTGGAACTGCTTGGCGCACTGATCAGAGGCTGGGACGATTCATTCGGGTTCGAGTAGAACCACGGTTACCGATGTGACGGGCATGAGTAATGCCACAAGTTGTGCCGAACTTACTTACAAACAAACAAAAAAAAAGCCACTGACAAGGGGTAAACCATTCCAAACATGGACTCCTCTCTCCGACTAGAAATGCTTACAAGGAAGTCCGTCCTCTTCACCGAGGGTGACCGAGATACTCCTCTACATCGAAGCCTCATTCATATTTTATTCTGTATAACTTTTCATGTTGTGCTCAAGGTCGTATCGTGCCACAATTTGTTGAAGGAGCGCAGCCTCTCTCGGCACCAAAAGAAATTGGAGGTTGATCGCAGACAAACCCTAGGTTCGATCAGTCAATGACTAAATTGATTCACTTTCATCTTTCATCGATAATTTCCGCGATCAGAAAAGGAATCAGAATACAACAAGCGTGGAGAACTTTCCAAGAGGATTTATCAGTCGAGGTTTCGAAGCGGGATGGGGCAATCGGAAATCTGGGGGAGGATTCATGTCCTTGTGGCCACGACGGTAAGGAATCAGAAGGCACGGCTCCTCTTCATCGCAGAGGCGTGTGCCGTTTGAAGTGCCAAATCTACAGGTCGGCGACATTTGGGACAGTGCCCGCGCGTGCTCAACCAGTGCGCTAAACACTGATGATGAAATATGTGACCGCATGCTAGCACCGAAAGCTTATCTTCGTCTCGCTTCTCTGGTGGTGTTCGAAAGGGATTATTTCTGGGGTTCGCTCTACAAATTGTACTAGAGCTGTCTCCACACCCAAAATTGATGTTGGACGCTCCGCTTCCCCCAGGAAAGCTATCCGGATTCATCTCAAGCAGGCAAATCGGACAGCTGCGATCTTCGCACCATTCAAGATCGCCTATTTCTGGCTCCGGCAGTGTCGCAATGATATTCTGATGCGTAGGGATGGCCCCCACCAGAGTTCGTGAATTCTCATGCGAAATAGTGCTGCCAAACTGCCCCCTCTCGTCCCTGCTAATCGCAGTACTCCTATAGACAACATTGTTCGCAACGCTCACGATATTCTCGCGACTTGGTGTTGTTGGCGAAGTTGCATCATCTTCAGAAGAGTCCTCATCACTGCTACTAGTCAAAAAAGAGACATCGAAAGTAGGGTGTGCCGCTGTCCCTGAGAGGCCAGTGGTCGCAGAAGTTGTAGTTGCTCCTCGTCGAGAAGTTGGCCCTGCTTCCATCGATCTGCTATTTCCAAGTTCGGTTGCTTCCTGTCCATCATAATGCTGACCGTTAGTAGTTGTCACTCCTGCCGGTGACCGCGAGGTATTGCGGCAGCCGTTGCCGTCGCAATGCACACACCGTCCTGGTTCCGTTGTCGCTCCTTTGCCTTTAGCAAAGTACTTCCTGCGGCCGTCACAGAAAATCATACCGGGCAGCTCACCCAAGTACGACATTCTCGGATAATTATCTGGACTGGTTGTTCAATGAAGAAGTGAGTTCCACAAGCAACCAAGAATCGGCGTCCCTGGTCCGTCGTCCGCGATGAGACAAAGTTCCAGAAGCAATCGGAAAGTGAATCTCCTTGTCGATGAAGAGTTCCGAAACAAGCACAAACAAGGTTCTCTCAGACTCAATCTGAGTGCAGGCGTCCACCGACAAAGTAAGTATGTAGTTGTGTGCGCCACACGCTCTGTTGCATCACCGGACGACCCACCGTCGGATCTTGCGTTTGAAAGAGCCGGATTAGCCCACGAATCAGCAGAAAAAGTAAGAGAAACCAGAAGAGAAAATCACTGAACTCCAATGTCAGGATTTTCTCCCGCAAATCGCCTGCACCTGCTGATGATGCGTCTGCTGCCGTCATGATACTTGTGGAGATCCTCAACGAAAATTTGTGATTGCTTCAGCTTCTTAGGAATAAACATAAAACGAAATGGGTGGTGCCACGAAACCACCTATTTTCTTACTTACCTAGAATCGAGTGAACTACGATTAAAAAACTCCCTACAGCTCCTCCTGCGATATTTGTTTGATAGAAATTGTCATGGAAACTGAGTGGAGAAGAAAATGTTTGAGATCATATTCAATAGAATGTAAATGATGGGTCAGAGCTAGTTGGCTCTTTCTACATGCTCGTCACTGCCTTCATTGGATCTTCACGGCTCTGGAAATGGTACATTTTTTCAAAGATCTCAGCTCTTACATGATAGTCACTGACCTCTGAGTATGATCTTGCTTTGGTGTTGCACTCGGCGTTGCTTTGGAAGGTGCACAGCGTTGCTAGACCTCCATCTGCTTGATTCTTTTTTGTGTGTTTGTATGCGTATGTTGCCCCGACGCGCCCGTGACGGGTTTGCTTAATCACAGCACTAGAAAAGGTGTCTTTTCCTAATACTACGTCATTTCTTGCATGAAGTGCAGTTTCTATTTCGTATAGCTGAACTATAATTGACTTTGAACTTGGTCATCCTCGATTACTCACCGACTTGGTTGCAATTAGTCTAGCTTTACTTGCAAATCAAAAACTTTTCATGCACAAGAAAACATCCTTCCTTCGTAGAACGTGAATAGACAGTAAGTTCGTTGATCTTGTTGAAGAACCAGCAAAGCCAGTAAGATGAGAGAATTAAGACTAATACTTATGTGTTTTTGTCTCTACTGAAACCCCCGTGGTAACTTTGACGTATCCAAGATCGCCGCACGAAGTGACATTCGCTTCTTTTTTGCGGGTGATTTATCTGCTGTAAAAGGGAGGGGAGAGCCGGAGCGAAAGCCAAAGCTGCTGTCTGTGTTCGATCGCTGATCTGTCCTGAGCTCTGAGCCTGTCGGAGAAAGCAGCGTTGGCGCCCCTTTGTTACCTCCTGGAATGCCGCTACCTTAGAGCTACCCCGTTGACATCCCGGAGTGCATCCTTCGTCCGTCTTTCAAGTAGAAAAACGGCCAAGGATGATGACGAGGATGCTCGAGCGGCAGCCTTAACTACCCCAACTTTGTTGTTCTTTACTTGAAGCATTTCCTGTCTTCAACTTTGCATTTTTGCTGTCGGTCTTGCTCTCTCGCTCGTCAGGACCATCGTCCTCTCCCACGGCACGTCCCCCTTTGCCTTTCTTTATCACACCTTGCTCGCTGAAAAACTTTATTTCAGGCCTCTTCAGAGCCTCCGCCCGAAGCGCGCGTCCTGACGAAACCGGCCACGATCGGCTCCGACTCTCATGTGGTTTCGCGCGTTCCTTTGAGAAACCCGGTGTTTTGTCGGCATTCGCGATCGTATGATCGGTTTTACTCCTCATGGTGTTCAGCTTTTCGTCCCCAACAAGACCAGCAACGGTACTAGTATCAGACCTCAGATACTCCAACTGCACAACAGGATCACTCAGTCTCACCTTGCGCGCACCAGCGAGTTCCTCGGGTGCAGGAAACGTGTATCGTTCGGCAGCAACACGGGCTTTGCGCGCTTCTGCAGCCTGCTTTGCTTGTTTCTGCAGGTCGGTGAAAAAGTAACTGACAAAGAAATCCGTGAAGCTCCCCGTGTCCTCTAAATGCTCTAACGATCTGAGCTGTCTTCGCCTCTTCTCAGACGCGGCGTGGTTGTCTAATGAACTGGCAGCAAAATAAGACCCTCCAGGAGGATGACTGGCACCCGTAGTAGCCAAGAACAAATGTGATGAAGAACTGCTCAAGAACGGCGACGTTGCTGAAGAATCACTACCATTATTCGGGAAAGGGGAACTCGTCTGCTTGAAGACTTCACTCAGGAAAACACCTGTTTCACAGTAACCCCATCGCGTGAAAGTTCCTTCTGGCATGACAGAAAGCCGCAGGTGCACGAAAGAGTGGCCAAAACGTTGTTTCACACAGAGTAGCACCGAAGCCTCCACCGTCAGTTCCACTGAACTGCCACCACTAGAAGTGGAAGGCGTCATTTCCACACCGAGGGCCGCGGCTGAAATCGAAAAAGTGTGCGCGCAAACCTACAGATAAAATTCGTTTAGTTGTAGCAGTAGCCGCAGTTCAACATGACCACAGTATCTCTATGTAAAAATGGTAGTTTCCAAATCGTTCAACTATCTCATGCTTGCATTGGGTACTAAAAAGATACCTTCGTGTCATGGTAGAAGCAGTCCAAGGAGGCGAGCTCCTTGTAGACTTTACGGCAGGCCCACTGCTGCCGGCTCTCAGCGTATCCGCGCAAGCGGAGCTGACCATCACAAATTTCTAACCAATCTGCATACGATGAGGGGTCGCAACCAATGATCTCGTCTGCTGGCGACAGTGTGCTAGTGCTAGCTAGATCGCTGGATGTAGATGACACCCTTGTGGCTGTGCCTCTTGTTCCACTACAAATTGAACATTTATTTTGTGTCCCTGTTGTAGTCCGAGACAAGGCACTTCCGCTTGCGGCTTTCGGAGACGAAGGAGTCCTCGCCGCCGCCTGCTGGTCCCCTTCGTGATCGAGTTCCCCTGTTTGTTGTTCACCTGGTTTCATGATTCTCCTCGTTCCTTCTTCTCGAGCAGCCAACTCTTTGGCCGCTGCGATTTCTGCTAAGTCTGTCCACAAGGGCCGCGCACCGCATAAAGACACGACCACCTCGTCTGTGCCTTCTATCAGCGTAATACGAATATCGTCGACCCCGAAGGTTCTGTAGGTAGTTCGAACTTTCGAAACAATAAAAGCATCTTCTCGTTCAGCCTCATCCTCGTTTTCTTCTTTAGAGGACTGGTCTTCTCGTGGTCCTGGTGGTTTACATTTTGCTCCTTGTTGCAGTGGTCGTCCCCCATCTCCTGCATCATTGCTCTGCCCGCCTGCGCTTCCTGCTCGGGGAGACTTGTCACCGCCAAGAAAAGCGGCTGGCAGAGAGAGCGATTGTACCACAACTCCGTCGTTGCGCTTTTCATCTAGCAGTGCCTCGCTTTGCTTTCCAGCTTGAGGCGACGCACTTACACCTCCAAGAATTGGTGGCTCCCCAGTGCCGTCGTCATCCTCGTCTTCCTCATCGTCGCTCCCAAACCCTATGTCAACAACATCCCACGATTCGTAGTCCTGCGAAACGCTCACAACGGGCAGGGTGAATGTGCGACTAGGTCCAGTAGCTGTGCTTGTCGTTGCCGAAGACGGGTCTACAACTCCTACTACAGTGTCACCCACGTCATCACAGACCTCAGCAGACTCTCCGCAGACCTGCCGTTCTGCCTCGTTCTCATCGATTTCCATCAAAGCACCACCGGTCGAATTTCGCCTGCCTCCTTGATGTGCGGCAGTGACTGCATCCGCCTTTTTGCTCAGCCGTGCTGATGCCCTGCTTCCTTGTCGCGACATGGACGACCGCACCGGTCGACACAGCAGGAAGCCAGGCTCTGCCTCTGTCTGCGTCTCTGTTTCGCACGTGGCGCCCCCGGATGTGTACGCCCCAGCGGCGTTGGCGTAGAGCCGTGCCGTGTCGTCCGGCACTAAGCCAAGATGTCGCAGATCTTTCTCCGCGTTGACACAGGCAATCATCAGTTGCTTTTTACGCACAAGCTTTCTTTGGCGGCGATCACGCAGTAAAGCTAGTCCCTCACGAATGAGGTACGCTCGCACCGCTGCAGCTGAGGGTGGCGCCACACTGCGATGGTTCTCTGGAGCACCAGGCCTTGTCGCTGTAGTAGCCATATTATGTTGAGCGTTGTTCCCATCCGGTATTATTTCCTGACCGTCATAGTCCTGTGCAGTTACCATAGAAGTACCAGCATCATCAAGTAGTGGGTCTTTCTCTTTTCCGTGCTTCTGCGCGTCAGTTCTCCGGGAATTTCTAGTGTTTGGCTGAGGTCCTCTAGCGCTGGCGTCACCAACATCCAAGAGTTCCTGACCGTCCCCTTCGATCAACATGTTGCGTGGTTCACCTCCGAAATCTTCACTCGCGCAGGAAGAGGAGCGACGCTCAACAATGACAGCTTCGACACCTCCAGCAGCCAAGTTTTGATCAGACGAGATTACAAAATTCATCTCTTCTTGCTCCTCCTCTTCAAAACACAAATCATTTTGGTCCCCTCCACTATCATCCGCCACAGCACCTGCACTAGCATCTTGTTGACCCTGATGAAAAGGACTGCCTAGTCCGGCATGCAGGCCTCCTCGTCTGGAAGCATGCAGAGCTCCACTCGACACCACTTGGCTCCAGTACTTTTCGTCACGAAGGTCGCGCGCTAAAGCGGCCTCCAACCACTGTACTTCGGTGCGGAAAAAATTTGCGATCACCTCCTTACTTTCCCATTCCTGTAAATGTCGACGACGCTGCGCAAGCGAAGCTAAGGAGGCTTTTAACAAATTTTGTTTGGAAGAAGGTTGAACGACTGCGGCAGGTACAGATGACGGAGGTTCACCTCCAGCGGTGGTAAGAACTCCTGTTGTACCAGAAGCATTGTTCATAATCATAGGTGTTGTGGTACTACCCGAATCAGAAGATGCACTTTTCATTTGTCCTCCAGATTTATTTTGCGGATCCACGATAGACGCTGTCGATGCCGCGATGGCGCTCAAAGGCCCTCCCACTAGACCCGCTGAAGGAGCGACTATGCCAGCAGCTACATCGAAGGCATGCTGGGTCTCCAAAGCCTTCTGCAGTTTCGCTCCGTGCTCCAGACGCCTCTCCTGCTCAATGGACACCGCTGCGTCGAGGCGAAGCCTTGCATCCCGCCCAAGACGCAGCCACCCTTTCAGACGCCCCAGAAAAACGGTCCGGTAATGATGGGTAAGTAACTCTAATTGCGAAAAGAGCGAGTTGGACGAGCTAGCGCCGCGGCCGTCGTGGGGTAGTAGATCCGCAACAGTGCTCCTTCCACCCGTGTGATCTGCACCATCCCCATCCGCATCTAAGCTACTGGCAAGGTCGGGGACGGCAGTTCCTGGTGCCGGGTTTAGTATACTAGTTTTCGTATTGGTAGTGGTGCTAGTACTTTCAGAACCTGCTTCATCCGTTGGCTTTGCAGTAGCTTTTTGCACTACGGAGGCAAAAGTCGCTGCCGGTGACGACATTCGCGCCACAGCCGAAAGAGCGCCGCGAGACTTTGGAGACCCACGCGTTGCTTCCTCGCGTGCTCCCCCTCCTCCAAAATTCCCTCCCGAACTGCCTAGTGCGTTCCTTGAGCGCAGTTGATTATCGAACTCCTTGCCCCATATATTGCCGGAACGACTGGATCCAGCTGCGAAGGCCATACGAAAGGCGGACTCAGATTCAACGTGCCCTCCAGCAGCATCCTCTTCGGGCAAGATTTCCGTAGCTCCCAGCATGTAGTGCATCAACTTTCGAAGCAAATCCGCATTTACGTGAGCACTCTTCTCGCGTTTCTTTTCTTGCTCCAACACCGTTTCGCGCCACGCTTCATCAAAGGCTTCCCACACGTCGTCCAACCGACCTCGTTCCTCACGCATTACAACTGCATCTTCTCCATCTTTTGTTCCTTCCTTGTCTCGTCTCGCAGCTTCTAGCCCTTCTTGTTTCTCTTCGTAAAAATCCTCGGCGTCAAATTCTGCACCTCCTTCCAGCTGCTCCACAGCATGGGCCGCTAGTGTCGCCAGCTTTCTCGCGCATGCTTTACTAGGTATATTCATCAGCAAGTGCATCCTTTCCCCAAGCTCAGCGTGAATCTCATCGCACTCGCGCCGCACCTTCTCCTCAAGGGGCCGCAAGTTGCCCAATCGATTGATGTCTGCGCGCAGCCGTAAGACCATAGCACGCCACGAAGCGAGCTCCTCCATTGCGGCTTGCGTATTTGGAGCCACTACACTACAGACGAGAGGAAGTCAGTGGCTTGATATCTCTTTAGAGTTCTACTACAACTACTAGTTTTAGCAGTAAGTAGATAGTACTAAAACCAACAAAATCGACAAGTTGTAAGGAACTACTCCTTCTCATTTTTTCAGACCAATGTTGCCTCTCCCACTGATACTGTAGCTGAGCGAATAATCGCACAAGATCGTAATGTGAGTGGCGGAGGGTTCGCTTGGTTGGCAGGTACGACTCCAGAGTAGTGCGGGAGCAAAGGCTGTTGTTCTTCTTCATTCCGGACGCCACCCATGTCACTTGACGTTGCCGCAGAAGCCTTGAGCGCGTAGAGCTCTTCCGATGCTTCTTTGATCTGGGCGTGGAGAGCCGCTACTTGTTTCTCCAAGGCTTCGCGCTGCCTTCGCATTTCACCTCGCTCCGCCAACTCTGCCTCCAGCTTAGTGGCCCTGCTACGCTCCCGCTCGCGAGCACTCGTGTGCCGCGCAATGCTCTCGCGCAGCTGAGCCGACTCGCGCTCGCTCCTCGCCATCGTTCTCTCCAGCCGCCGTCTATCCGACTCCATCTCCTGCAGAGCGAGTTTCCCCCGCCGCAGCCCACTCCGCAGCGTCTCGATTTCATCCTCGACGAAAGACGCCATGCACACCAATTACTACAACAGAATAACGGTTCTACTTATCTAACTTACTTTGGGTTTTCTTTTAGTTGTCACTGAAAGAATGAATGAGTTAGATAAAGTTTCATCTTTATCCAGGGTAGACTACTAATTGTTGTAAAGAAGTTTTCTATTTCGAGGCTCCGAACAGACTGACGAGACGCTCGGTAGTAGTAGTTCTTGCTTTTCCCTTCATTCTCACTATCAGCGATGGCAAGAATCCGTATCAAATCAATAGTCTTTTCCTCTGCAACGCGTCTTCTGTCTCTCTCGCTCTCTCCTCACTCATGATCATGCTAAGACGAGAAAGACCAATTTACAAAGTACATACACTGAAAAGAAGTTGCGTCACTGTAAGACGACTCGCCCATGCCCCGCGCAGGAACTAGCTTACCCGTGTGATGAGTAATCATTTGAGTAATTCTCATATACTGGCAAACGAGAGTGGGCCCGCTAGGGTGGAAATTCATATCACAAGTTTTTGCGATTCAAGTTTCATCTTAGAAGTTATGAATGTTTGTTCAGAACCCAGGAGTATTTCGCGAGGAATGAGTAATCCAAGACAGACTTCTTTTGATCTTCAGAGTCTGAGAGCCCGTCCCTTTGAAGCGGCAGCCCTGATGCCCTATCTATCTCCGGACAAAGGATTGCGTCATCTACATCCTCAAATTCAAGAGCTCCCCCAATACTTGATCCAGCGCTATCTTTTAGAAAGTTTCCCTTTGTCGAAAAATCTTCAGGTTCGCTATCGGCTGGTGCTGTAGCTTTTCTTGATTCGCTTACTGGTTTTGCACTAGTAGATGAACAAGAGGAAAGCTTTTCAACAGCGAGGTCAGCAGGTGTATCGCCGTCCAAATCGGGAAGCAAGGGATCTGCACCATACTGCAGTAATAAATCCACCAAGTTTTCGTTCGCACCCTCAATCGCGAATGTCAAAGGAGTGACGCCGTCATATTTTCCGCCAACATTAGGATTTGCGCCAAAATCTCGTAACAACCGCTCGGTAAATTGGTGGACCTCAAGCAAGAAGTCTTTTGGCGTGGGTGCCTCTTCGTCCTCGCAACAACCAACTTTGCCGCAATCATTGAGACTATCCTTCTCCTCTAATGAGCCCAGGTGAGCCAGCCATAGCAGCGCGGTCCAACCCTCCTCGGAAAACGTACCATCCAGCTCATCCGCAGAGAAGACATACCGAATCTTCCTCTCGCTTTCAATATTCTTGCTCAACATCGTCGCATTTTTCGAGCTACCATTTATTTTACCAACAATACCAGTAGCCATTTGACGTCCAGCAATATCCTTGTCGCTACCTGCAGCACTACCCGGTGAAGCCGTAGGAGACCGCGTAGAGGGCATGGATTTGGGTGAAAGGCCATCCTCAGAAATCGCGGAAACAAGCCTTGCGTCATCGTTGAGCAATCCTTTGAGACTTTTCCGCTCTAAGTATGCCAGAAGGACATCCGCAGGCACTTGCTTGATTTCCACCGGAGGCTCGCACGACTGGGAAGTACAACTAGAAGCGTCACAACTCATTTTCTCCGGCTCTGCATCCAACATACAGTTTGCTTTTATATTCGCGCCTTCGAGGAGATTCTTGATGGAAGAACTTTCACCCCCGGCGGCGGCAGCAAGTGCAACTAAGGTCGCCTGTGACCCCATGGCAGCTTCTTGGCGGATTCTTGCAAGCACCACCTCTAAGGAGGCGGCGACCTCCTCTCCCTTTTTTGGCTGCTCTACCATTTTTGAAATACTACAATTCTTGTCGTCTGGTTTTATTCGAGAACATGTCAAGGATGATACTAGGGAAGAAAATGTAAAAGCCTGAGAGCAACAAGACGGGGGCAATAGACGAGAGGAAAGTAATCCAGTGATATTACAAGGAGGCTTCGTAGATTTATTGTTGCGACCAAGATTGTGTGCTCGAAACCTCCAAAGGCACGAGCCCTGAGAAAAAGACATTCAGCTTAATGTGTTCCTGTATCAAAGGAATGTTACCTCTCTACCTGAAGCTAAATGTCATGTTGAAAACAGGAGTTTTTGAATTGAGAGTAGCCACCTGTGTGAAGAAACAGCGCCAATCCCCATGTTCTCATCAGATCTTGCCTTACTAGATTAGGAAGCTCAGAAGACATGACTCAGGAACGTGAAGAACGGTGCGGTGATATCATCAAGAAGGGAGCGGGTCATTTAGCAAGCACAAGAACTGTGAGATCTTCGTTTGGAAGATCTTGTGATCCGCGCACACAAGGAGTTGGAGGAAAGATCTTTGCTCTACTTGTACTTTTTGAATTGCTATACAGTGTCAGGCCAAACCTGGGAGAATACGAATCCTTGCTTCTCCAGGTGATTTGTGGAACACCAAGGTGATCAAAGTGGAATCAGCATCCAGAACGTAGTTGTCTCAATTAACAACATCATGTCAGCTATGGAATAGTGGTACCTACAGATGATACTCGTGCTGGAGACATCAATCCCTACGAATGTGTAAGAACAAAAGAACAACATCTGAAGATGAATGCGCAGATAATCGCCTATTGTCTTCGTTCAACACTACAACGATTACGCGTACTAAAGGTAGCCGTCTTGATGCCGCCATCTTTCCAATAAACTTTGATACCGACATGGAACAGTAAAATTTCGGAACTTATTTTGGCCTATGCAAAGCCACATCATGAGTTGGCGTCGGCTTGTGCAGTCTGGAGCGCCAAACGTTTGCAACGTTTTCGCATAACTCCGGTCCCCACATTGATCTTGAAACTCGTTGTAAAACGTTCGCAGCGCCTTGCTCTCCTGTTTTAGTTTGATCGGTAAAACTTTTTTGAGTTGGACGGAATTTCGAGTGAAAAAGTTGAATATTACGAACTGTATTGAGATTGACGTACTTACTCAGCCAGAAGTCAAAAAGTATCCCTTTATGAAACTCAAGGTGAGCTCGAATCCTCTTCTACGCCCAACATCTCGTTTTACAGAAACAATCTGAGCAAGTACCTCCTCTGTCGGTGTTTCTGGTGAATAAGCGGCGGTGGTCCACAGCAAGAGCCATTGAGCCCCACACACCGTATTTGGTGCGTTCGTACTGTTGTTGTGGTCATTAGCAACAATCTCGTTGGCAGCCGACGACGACGACGATGAGCCCCCTTCCTCACAGAATGCAATGTTGCTGCTGGATCCTCCTCGTCCTCCGAGTCTTCTCTTGATTATAGGCGAACTTAGCGTAGTACCCAATAGCGTCGCATGGTCATCGTCCTCTGTGATTCTCATTGACGAGGAGCTCGAAGAACTCGACCCGCTATCACGCTCTTTCAGCGCCTTTTGGGACGTCGTTTCAAGAGCCTGTATCCCGTAAGTTAGCCTCCTATTGTTCGGTAAGAAAGCTTCGAGAGCACCCGAATGAGCGTCGCTGTCATACCCTGTTCTCCTTGCCCAAAGCCCGCTCACTAACCGCTTGCAAGATGCAGTAAAGCCATGGGTTGACAGGTTGCAAAAGGAAAAGACAGGGGAGGACGCATCAGAATTAATATCAACGACAGAAGCACACATTATGATCGCCTATGAGATGAGTCTGGTGCCAAAAACAACAAGAGGAAGGAAGCGCCAAGATCAAACAAAATCTAGTTCGAATGATGTTTGCGATAACAAATAGACAAGCAATGCAAGCTGCTACCGCGCACTGGTACAATTACGAGATTAGTTCATTCCAACGCGGTGCGACTTCCTGTATTGTTCTGCTTCTGCTGCGCTGTGATCATACAAAGTACTTTTCCTCGACTTCATGTTCTTGAGCGAGGAATAGAGACAGTCCTGTACGACGTGGGTACCTGTTTAACAAGACAACTCATTCTCTACACCAAGAGAAGCCCATCCTTCTGCATGTGCAACTAGTTCGCTCCCTTGGCACTGAATGTTGTGAAGATCATCTGGAAGTAGCATAGGCTGAACATTTTATTTTTGTTCGTCCTTATTATACGTCCCGAACTCGATGCTCAGGTTGATTCACGATAGGCTGATATTTCTCTGACTCTTCAGATTTTGGACAGCACGCTAATCTCGTAATATGGCTGGAGGAAGACGTGGGCAAAAATACGAATGGGGATTATCTATCTAATCGACGCACGCGACGAATTTATTGGGAGGCAAGGCACTGGAATTTACCTCAGAAGGTGTAGTTCAAAACAAATTCAAACGTGAAGATGTTGTAAAAGATCAAACATATTGCGGTATAGAACTACTCAACCTCTTTTTTATAGCTCTTTCACATTCACTTTCTTAATATTGGGTGTAGATATAGCCAAAAGTTGTGCAATATGTTCAAGAGGTGGAGAAGAAACAAATGAAAAATAAAGCTTCAAGCACCTTATTGCAATTAACTCGCGCCCTTCGAAGCATCAAGTAGATCAACAAGAAAAAGCAGCAGCCTAAAGAATTTCCGGGCGTTCTTGCGGATAAGGGAGAAGATGAAGAGGCGGAAGGATCTCATCGAGAGACGAAGATCCAACAGCAAAGGAAGTCATATAAAGCCATACCGACAATTTTTACACCATAAAAAAAAAGTGCAACGTTAAGCACGAGCATCGGAATCCTGTGACTAGTGGCGGCGTCTTGCTATGGTTTGCCTTACATTCTTGCTGGTCTTTGCTGGATAAACTAGGCGTTTGCTAGTGGTGTTGTGGCGCTTAAAGAAGCTCCTGGTAGGCCAACACAAGAAGGAAACCGGGACCCCCGAGGGGGTCCACGAACAACGACAAAAGCAACAGATTGCGCAGTGGACCGGTAGGAACAGGTCTCACTGAGCACCACAAGAAAACAAAGCCGAAGCAAGGAATGCGTTGATGTGGGACTACTTGCCTGCTGTGACTTTAGGGCGATCATCATCGAGGTGGAGCTCTCAAGTCAATAGCTTCGCCTTCTGCTTTCAAGAGAAGCAAGGCCGTGGAGAGAGATTGAAAAAGCTGGCGGTGAGAAGAAGAAAGGAAAAGTGGAAAGCTAAACTTATTGATACTCGCTTCGCGAATATGTTGTGGCGCAAAGTGATAGTCGGAGTGGTTTGACCACAGATTTCAATTTTCTCAAATCTCTTCACTTCACGCAGCCCCATTAGTTGCGACCACCTTTTGCCTCAGATAAGTTTAAACTCAGCACACTGCCCAGCCAATGACTATCGCATCAATCAGCTCCACGAGGCAAGGATGATCGTGGTAGATCCCGTAATCGCGCGAAAAGAAGGCCCGCAAAGTGGAGTTTGCTGGCCACATGTCTTGAGGCTCTGACGCTTTTGGTCGCTGCAACCTTCGGCGATCTTCTCCCTTGATAAAGGGACGGATGTCGTCCATCGTCTGCATGCGAAGCCACAACAAATTGAGAAGCTCGCCCTGATCCAGATAATCGTCCGACTTCGTAAAAAAAAGTTAGAGGTAGTTTTGAAGCGGTTGTAGCTCCTGTCAGTATTGTTGCTGTCATTTTTACTCTCTTACGTTGGTGTTCTACAATAATCACTTTGTTCTACACAAGTCATACCAAGTATTGGTAAACCGAGTTGCATTAGATACTGCTACCAGTTGACGAAAACGTGACTCACACTAACACCTACCGTTTAAGGCATCTCAGTACTGACCAACGCGACCAGGGGCCTTTACTAGTCATAGCGAGAAAGTCCTCTCTCGGTATCTCCGCGGCGAATCAAATTGACCAAGAACTTTGCGTCCAAATAAGTCTCTGCCATTTCCGAGCCGTCCCCATATCGGCGGTCGCCCCAGCGAAGAAGGGCGCGCACAAGACGCGAAACGTGGAACCTCGTCCGCAACTTCCTTGGCATCGTTTCTTTATACCACGTGTTGAGACGACCCAAGGCGAACTTGCTACAATTAGAGGTAGTCGCTTTGTATCGTTCTGGCTTGCTGAATGAGTCCTGCGGGGGATTGTTTCCTAATTGTTTCCTAGACTAGAGTAATTCATCAAAGAGATCTCGCGTATGCTTACTCGGGTTACATTGTAATGAGAGGCGAGCCTTATTGCAGCGTCTCCGATCGATCGCGGTGCGCAGCTGACGGCTCTGCTCAAGTGTCCAGCTCGTCGCTAGTTCTGACGCTTGGAAAGTGACGGACACTTTCCATTCGTATTCGCTTACATTTTCCGGGTGTGCAATTTGCTCACCAGCCTTTGCCGCCGCTGCTATGATCTCTCCACTCTTAACTTTCAGGGTAAATTAGAACAAGTGCCAAACACAATCCCTACAAGGAATGCACACCAATTGACCACAACTGAACATTTTTAGTTCTCCACTCGATACCCACCATAGGCAATTCTGTTCGATTCGATTCATAGGGAAGTAGGCCTATCCTGATTGTTCGCAGTGGGCGCCTTAACTGATTGTCCACGACTGCTGCTCTATCTTCTTCTTTCGCATATTTTCGCCGTAGACACTGTCGCAGACCATTCCAAGGAGCCGCATACCGTCCGCCACTGTATCGACGAAGGCCACCACGTCGAAATCAGAATGGGTCCAGCCATGATTAGATAAAGTACGCAGAGAGCCGCTCTCTTTTCGATGGAGACGGCCTCTCAGGGTTCAGTAATCAAACTCATAGCAGGGCTGGAATAGGATTTAGAAAACAGGTACGTACAGTTTGGAATGCTACACTTTTTGTAGTCTTCCGCAGCCAGCAGTAAGTAGGTGAGCCGTAATACCGTAACCATCAGCGCGGCTGCCTTGTCCTTCGAGTTCCAGGTTACTGGCAAACTCGTCAGCGACGTCAAATTTGCGTACGTGCTCCAGAATAATCGCCTTGATTCCTTCCAAAAGTGAATCCTCATTAGAAGGCTCGACAATGATTTTTCCACGAACTCTTTACGCAAAAACATTGGCCCCATTGTAGAACATAGCTAGGGCGAGGCAGATTAATCAAATCAACACGAATACGTCGACACTCTAGGAGATTGAAATCGACGCGAAATCATGGCGCTTCACTTTGCTGGTACCCATTTCCTTGAGTGCTTTTTCGTTAACGCATAATATACGGGACAAAGGACGGACTCTCCTCGTTTAGCTGCTCGTTGGCGTGACCGTCTAGCTGCTTTTTCATTATGCCCGCCAAAATTCCTTCAGCTCTGTTGTCATTCTCGGTCGAAGCTGCGGAAGACGCACCACCACCGTCAGAGAACGGCAAGCATGCCACCGGTGCTGACAACAGGAAGCGAGTCCGCATGATTATGGGGTCGCTTGTTAGAAGTGAGATCTAAACTAGGAGGTGAACAAAATCAAGAAAAGAAGATCGACCAAAAGAACAAGTGGCCTCCTAGTCATGCGACAGTACATCTGACTGAGTCGGATTGATCACTCTGCAACTCCGTTGCAGATACATTAGTTACGAAGGCGCAGTCTCATCTTCATACCAGTTTCCTCACTTCCAGACCAGCAGCGCGCTCCTTCTTGGCAAAAGAATTCCGAAGCCGGATCTTCGTAGCCGCTGCACGATCGGACCAAGCATCTATAACTTCGTGCATTAGAAGGGGTTTGCTGTCCTCTCTCTAGTTGACAGCCACGCTCTTGGTCATGTCACCGCATGTAATGGAACCTCTTGTTTATCTTTTTTCGATGGATCTAGGTTTATCAACATGTAGTGATAAATCTAAATTGAAAAAAGGCTAAGTTAATGCTTGTTCCGAAGTTCGATGATTAATCTCTGCTTTCCAATATATAACTGTATGACGCACGTGAGTGACAAGAACAGCTACCAGCGTGAAAGACATATGAGGAACGCCGAAAAACAATCCATAACTCTCCTTGCTTCTGCATCACGTCCTCCCGAAACTCCCACGGCAACCCATGCTCGTGCTCGAGCATGCGTGGCCATTCTCGCATCTGCAGGTAGTAGTAGTTGTCATCAAAGTACTCACCGCCATAAACTTTGTAGTTGAACCTGATGCCAAGCATCAGCAAGCATTCTTTCAGCATAACCGCATTGCCGTAGACCTTCCCCTCTTCTTCAGCAGGACAATTACGGGGGCAGCGCACGACACAGACCTCCATGTATGCGAACCGCACCGCCAGCCTTACAATGTTCGCGATCACGTTGGTGGTTTTCTTGTTATCCCGAAGGATCTCATCGTCCACGCTAAGCACCAGGCGCACCACTGGGGCGCTCAGGTCTAATCGTTGTGGTTGCGTTAGGTCCTCTGCGTCCTCTTCTCCTCCTTGCTCAGGGCCAGGCATGTCGAGTATTTCCGTCCACAGCATGAGCGCCACAGCCAATTGCCTGGCTGCGCTCGAGTCGTCTTGTGGATCATGAAAAAACTGCACTCCCGGGATGATTCTGTTCACAATCTTTTCCCTGTTGAACGACTCCTCCATTTGTTTCTGCAGAGTCTTGGAGGAGAAAAACGCATCCACCGTGCTTTCCCCGATCACATAAACTACCCGTCGGTGGAAATTTTCATCGTAAGGCGATCTGAACAGTCGGGCAACCCATTGCGGATCACACCGACCCGTAGGACCACTAGAAGATTCAGGGGAAGCCTGAACGACCTGAATTTTCGACGTCGAATCGAGAAGAAAGCGATCATGAGGCAGAGGAGGACGCTTTTCTGTTCGTGTAGTGACACTCGGAGCTTTTGGTACTGGATCGGCAGGTTTTTTTGCCTCCACGATCACCTCTCCGACTGTGGTTGCCGGGGTAATGCAGGGGTCGTCCAGTCTGGTGCTCGTAGCTGAATTGGGGAACAAGCTCTCATGATCTTTCTCGCCTGTCGTCTCCCGTTTTTCTGGTGTCACTACTTGCATACAGCGGGTTTTACGGGAAGCAAACTGGTCCATAGGCGTTGCAATTGCCTGTCTGGTGACCTTCCTTTTTTGCCGGCTGCAATCCTCCAGTAATTCAGCACATATTATAGACCTAGAAGAAGAGAGGACGACAAGACTTCCATTACGGAGTCATCTTAGTAAAAACCTGCTCACTTAACACAACACGTCTAGCAAAATCAAAATTTCCTGCATGAAGAATGTTGAGATTCAGAACCTGATAAGACAAAACAACCCGTAAATTCCGTAAGCATAAGATATGAGCTTGCCCGAATTTCGTCAGCTTCACCTTCTCGTGCAACCGGCCGACACTCTTGATGTACGCTCGCCCCGCTTCTTGCCTCCACTCTCCCCGCCACCTTGGTAGCTGTGGAAGCGGCTCCGCCGGAGGTGCTGCGTTTATTTCGCCTTTTTTTGCTGCTCAAAATTTTTCGGGAGTCATTACGTGGCTGCCCGAAATTTTTCCCTCGAAAAGCGCCAGAGGGCCAATTGTCCTCACTATCTGCACCCACTGCATCTTCAGTCTTCTTTGTCATTTCCATGCGATTATTGTCATTTTCATGAGCCTCCGATGCTACTACTGACTGATCCTCGCGGTGCCATCTCGCATTCGAGGTGGAAAAACTCCCTCCCCTCGCATTCGAAGCCGAAGCATGTATAGAGTCTCTCACCATGGTGCCTTTGATCGACGCCACATTCTGGCGTTCTCTCGGCTGAGGCATGATTATGGTCGCACGGATAACGAAGTCGACAAGAGAGTCTTTCTCGGTTGAAAAAGAAGCAGAACGCTGAACAGAAGCAACTACGCTGCGTGTGCCGCGCTTCGTGGAAAAATCTTCATCGTTTTCTTATCTTTTTCACAGTCAGATGGGAATAATTACAGTTGTTGTAGGACACCCGATATGGCCGGATATACTCATTCTTGAAAATGTCAATAATAATCATGAAGCTGCTCACGACTTTGTCTTGGAGGCAAAAAACTACTCAAAACACTTATGCCCCACCAATCTGAAAATCAACGTCCTACCAAGATCCTCTGTCTCCTAAAGATACCCGATCATGCACCACGTAAGTACTAAGGATGTTGCAACGAAGATACGGATGTCGTGTGGGACATCTATTTTTCTTCAAGAACTTAATTCATTTTTACAACGTAGTAGTAGATTCCTTCTGCATTATGAACCAGGGAGGGCGCATCCTCATCATGCTCAACCACGCCCTTTACTACTCCAGAAGCCAATGAATGCCATAATAATCAATGAAAAGTTGAGTAAAGGGGACAACTAAATAATTATCTCACTCCTCCCAGCAACCTGTGCACAAGTAAGTTCTTGTGGAATGAGAATGGGTTCTTTTGAATCAGTTGTTATACTATCAGTGCCACGATTCGATTCCAATTTCAGGCCAGGATACTGGCTGCACCGACTACCTTCGGACAAGTATAGAGGGAAAGAACATCACGATACTCTGAGTGGGTCCCTGCTTCTGCGATCACTCAGGAGCTGAGTAGAAAAGAAGAACGCCACATCTACTTCACATGTTGCAGCTGCAGGCCGCTTCTCTATTTCATTTCATTTTGTTTCCTGGTGCATCCCGCAGCGCGATTTACGCGGGTTCATGGGTGATTCATTTGTGTTGATAAGATCCAGTTATGCTTCTGTCTTCATGTTCATGTTCATCTTCATCTTAGATGGCACATCAACTTGCACACTTCACATCGCTGTTCTTCATGATGCATCTCGTTTCGTCAGTTCTTTATAGGAGGAAAGAAGCCTTTTGACACAACATTTTTACGACCAAGCCATTTCATGAAGAAATATTACAGCGATGTTGCTCCTGCATCGTCTACTACGGAGGTCCTCCACCTAGACCTACTAGTACCCAGTAGTACTAATACATAGAAAGAAGAGAGGCTGATGAGCACAACACGTCTTTCATCAATGTTGAGTCATCATCCAAGTGTGTTCAGAGACGCGCAGTTATCATGAAAGACAACTACGAAAACGAGATTGTAAAGGAGCGTCATGGCAACGCATGTGACTTTCGTAGTGGGGGCGCAACTACGGTACACTGGGGGAGCAACATTTTCCATTCGTCAGTCTTACGTCCTCTCACCTAAGAGGACAACTCGAGGAATAAATGCTCGCTGCTCATCGTCCACTAGAAATTTTTCCTAGAAGTATAAAATCATGCTTTTCCACCCTCATACGTGACGGAGACAACGACCTCCATCATATTTAACCACTGAACGTCGCACTTACTACGATCAAACTATAATTCTAGTCGTTGAGGAGGTCATCAAGCATCGTCTAGTCATGGAACAACTACTAGTGGTATTTTGAATCAATTTTGAATACAAAAGAGAGGAATCAAGAGGAAAAAGCTGAACAGAAGGAGTCATCTTCCCTGCAAACATAGATGCTCGGCATCTGTGTCTGACCGACAAATAATAGATAGATACAACAAAGAGTGGCGGTGTCGGAAGTTTCCACTTCCACTTGATGTCTATGCACCTGCCACTTCTACCAATAAGATAAAGCTGTCATGATTTTTTGCCCGCTTCTAAATGACAGATAATAGTCCCGAAAACTAGTTCTAGTACCTCCAATATGATCTACTACAACTCAATTCAATCAAGCAATCAAGAAAATCGATCCCTGATTATCAAGAAGGCGTGTGCTAAGAAGTCACAACGTGGTAGCCGGGAAAAGAGACCATGACCTAATACAAGTGGAGCCGGTCGTTGCAACATTAGCACTCGCTCAGAATTATCATTAGCTAAATGCATACATATTCTGCTGCGGAGATCAAGGAGCAAGCATCAGGGGATCTGAGTCAGAAAAGGTCAACCACAACCAACATAACTATTCCTACTCATACTAATTCTTCTTCAACAATGCCTCCGTCATAATTTTTTCTTCTTCGAGATATGTGGTTCCGAGACATGGCTCTGCCCTGAATTTCTGGCGTTTACTCTACTATATTCTTCTCTAATATGAAAGCTACTCGCTCCTATGTGCGGCCTGCAATTTAAAAACTAAATGATGCTATACGTATCATGAAGCGAAAAACCCCTTCTTGTTCCATGACTCTTCAAAGTACTATCGAATACTTCTCGTGCGAATAATGCTACCCATCATTCTTTCCGGATCCGATGACACAACATCATAAAAACGCGGTGCGGTCGCACTGTATGGTTGATTCATTTGACATAAAAAAATTATCCACCACGAGCAACTAAATTGGGGGACCCGATCTTGATCTCTTCCAAATACGATAGATCCCATAAAAATACGAGGACAGTCCTCGGGTGTTTTCACTATTCTTAAATGTGCTTCGCGCGAGCAGTTGGGCAAGACCTTTCTATAATATTTTCGTCGATAGTGTCCTAGTGCTTTCAAGAAAATCATACAAAAGTAAAAGTTTTCGATGCATATCCTCTTCCTCCCCTTGTTTTTTGAAATTATTTGTCTCATCATTAGATCTTCATCTTCTGTTCATCATACATATCAAGATTGCCAGTATTTTTTGCGAAAATAACGGCATCTTCATTTTATTACATCACTACCCAAATACGTAACTAGAACAGATTGCGAAAGTGCGATCATCATCATATAAACTAAGAATCGCCGCGAAAAGCGATTTCCTTGCTACATTTCTGGCTTGGATAACAAACTAATTTTTGCTTCTGGTGTCAACGCAGCCGTTATTAATCAATGAGGTGTAGGCCGACTTCTACCTTAATAAATATTGAGGAATCTTCTGCAGGAAATATTAGTATCAACTTTCAACGCAACATTTTTTCACTTTGATTTGTCATGAGTCTTGCAAGCTATTTTCTTCTAAAATTTTGATTTTCAACTTCGAGAAACCTGATTCCGCTTGGCTATCTATTTTGCGAAAAAAAAACATACTGAACGGAAGAAGAACAAAGCGTATAATTTAAAGTCCTTTGTTGTGTTGGGAACAAGCTACAAAAAGACAGAGACGAGTAAAAGAGAGGCGCATAAGCTAGTTCCTAGGACTAGCTTATTAATTTGACAACGGCGAAGTAGTTGGAGCTACTCAGAAAAATCTTCGATAGTTCCTACTCGTCTTCTTCGTTATCTTCAACATCGTCTCAGCCTTTTGCAAAGAAATAAAGTGAGAACAAGCTGCTCACCAGCCGTTGCCCATTCCGCCTCCATTGCTTGAACCGTTGGAACCAAGCAGAGCAGCGAGCGCGGACCCAAGATCTCCATCGCTTATCCCTCCATTGGCACCGCCATTTGCGTTCCACTTGGGACTCTGTGCTACCTGGGCGCTCCAATTACCCCATCCGTTATCTTGCTGCGGTCTTCCCTGTGGGCTATTCTTGTTCTGCAAGACCTGAAATATTTTTAACCCATCTTTTCATCCAAGAAATGTTCTTGACATGAAATAAAAGTAAGTCTAGAACAACTACTACCCTTGGGCATATTTTTGATATAAAAATGTATATTATCGCCAAGCAATTTATAAGGTTTTGCCGACAGCATGACATGGAGTGCATGGATCGCGTGGAGCATCTACTCCATGCGCTCCATGCGTAAAAATTTTCCAGGGCGCCCGAAGGGCGCCCCTTTGTCACAGCTCACACGCTTTAGCCTGGTATCCTGGGCGAAAAGTTCAAGCCCCTAGCCCGAAAACCCCAGTCCCGACTGCTACACCCTCGGACCCACTCATTCGCGGGCCGGCGTCCTTGGGGCGCCGAACAAATCAGCTCGCTGCAGCGCCGCCAGTTACATCACACCTCGGCACATTACGCACAAGGCAGCGCCCCCGCGGCGTCGGTCTAGCCTGTCAACCAACACCGACTGCGAAAGCCTCCGACCCACCCACTCGAGGGTGGGTCGGGGGCTTGCTTGTGCCCCATGCACTCCATGCGTGGCAGTGCTGCGTCTGCTCCATGCCCTCCATGCACCATGCGTGCTACAAACTACTCTGGGGTATCGGCATAAAAATACAAAAAGTATCGATTTATAATGGCGATCTTCCAGTAAGTACACATACAATCATCAGAAAAAAGTTTGTACCTGTGTGAAGACGTTTGCCCACCAATCACTTTCTTGCTGCTCATTTCCCCCATTTGACTTTCCACCGAAATCACCGGATCCACCCTTGCCGAAGCTGCCACTTTCTTGACTGTCCCAGCTGTTGTTCTTTCCTCTCCAGCCTTTTCCGCCGTCTCCGCCCTTGCCATAGGGGCCGTCATTGCTGCCGCGAGGTCCTTTGTAGTACACCTCAGGCGTTCGGTTGGAACCACCCCACCAATCACCGCTGCCAGAGTTCTGCTGGTAGTTCTTTCCACCCTTACCCCAATCATTGTACTTGCCCTTACCTTTCTTTCCACCGTCCTTACCTGATTTGGTGAAAGAGGTGGACCCGTCCTTACCTGTTGATATGGATATTTTGCGAAAAACATAATTCACTGGTGGTAGTGTAGATATTGATTTTTTGGTTCGTTTGGAGAAGATTTTTAGCACTCTTGGAGTAGACATTCATTTTATGTGGGGAAGCTTTTCAGAACTATACATAGTACTTGCTAAAAGTTCTTTTTTCCTCTACAACGACGTGTTTGGGAGCGAGCTACTTGCATCAAAAAAAATGAATACTACAGACATAAAATTTATAAAGGAGCTGGTTACCGTTCGAATCAAGCTTTGCAATTGCTTGGAAGAGATTCTGTGTCATGTCTGCCTTAAGGGCTGTGATTTCGTCGAGATCGCTGCCTGTGATGACCACAGTCGCTGCTTCGTGCTGGTTGTCTTGGTTTACCCGGATCGCCATGTTTCTCTCAGCAGCATACTGTCTAAATCTTCGGATTGCCTCACCCTGCTTGCCGACCAAGAGACCTACGTACTTCTGCGGAACCTGTGGTGTGGTGACGGACAGTAAATCAAAGATGCCAATAGGACTAGGATAGAACATCAAAGCCTTTTTAGTACTATCTCGTACTTATACGTCGCGCTTCAATCAAAACCTGCACCAATAAATTTCGAGAACTTTCTTCTTGTTTTTACGATTCGCACCTTAAAATATCTGTAGGAGCCGCTGTGTAAGAAGTTGTACCTCGAATTTGTCCTCTTTATCGTGCGTTGATGCGTCTACAAAAGCGATGTTCTTTCCGGAGCCGCCTTTTATGCCGATGCCTCCACCTACGAAGCCGCCACGCTCCTCAGCAGTTGCGCCTCCCTTATCATGACCACCGCGGTCGCCTCCCTTGTGGCCTCCCTTGTGCTCTTTACTTCTTGGCGTGTAGTGGCCACCGCCATAGCCACCGTGAAGACCATAGTTATGATGGTGGTGGTTGAATGCGGTACCGTGAAGTCCGTGTCCGTGGTTGTCTATAGTGGAACGAAGAAATATTCGACTTATTAAAGCTCGAAAGTTACTGGAAAAGAGGAGCAATGTCAAGTGAACCGAAAAGGAAAATAAGTAAAAGCATGACCTAGAAGTAATTTCTTGTTCCTAAATTAAGTCATAGGTCTAGGGAAGCCACCAAAAACGATCAAACTCTTCAAAAAGTTGCTCTGAGTGCAAAAAATTGTACTTCCTTTGCCCTTGTGGCTTGGCGTTCCCTTGCCGTCGAGGTCATCCTCGAGAAATTCGAGACCCGGCATCTTGTCCGGCTTGAATGGAGCGGATGGAACGTTTCCTGCTTGCACGTTTTTCAGATACTCTTGGTATCCTTCTGATGCTTGTCTTCCCGATACAACCATTTTACTAATGACATCGACCGTTTTGTCAACCTATGATTTCATTTTTAACAAAGGAGCGATTTGAATATTAGACGAGACGCAAGAAGACACTTCCTTCGCAGATAAATCAAAACAATAGGTGCTTCTTCCACCAGGAATAAATCTACAAAATCGAAATTTTTTATGAAGAGAGTTGACTACAAAAGATTATCGACGAAAAATGGAATATTTTTCAGGATCCTTTACCTGTTCCAAGGTTCCGGAAACATGCGCGACTGAAAAGCCATCATTTGCGGTGTCTTGGACCACTTCGATTTGGGCTCCAGTATGCTTTCGGATCTTCGTTAGCGTTATTCCGCTTGCACCGATGATCATACCTTGGTTTATCACAAGTGTTTCCAGCACCAAACAAGGACCATATATCTTTTGATATTCAATCACAATCACGAACACGAATAAAATCGTAAGATAATGATTCTAAGCATCCATCATTATCAGTAGCGGATTATACCAACATATTTCTGCGGTATTTGCACTTCCTTAGATGCGTTGGCTTTTGCTTCATCCATAAGCTGATCGAGTTCGGCTTTGCAGTTTGCAACACTTTCCTCGGTGTGTCCCCTGACTGTGCAGACGGAATAGCCCATGTCCTTGGTTTCCTGGTTTATCGCGATTCCGCATCCGTGCGCTGCTCGCATTTGCAGTATCTTCTCCCCTATAATGATGGGAATTCGTTAATTGATGCTTTGGTTTTGTTCACAAGAGGAATTTAGTGCATCGCTGAAGAAGTGGTTGCGAATAGTAGTTGTTTGGCGCAGTTCTTTCTCTTCGCGCGCAAGTAGTGGACGAAGAGAGCAGAAATTGTAGTCTTGGTAAGGAGAAGCGGCAAGCAGCTGGCTGATGGCACGTGCTCGTTGATTTCGTGGAGTTATGGGTCAACATGAAGACCATGCTGTGTTGTCGGTGGTTCTTTTATGGCAGTCGCACTGCCCCTGGTTGTACATTTAGTTGTACACCTTGTCGTGCGCGATCATCTAGAGCTTCTTCCCCGCAAACACCGGATACGCGCGAGGAATGTGCTTCATCAAGCCACGGCACACGCCCAAAGCATAGACCCCCCTTATGAACATGTAAGAACCCCATTTCTCGCGACCGTCATCAGATGATGACGTCTTCGCGAGAAAAACCAGAACCAGAAGATCCACCATGAGAGGCCACAACATTTCAATTCTAGTTCGATGATCACAATATTTCATCGTGATCAACATTCTTATCAACCCTGGACATGGCAAGAATTGGGATCCCGGGAAAACGCGGTCTGTTGGTGATCCTTTGAAACTACCTAGAACCTGTGCGGATGATGAGGAACCCCTGTCATCTTCACGACAAGGAAGTGAGAGTACAGCCCGAACGCGACAACAAGATCCACAAAAATTCCCATGCTGCCTTCACCTTAGTTGCATAGCAGTCCTTCTTGTGCAACTCCGAGAATAAACATAAAGAACCACCACGACCAGCAGCAGTGCAGGATAGATAGGGGAACGATGCAGAATGGGCGCACAGGGAATGATAAGGACGGAATATGGGATCCAGAAGGACTTGTATATTAAGATCGATAATTTCAAGAATATTTATTGATCCAGCTAGTAAGCCTACGAAGAACAATCACTTTCAGAAGAGTTAGAACAAATCATCTTTTACTTTTCTTTTGATCAAGATAAACCACATCTGGCACAGCATGATAACACAACATCCTCAGCTAGGAAACTCATCATCAAATCATCTTCATCATCCATCACGTAGAAGATCTGTAGGAGCAAATTATTTGGTGTTACCATTGTTTCCGACGATTCGAGAAACACATTCTTGTGGGAGCGAAAAGATCTTGACGACTGAGCCCGCTGTGAAATCATCCACGCTGAAATCACTGGCCTGTTCTACTGCAGAGGGTGCAGCTGCGGCGGCAGCGACATCGGCGGAGCTGAGCTCTGTGGCAGCAGCTGGGGCCGCTGGAACTTCAGCGGCTACTTGGTCTGCCATTTTCAACGAAGCTCCGACTCTTTCCAGGTCGAAGCAAGTGTGGCGTCGCTCCTTTTTTTGGAACTTCTTGAGCACACTTCAGGTCGTTCAGACGTAGAAGGAGTTCGTGTGCGGGTGGCAGGGACTTAGGTTTTACACAAATTGTGATTGATAGAAAAGGGTGATTGAGAGCAAGATGTGTGGTCGTAGTGGTGGATTCGAACAAGTACAGCTTATGAAGATGAGCAACTCTCAGTGTAGTTTTGTTCGTCGATTTGATTATTACAGATTGAAGTAGTAGAATTCTTATTTGTGATCGAATAGACGAAGTCGGTATATCGAGAGAAACAAACAAGGATCTTCTAGCAGAGCAGATTTCTTGCAGCAGTATTCTTAGACCTACTAAAAGAAGACACAATTAAATGTTCGACGAAATAACAACAACAACAACAACAAAGATTGATGCAGTAGTTGATGTCTTCGGTCTTTTTCTCGTCGATATAGGGACTGACGTCTGCCTGTATTGTCGATACCGGTTGCAGGGATTACCAGGATTCCATGGATTCAGGTGATCACGAATTCAAAGATAATTTTCAACTCCCGTAATACGAGACCCCCACTTCTACGAAGAAAATGCAAGAATTCTTGTAAGATCCACGACCTTTAATATTATTTGTAGATTTAGACCAGGGAGGTTATTTTGAGAGATCAACTTCGATACTACCTTTTTCTTCTGCGTTGTAATAATTCTGCGTAAAAAACATACAAGAGACACGACTGTTTGAAGATCTGTAGTAGATATTCTCTTTGTTGATCACCAGGAACCACTTCTATATGAAGAAAGATCACTATGTTCTTTTGATCACAAGAGCAAATTACTATCAGATCAATCTACGGGATCGACCTATAATTGGTTGAACATGGAGATTAACTCAAATCAAGCCTGTTTTCGTTGAGGGAGATCATTCGGATCATGTTCGACAAAAATTATCGCTGCTGCTCTACGAATTCAATACATCCGAAGGCGTGTGTCACGATAACATTTTCACTTTTTACAACTCATTTCACGTCACTAAATCAAATAGAAGGAGAGGACGCAAATCAATACAAACGCGTCATTAGTAAGTACAACAAGCTACCACATCAAAAAATCTAACTTCATCTCGCAAGGTAATTCTTCACTCAAAGACAGACGTCGTTAGATCAACTCAAAGACAGAAGCAACCTTAGGTCGGAACCATACCGTACACCAATTTTGTGGTGTTGTGCATTCAAAGAACAATTTCGGATCTCAAATTTGCATTTTTTTCCCAGATCTCTAACCTCGATCACAGAAGATTTCAGCATTTCTCGATCTCATGCAATTTCGATCATATTTTCATTTGTATTCATGTCTCTATTTTTTGAACTCATCGTGCCATACCAACACATTCTAGGAGTTGACAAGCCCACACCAAAGTTGTAAGTAGACAGGAATCAGTCTACTAAAACGACTTTACTCAGGTGTGCGCCTATCGACATCCACACGTGGCTTTGCACAACTTTCACTGTCAAGTGTCTGACTTTGGGAGGATCACATTTGCAAATCTTTGAACAAAGATGAGTATTTCAATTCCAGCGTTTGATCTTTGCATTTGATATTTTTTAGATTCCTTGCGATGCTGCTGCCTGAGCAGCCGCAGACAGGGAGCGGCCCACGTGTTCCTTTCCGAGAACTACGTATGCTTATGAAACAAGCGCTGATATGCATTCAGTGTCATGCATTATGAATGCGCCGTGCAGTGTCATGATAGCCTTGAGATCTTCAATCGAGGCACGCGCAAATGGTCGACGTCCTCTTGCATTACGACCCTCAATGCCTCAACGCAGCTACCTGGATTGCAAAAACGAGTCATTTCCCACAACTGCTTAGTGCCATGGACGTCGTTATCCCATGTGCAAGACAACAACAACAACAACAACGGCAATGACATACTCACACGATCCACAACAAGAAGCACTAGACTTCTTCTACCTGGAGTTTACAACACCTGATCACATGCCTACTGTCCTCCGGAAGTGATGCTTGCTAGAGCGCGCGATTTGTCGGCCAGTAGCCCGCGAAGCCGAAACAGTTCATGCTGGTGCTCAATCTCCGACATGCGATTCTCAGTATTTAGAGCCTCCAATTGGCCCTCCAACTGCCTCTCTTTAAACCGTAGGACCTCCATTTCCGGATCCGCGTTGTTGGCCCCTTGAAGGTCTCCAAATTTCTTCCCACTGGAATCTCGAAATTCGTTCAGCACGAGTTTATCTGGAGGAAAGGACTTTTTCCTTACCATATCTATGAATCGATGTGTGGTTGTTTTACTATTGAAAAGTTTGTATTTTGTGAGTGCCGCCCGAAGAAGTTGTTCTTCACAATATCTGTTGATTCCAACACGATGGATAAACACGTGGCTAAACGACTGTAGTACGTTTCCTAGCCGTTGCTTTGATGAGGCTCAGCTTCTCCCGGATTTGCTCCTGCGTTATTTTGACGTCATCCTTCGTCATTCGCAACATCGAGAAAACTTCCGTCTCCTTGTCGGGTGGTGGCAGTCGTGTGCGCAATTTCGTAATTCTCGTCTGCAATTCTGCATTCTCCGTTTGGAGCTGAATATGCTCGATTCGATCGATTACCGGCATCATAACCCGAGGCTTTGAACTAGCGATCTCTTGTGCGGAAGCACCTGCAACCAATGGAAGGTCCTCATGGTCGTGGGCTCCAAAATTACTACTTCGCATCGATGAACACAAGTGGGATGCCAAAAGATACACATTGACATAAATCCTCCTACGTATAACAAAGCAAAATAATGGAGCAGACGATTGCAACTACTAGAACAAGAATAATAGAGACTCTTTTCGAATGGGTGACTATTCAGCGTCATCAAGTACCCGCCTTCTCTTCCTCTCCCGACGAGGACTTGTCCGTGATGTATTCCGCTAGCCTCGCTGTGGCTCCAGTGAGCATAACGCTTCCATAAGATTCTACCTTTTTGATACGGTCCTGTAACTGGTTCAGCAGAACGTCCTGCTCCTGAACTAGAGTGGCAAGTCGCTCATACTCAGCATAATCCGCGGCGTAGTCGCTCCTCAAACGTTCCCGCATTTCAACAATGGCATCCGCAGTCTGGGCAAGCTTCTCCGGGGTTTCCATGCTTTGCTCCACAAGCTTTTCTAACTTCTTCCACATCGAGAATTAGACTCCTATGCAGTATAATCCATTTCTCATCTACAGAAGTCAATGAGGACTACGATATTGTAAGAACTAGAAATGCCACCACCTCATCATAGCAGCATATTCATTTTTATTTGATTGATTAAGTAACTACACGAGCGTCGACCTTAACCGAAAGTGTGCAGCAGCTTGTCCCGCGTGCGCTGCAGTCGCGCGTCAGCACAGTGGAGTTTCAGGTATAAGTCGTGCGGGTTGTTTGCGCCCGCGAAGTATAGGTCGGCATCGATGTCCGTAAGGTCCGGGTGAACGATGTCTTCCATCTCCGTTTCTAACTTCGCATTTTCATGCAGTAAAACGCGACGCTGCTTTTCGAGCTGGGTGCGCTCTTCCTCCATCGCTGTGAGCGAGACCTGCCGAGCATGCAGGACTTTTACCAGATCCGCTATCTCCGCGCGCTTCGTTGCGTTCCGCTCAACAAGATTCAAAGTGAAATCTTGGTGACGGGGCGTTTTCCGCACACGAGAAAGATCGGAGACCTGGTCGATAAACAACAGGTGATGGCCTCGGTCGGTGAACAAAGAAACTCCTATAACTCAAACTTCAAAACTTCACTTCTTCACGGCGCGTCAACTACAGGATACGAACAGCAACTACTATCTTTTGAGTAACTTTGGTGCATGATTGATGTTGTAGCTCCTTCTTGAAAACCTTTCTCCGTGAACATATTTATAAATGCACCTTCCATGCGAACGCGAAGTCGGGAATGTGAGCTAAGCGGTCGCCCTTGAGCATGTCCTCACCTTTCCGACCTCGCGGCGACTTCGGAGACAGCGGTGGCGACAGACAGAAACTGACTCGACGGCGCAATACTGCAAGTGCTGAAGGTGAGGCGACCCCACGCGGTCTAAAAGATGAAGGAGACGTCGATGTAGCGAAGTTATGGCGGCCTAGATTTTCTTTTTCGTCATTCTCATTAGTTCCGCTGTTATCAAAAGTTGTGTCGTCTTGTTCAGGTGTTCGTTCGATTGCATCAAAAGATCGTCGCCGTTTCCCGGTGACTGCGTCCGGCGGCTCCTCTTTTACTATGAGGTCGAATTCCCTTGCCTGTTGTGCACGTATGAAGTTCTCGGCTGCACCATCTTCAAAATATCTGCGGACACTCGAATCCGTCACTGCTTCCACTTTGACGGACAGTGTCTCCACTACTGCGGTGGCGCATCCAAAGCTCTTGCGTTGTGCTGTTTTAGACCCTATTTCTATTCATCTTTAAAAGCATCTTTGACGCCTTTTCCTCTACTAAGAAGAGGAGTCGGAGATGCTTCGTAAGATGCATTATTCTACTGAGCCATAACTGTTGCCTGTGCGCTGCTGGGATAAAATGTCCACGAGAAAGAGTGCGCTGTACTCTTGTAATGGCGGACAAAGTCTAGCCAATAGGCAAAACGCCAGTCCAAATCAGGCGAAACTGGACGAGCATCGACCATTGCCTTTGGCCCGTCTCCAAGACCATGATCTTGCCCTATACTTTGCTCCACACCAGCTGCACGACTGGCGGTCCCACGATGCAGCATCGAGTCGCTGCTACAGCCTGAAGACGCAGAAAAACGTCTCGATACGCCTGCAACCCCTGCTCCTTTCACTCCACCCAAGCTCCCCCGACCCTCTAACACTTGGCCAACCGGAACCAGCAGTAACCTAAGAGAGATGCCGCAACCGGGAACAGCCGCTTTTCCTTTTCCCTCCTCGATTCGAAAGTACAACTTCGAAGCTCGAAAAACTGGCTGTAGAGTCGGCTGCATATAGCCCCGCTCGGAGGAGCGCACATCCTCATACCGAACAGCATTCCTGGACGCGAAGGTGTCTTCCTGCGCGTCGCCACCTTTCGCCGCTCGTGCAACGAGAGACGACCGAGTTGGTGACTGCAGAGCCGCGATGAATGTAGCGTTCTCCTCCTGCTCCTTCTCGGTGACCGCCGCATGGATCGGACTTCCCATAAAACTGCCCTGCAGGGACGACCCTCGTCGAAAATCGTTCTGGTGCTCTTGGGAGGGCACATAGTCTTCATCTCCTCGCTGGCCTGCTCTGCTCTGACCCCGGCCATCCTTCGCGAAGGAGCTGATGTAGAGGGGAGGACGCTGTCCGCACAGCCCGCCGTCTTGGAGAGAAACTGCGATTTGAGTGCTCTCATTGAGCCTGCTGGTATCGGATCCGTCGACGATGAGCACGAGGGCGTAGATATCGGGTACAACCAATCGAAGTTGTTCGATCTCCAAGGAGAACAACATCGAGACATTCTCGGAGAATTCGATTTCTCCCCAGTAGTATTTGAATATGAATCGTTCGCAGTCAATGTTTGAGAGTCAATTTTTGTATCAGGGACGACGAACAGCAAAGAGATACATTAGTTACAGTCTATAAAGTAGTTGATCATGTAAAAATTGTAGTATAAAGCAAACTGAATACTTCATCATAAATAGCGCTTCAATGGAGATCGTCTTCCTTAAACTTTTGTGGTCAAATTAGGCCATGTGCGCTTTTTGTTTTTAGTACATGCTCGACTGATATAAAACCCGGCTTGGAAGATTGATATGAGATGCGTTTGCTGTTGATGCTTGCGTTTAGGTTTTTTGATGTCTGGTATGCACTTTGCCAATAACTCTCTGAGATAAGTTTCCTGCTCACCTCCTCATTTTGTGCATCTTCTATATGTAATCGCTCTAATATTGACAAGAGTACTTCTCAACAACACATGTCCCACAACATGAAGCTGTGGCTTCCTTCCTTCAGCTAACACACTGCGATAGCATGTAGCTGACGTTTTTTCTCTGATAGTTGCATGATCGTCTTGGGAATGCTCGTTCGGAAGAGAATTTAAAATCATGAATTACATGTGGTTATACATATAGATACGCTGCAAGAGCGTTGCAGAGCTCATTTTTCCGACGACTGAATTATCAGCATCCTGCGAAAATTAGAACGTATGTCAACATTCAAGAAGTACGGAGGATAAAGTGCAAAAATCGTCGTCGACGCCATTCGTTCATCTGGTGTATGTGGCCCGACAAGCCCAAAGAACGTAGCTCCTCACCCATATCTTCGTCTGCTCCGCAGACGCCACAGAATTCAGTGCAACGAGGAGAATCGAGACAAGTAGCACAGCACGACTCAGCCCACCTCATACGCAGCTCCGAAGACTGCTGGTGTTGTTCGGTCCGATCTGCCCTGAAGCACCGAAAGGAGCTGCGCCCACTTTTAATCTTTCCTTCATCCGTAACAACTGCTTCTTGCGTACCCGATCGATGATTGAGACAAAGCCCTTGTACAAGTACATTACAACATACTTCACTTCACTTCAGTTGTCGATGAGTTAGGCCTTACGGGATATACAATATGAGGAAACATTACGGAAACCCCTAAACTACAAGACTCCAAGACGACATAGGTATGTTTATTGCTAATAGCCTGTGAACGAACGATCCAAACATGAAAATTGTATCTACATGAAGAACAACCGCTGAAGGATATTGATGGAGAGATGACAATGAGAGATTCTATTGTTCTTACAGTGTTAAATGTTGATGAATAAATCTATACTAGTAACTAGTATATAGATGAACCTAGTAGAACGATGCGAAAGACATCGCGCAGGTGATCCCGAACTATTCTGTTTTCACTTGAACTCTGCAGTAGGATCCATCATTTCAATTCTTGAAGATAGCTGTCTATCTTTGAGTAGAAGCGCAATGAGATAGTAATATTGATTGATAGCAAATCTCGTTGCTTTATGCGGAAATTATTACAGCGCTAGTAGCACGCTTCAACCTTCGTCCCATGTAAGAAGTAAGCCTGTCTCTAGATACAACATTCTGTCCATGTGAGCTGTACAACATGACTTCTTCATTGGGCTGTACAGGTTAGTGGTAGTCACATCTTTATGCTATATGCAGGTATATGGAATAACACTATGCCAAAAGCGAACATAGAAAAGTGGTTTTTTAGCCAAAAAACGCACATAAAGCCCCGGGATCAGTTGGGCAATATTCGTCCCAAAATGGAAAGTTTTCATTCTGAGACGAATAACGTACAAGAAAGCGCTGCTTTTGCGTTTTTTGTACGTAATTCGTCTCAGAATGAAAAATTTCCATTTTGAGCCGAATGTTGCCCAACTGATCCCGGGGCTTTATGTGCGCTTTTTGGCCAAAAAACCACTTTTCTATGTTCGCTTTTGGCATAGTGGTACTCCATATGCAGGTAGGATTATTATTATTATATAATTTTTATTATTATTATTTATTAGGAGAAGGATAGGCAGATCATGCGGGCAAAAATTCAGATAGGTTAGAGGAGAGGTATGGGGATTTGATATGATCAGTAGCTCGGATGAGGATAGCTCTTTGAGTGTGCTCTCGACTATTTTGTAGTAATACAGTGAAGCGTTGAATATAGGGTACTTAGCTCTGGTCTAATTACGATGGTATGCTTTTTCATGAAGATGCACACATGGTATGATATCCGCTTGGAGAAAGTTAGTTTACTTTTTTCGCAATGCATTGATGAATTGTAATTCTGGACAGAATGACAATATTTTGATCACAAACAGTATTTCCGTAAGCTCATGTTTTGTATTACTAAATAGTCGGATTTCAAACTAGGTGACAGTTTCGTGCGATGCAAGCTATGCCTGTACTAAGAACTGTAAATTTATACGCAGATGTGAAGTTCAAGAGTTGTAAGTAAGTACTTGTAGCGATCAAACATCATAATGATAATAGTTTTCATGTAATCTCATATCTAAGTGAGCCACATGATATAGTAGCTCCAGCTCTCAACTAAGTAGTCCTAAATGTAAATGGACGACCCTAATGACATTTCAAGTTGGAGAACATGTCTAAATTTCGATCAGTCGAACCTAGTGGAGGAAACTAGACTTCTTGTTTTAGATTTTCATCTCTGTCTTCTGTTTGGTATCTTCGCCGTCTTGCGGTCCACGTCTACTTATTAGCTCGTACGGGTGAAGAATTTATCGAAGCGGCCCCGCCAGAAATTTCCGTTGCAAGAGAGCATGCGGTGGAGGCTTTCGACAAAGCCGAGATAACTTTCGTCTGTACTGGTTTCGTCCTCCATCAAGAAGTGACTCTTAACACCGTGAATGTCTTCACGGAAGAAATCGGCCCTGTCCTTGAGAAAGACGAGCTCTAGAGAGTAGAAGTTCATCTCGCACCGCACTTCGAGGAGAAAATCAGTCACGGCGCGCGACAGGATGCGCAGCCGCTGCAGCTCGACATTCGTCAGTCTCACGCGTTTTCGGGGCGTGTCGGACCGACAGCTGCTGCTGCAGTCGTTGCTGGTACTGTACGAATCCATGTCAGCACTGCAACTGGGCGATTCATTACTGCTGGGGGTCTCCCGCGTCGCTGAAGAGCTCCTTGGCTCCTTGCTACACCCGGTCGAGTATAATTCTACGCCAGACGAAGACGAAGATCTGCCTTCGCCACTCCCTGAGGACGACGAGGAAGACGCTTCACATGACGAGGAGCTGTAGGCCGTCTCGGTTCTGTAACCAAGCGTGCGGGGCCGCAACGAGACGGGAGCCTGAGCAGACGCATGAATCTGTGGCACTGCCCGCTCTCCCTCCTGTCGAGCTAGCACACGCTCGTAGTCTCCCACGGAACCAACTATCACAGGAACGCAGATTGGTCCTACAGCCGGCGTGGCCTTTCCCTTACCTCCATTTCTTCCCGGACTCCAACCACACAATTTAGAAGAAGAGGTGAAATTTCTTACCATATACATAGAAAGACGCCTAATATAGGTTTAAGATGAGATGTCCTAGCTGTCCGGTAAATGTACTCGGACCTGATATTCAAGCAAGATCCTGAATCTGCGTGCTAGGAACCTAACTACAAAACTGCTGTTTCAAGAAGAAAAATATATGGTCACGACATATTTCTTCCCAATAGATGCAACACCTGGATTCTTCTACTTTATTTCAAGGACAGATATCCTTCGAGGACATTCATTGCTACTCTTGCCAATGTCGCTTGAAATTCCATCAGCATAACTCTCGAAGGTGCTGACTTGTCGGGTGAGGCGATGCGGGTGCCTCCCGGTGCGTGGGCTTGCTTCTTTATATTTGGCGACTGTGCGCTTGGTGGCACGTGCGCGGCACGCATCAAGACATTACCACTGGCTTCCATCTGCCGCCGCAACCGTTGCTGGGCTTGTTGGTGCTGAATTTGCGAGTAGGCCCTCAAATCTTCGGGTCTGCAGGGTCGCACCATCCCCGGACCGCCTTCAACCAGGACAGTTTCGGACGTGGATGAATCCCTCGCTTTCGCGCTACGTCCTCCGGGCCGATCGGAAAACAGGTTTCGCTCATCAAATTCGCACAAAAAGCGACCCATCTTCGGACTCATCTGTGAACAATTGAAACTGTAGCCTTCGCACCAACGTGGTCCGTCTTCATCCTCCTCCGGTGCTGGCTTTTCTGGCGTCGGCGGAGCTGCACCCACTGACGTGCCGTCGCGACACCTGGAGATCATGAGGAAGCATGCCAAACAATTGTACCTACATCGGATGACCATGAAAGCCTTGCAGACACTCCTTCCTGCAGACATTCCTTGCTTCGTTAAAAGCATAACAGATTATGGGATCGGTCTACGGCTGTACTTTGCAGCTTTCCTGACGAGTAAGTTCGTACACCGTCACGTACTAAAAAAATTGTGTAGTCATAAATAAGAATCACCTGAATCACATTGATAAAAAGATTTATCATGAGTACATTAACTCTGTTGACGATGGCAAGTTGCTGTTCTTGTCTGGCGTGGTCTCGGCCTTAGAATATTCGCGGCTCCACTCTTCGTAAGGTCCCGTACTCTTTACATAGAGTAGGTATCGTCTAAGAATTTGGTCCAAGATTCCGACCGGTTCCTCGTCTTCCCCCGCATCACTCGGTGTCCCGTCAGATGGTGTTACGACGAAAGTGCCAACGGCCGTTGTCCCGTCGTCTTCCTCTGTACAATATCGAAAAAACAGTTTTTGCTTTATGGTTTGGAAACGCTACTAAGGAAAAAGCAGTGGACTTAGTTCTTCTGAAGAATCTGAAATCAAATAACAAGAGAAATTATCATAGGCAATAGGAACAATATCATGACGAACCAGGTCGCGCGCCGAGAAGATAAGAGTTCGGTTTGGCCGTGACGATTTTCCGGCGCTTCACGAATTCGACGCTATCGTTGCATCGAAAAAAGTCCTCTGAAACAAGAATAAGCATTCGCTGGCCGTCGAACATGACCAAGATCGGGTCCTGATTTTGCGTGACTATGTGCCGCCAGTGCAGCGCCTGCGAGTGGAGTTCAGGTGAAAAACAGCGGGGATACATGAAGTAGCAGCTGTGGGATATTCCCATGCGACGACGGGGCCACAGAGAGCACACCTGACGCAGCCTTCGCTTTACACCCAGTGCAAGGAGAGGTAGATGTCGCAAGTTTGTTGGCATGTACACGTGCCTCGGACGAAATTTCAGGTCCTGCTCCAGCATCTCGAAATAGCTCTTCGCCCAGCGACGCAGCAGCAGCGCCACGGATTCTGCGGCGCTTCGCGCGGTGATCTCGAAAGCTGCTTCGTGGTGCAGGCAAGTGGTGTACGGAAGGAGCAATCGACGGTAGTACGTCGCCAGCTGTGCAAAGCGTCCGCAGATATCTTCAATCGTGTCGTAATTCTGCCTGTGCCCGTGTTCGTCGCATACACTCGGCTCCGTGTGTCCCTCTCCTTTCTGGAGCGACATGGTTCGTCGGCGGTTGCGCATGCCTAAGGCCAGAAAGAGACGCACCAGACGATCAGCGGAGGCTCCGGCGGTCGACGTCGCGCACAACAGCGCTTGTAGCTGCGAAGGCGTTAGCGCTTTTGGATTAGTGGGCACGAGTTGCGAGCGTGAGAACTTTTTTCTCGCACTGGCGGGGGGATCCTCGTCTTCCAATGGGGGAATTACGGCGCAGGAGCTGCTGGACGAAGAGCTCGACTCCTTACTCGGGTCACGCGCCAATGCCCCCATCGCGTCAAAGCGTCCCTCTACTGGTTCCTCTGCGAGCGCCGTGATCACTGCATCCGCCGGCGAAGACTCTTTCTGACGCACACGGACGCGCAGCTGTTTGTCCGTAGGTGGCTTTTCGGGCTCGGCGAGCGATTCCAGATGCTCTAGCAAGTCCTCGTCTTGTCGCTGCATCGCATGCTTCAGATCGGCTTGTACGCGGACGCGCTTTGGCGGCGACGCTCCTAGCGCCGTCGTGGTGGTAGTGGAGGACGTGGCTTTGTCGTAGCAACTCCAGTCAATTTTTGGCTCAGTCTCCGGGAGTTTGAACATCAAGTTGGACAGGGGCCACACATTTGCACGCTCGTACAAACTGCGGAGTCCCGCGCCGATCGGCAGCGTGCAGGAGCAGACGCGAACTTTACGTTTTCCGGTATAATTCTCACGGAAATTGAGGATCGTCTGGATCTGGCAATAGCGATTCAAGTTGATCGCTTTCTTCGCGCACGTCTGCTCTTGGACGTGGCCCATTGTGAGGACGCAGTTCCCCTCATTCTTAGACCTTATTGTACCAAGATCCGTCCTAAAAGACATCCTGTTCCTCCATCCTTTAGCTTTATGTTATCGTGTAAATATGAAAGAGGCTCGTCGAAGGTAATACTCAAGATGAAGATGGACGATAAGGCAGTTCCGTAACATTCAGATAAACGCAGGTCTTTGGTCCCGTTCGACCCGCCCCCGAACCCTCTGCCCCAGATGGCAGATTCCGGCCAATGTTATAGTAGGATCCTGCACGACCATCTTCCGCGAGGGGAGGAGCGCTACTGCTCGCCGTCGTCGAGTTAAAGCCAGCGCGCCCGCAGCCCATGAGCGATGCGCCGGCGGAATTGTTGTAGCAGGAGGACGAAGGAACGCTACCGTTCAGGAAGTCCCGGCTCAGCCTAGTGCCCGATCCGAAGTGTCCGCCTTTTTTGATGGGCGATTGGGGGCCTCCCATATCAAAAAGGTCTCCAGGTCTGATGCCATCACCGAGAAGGACCGTGGGCATCGGCCAAGATTTTTTCACCGGTGTCTGGTCCGGAGACGGTGGCGGCAGAACCGGATCTGCGCCCGGCATCCCTGTGACGCTATTGTTCGTCCCGCTGCTTCCGCCTGCGGCTAATCCGTGCGGCGACATGTTACTCCACACGCTGTTGAGGTGACCTGGTCTGCCAACTTGGTGGTGAGTCGGTGTGCTCTCCTGGGACCCTGCCGGCTCTCCACCGCTGGCCACGTTCGAAATGCCCGAAGCTGCCGCAGCGAGCAGACCTCCTGCTCTCGTTCCACCTGTGGGGGCTAAAAGCTTCTCGCCCTTCTGTACATCCCCAATCCGCGTTCCCGATGGTACCAGACGAAAATTGTAGGAATGCGCTGGCCCGATCTTTGGCAAGAAGAAGCCGTCTATGTCCTTCATCATTCGATCGTTGAGCGCTTCCACAACTTTGTAATTGTCGGACACCCGACACTGGATGCGACCGCGCGAATAGCCGTATCGCCACTCGAAGAAGAATTCCTCCAGGGCAAACTTGAGGACCAATCCGACCTGCATTGTTCGTCTGCACAGCCGCTGCTTGTGAACGTGTAACTCGTTCACCTTTTGCGGATTTGGAACCACGCCGCCCAGTGTTGCCGAAAGGCGGACTGGCGGCGTCGACTTACCACTAGAATCACCAATTCCATTGCTAGACCCCACAGAACTTGTTATGGATGGATTATTACTGGCGAAAAACTTACTGCGTTCACGAGGACGGAGCAGTCCTCCATGATAGCCCCTGCCCGTAGCTGCCGTGGACGACGACGCGGGAGCGACGACAGCCGATCCTAGACGCACTTTCCAATTGGCATGATACCGGTCACTAATGCGATCGTATTCGCAGAATTCGTCCATCAAGGCCATTTGATTCCGTGACTTCCCGTTGTATCGCTCCCAAATACCCCGCTCGGGTTCAGTTCCTCTCTGCATCATGTTCGGATCCAACAGAATCCCGGTTCTGGTGAAGCAAAAAAGATGGCCATCCGATATCAGCATGTTGCGAGGGTTGCTGTACTTGCAGCGGCGCGTCACCGCTTGTGCATTCGCAGTGTGACAATATTTGGATGCCAGATCATTGTTTCTCCTCATCATGTTTCCGGCGGCCGAGCTAGTGTTCGACGCTTGGATGCGGCCCCGATGCGCCGCGGGGTCAAACGGCACCGAGCCAACTGTCGGTATCGCATTGTCGCCGCCGTCTCCAGCATAGGGCGGAAATACGACGTCTACGGGAGTGCCCGCGCTGCTTCCCTGTCTACTCACACGTCGCCGTTCTTCCATGACTTCCTCCTCCTCGCTTGCCTCCGAACACACGTCGTCATGGTCTTGTAACAGGCCCCGCTGCCGTGCTTGCCGCTCCGCCAACTCGGCGAACGTCAACACCCTACGCTGAATCGGCTTCACCTTGTCACCGAGGACGTCCGTACAGCCACCATTGGCCACGATGTCCGTTTCGAGAAAGCCCTCGCCGCCGCCGCCGCCACCCATGGCAGCCGCTGAGAGCGATGTGGCGCGCCCCTTGCTTGCCGTACCCCCATGCAGAGTCGTCACGTGCTCCTCTGCTACGATTGCGAGTGTCGACGCCTCCTTGTTTTGGTCGCGCCGTCGTCTGCCCGCTGGCTCGAAAGCGTTCGGCACCGTCTTGTTCACCGGCTCCACCGGGAAATGATTGTACTCCGGTTCTGAGACATAGCGACCTCCTAGAGATTCCGTTAGCTGCCTCAACGCCAGAACCTCCGGCAAGCAGTTTGCTGCGCCCCGCGCGTCCAGTTCGTCCATGTCTGCTTTCAGATCTTCCCGATTCTTGCCTACGCCGAGAATTGACGTAGTGCTCAGGTCGCAGATGTCCAGCGATATCTGCAGGCGCTGATACTTGGCACTTAGCCGCTCGACCGCGACACGGATTCCCTCCACGTTGCCGTCGTTATCGACAAACTCCTGTTGCGCCAACTTTCGATTGTTCACCCACATTACCGGGCCGCCCCCGCACTCATGCATCATTTCGGCCACCGATTCGAGGACAGAAAAAGACCGCATGGGCCCTTCGTGATTGTCTGCGGCAGCAGCGAATGGGGTCGCTTTAGCCTCCTGGCGTCGGCGTCGCCGAGCTGCAACCCCGTCAGCTGCACGACTTGCTACACTGGATGCGCAAGTCGTGCCTTGCGACGGCCACTGCGAGACTCCATGGCTGGAGTTCCGACTCAAAGAAGACACGCTAGAGGTCTTCGAACTACTTCCACCGACAGCCTTTCGAAGCGGTGGCGGTGCAATCGCTCCGGCATTCGAACGCCCATTATCCGCGTCGGTACCTGGCGAGGCACTGTCGCCCCCTTCAGACAAGCTGTCATCTTTCAGAAACGTCGCAAAGGGCAGCATCTGTCTAGGAATCGTCTTCGGAACGGGATTGAAGGGGTCGTGTCCAGGCTCGCCCGTTTCAACAAACGGACCAGACACACTATTGCAGGACGCACTACTGCAGCTTGCGTCTCCACCAACACGTGTCGAGGCAGACTGAGTACCGCTTTCCTCGGTCTCACGACCTCCCAGAAGTTTCTCATGATAATCATATGGTCCCGGGAAACTGCCCGACGAAACTTTAGAACTAGAAGACGTTAACTCCGACGTTGAGCCGTCGCTGCTTTCGCTCGCGGATCTATTCTCAGCAGCAACGAAGCCGAACCCAAGATTGTGGCGCACGACCTCTTCGTCCTCAATTCGGTCAAAAAAGCCGGTAAAAGTCTGACTGGAGAGCAGGTCTTTCAGCTCTTGGCCGGAGAAGGTCATCTTTTCCCGCACATCACCTGGACACGGCGGAAAGGTATCTCCATGCGGGACCACTGTAATTGCACACGGTTCACCCCGACGGAAAAAGTAACAACTCTGGCTGTCATACACCACAAGCATCACGCGCACACCCTGGTAATAGCATTTTCCTGGAACGTACTTGAGTGGCGGAGATTTGCTCTTGTCCTCTGCGCTTCGGTTCTTCCTCCTTTGACTCGACGTGGCCTCCGGAGCCGCAGCTGCGTCTTGTTGATTTCCCCCTGCCTGTGTCGGTGCCGGCGTCGAAGTACTAGATGTCATCCCACTGGGACCGATATTTCCGAGTGTAGAGTCATCCGAGTAGCTAGAGCTACTATACCGGGAAGCAGATGGAGCGCTTTGCTGCAGTTGAGCATAGGGGTCGTTCACTGTTACTGGGGGTGCCTGGTCGTCTGACGAGGAATCCGACGAACTAGTTGGTGCTGCTGTCGAACTCGTGGCTCCCTCGGTTAGGTAAACTTCAATCAGAGGCTTCGCGCCAGCGTCCCCTGTCCTCACCTGCTGGACTGCATTCGCCCCTGCTGAATCAGTGCTCAGGGGCGAGCATGTGTGTTCGTAGTACGCATCCACGACACGAGGGCCAGACGGTCCAGCGTTCACGTCCTGCGGAGGAGGGCACTAATGAAGAGGGTCAAACTTTGCCGCAACTACATTTTTCATCTCATCATCATACACCATACCAGTCTAAAGAGATCCTGTTAACAGACTCTACTGCCTAACCCTGATGTACTCGTATCAAGGAATGTTTTTCCTGGTAATTACTCTCATCTTCTCTCACGTTTTTCATAGGAGGTCAGAAAGTATCAATAAAGACAACAACTGCTAACGACCCTATAAATAGTTCAACATGAGCTAGAACAAGTAGATGTTCTTTCATCTTCGGGGTGGTGGTCATAAAGTATGATATTGTCCTCCATCCTTGGGACGTCCGACTCGTCTGGCGAGCAGCTGTCTGAGCAAGTGTTGCTCGACTCGTCTTCCCATGACCCTGATCCCGAATAGCTACCGGAACTGGACTCGCGGAAGCTGAAGCTCTCCACCGAATCTGCGGAAGAGCGCATTTCGAATCGACGTCGACTCCCACGACCTCCGCGCTTGTGGCGATAACGTGAAGACGCACCGCCCAAGCCTGCCTTGGCCAGCGTTTCTGGATTCTCGCCCTCGCCACCCGTTCCGTCGCTGCGCGGACACAAATTACGCTCAAGCCACTCGCCAACACGATCGACCACAGAACGGTCGACTACGAGACAAACGGGCTGAGGGGATGCACATTGTACAGTTGGTAAAGAACAGTACTGCATAGAACTTTTGGACATGAAGTGAGCTTGATTCAAGTATAGTACTTCTAGTGCATCCGCTTTTCTGGTTTCTTCATTCACTATTTCCTGGCGTAAGTTCTTATTTTCATACTTCACTATCACTATCTCCACAAGGATCGTGATATTCATCGCTATACCTATAGAGAGTTCTTGTAGACTATTCAAGCGGGACAAGAAAATCGAAGAAGACATCGTAAGCATGATACCACTGGTTCGTCTTCCTGTTGCAGGTCAGGAAATCCCTCAAGCAAAGGGTCTCCATAGACCGGGTCTCCATTCCTCGCCAAGTCATACTCGAGGCACTGATACGTGCCGAAGGCCTTTGTCTGCCCATCGAACATCTTTGTGTGTGCCATCGAGGGGTCCGACACCTGTTAGCAAGTTGTTTGTGCACGTTGATGAGATAGGTAAAACTAAAACGGACTACCATGAATCTATCTTGTGTTATTCAATTTTGTCACGAACAACCCCCAACGAGGACGCATTGAATAAGAAAACAGTACTAGTACGCGTCATGCTATTTTTTGGACTCGGCTGGTCTATACAAGACTAAAACTGCGAAGTACATGGAAGTGTTCGGAGCAGAAACTGCATGTGTAATCGAATTCGTAAAGGCTCGTTGTCTGAATGTCGCAGTAGGCTGTCATGTAGGCCTCACACCGCGGACATCTCAGAGGGGTGATCTGTCCCATTCGCAAGATGCTCTCCATACCTCGTAAACAACCACGCGGCATCGGCTCGTAGCTTACCCACAGTGGTAAAACGTGGGAATCTAAATCGGGTTACGTATTTGAAAACTGCACAAGTCTTCACAAGAATGAGGTAGGAGAAGACAATGCAAGGATATCTATCTATCTATCTATCTATGCGTCAGAACTCTACTAAGCAGTTAGTATTGAGCGCCATCAGTACTGGCTAATCCAAGTAGAATCGAACGCTATTAGCACTCTGGTCAATATCGCTGAGGTCCAGATGAATCTAAGTCAAAGAATGCATCAAAATTCCGTAAGTACTCGCTAGTGTCGGAGCCATGGTCAGGGTCGTCGTCATCATCGTGCTTTGGCAGCACATGGTGTTGTTAATCGGCCGTGGAAGTGTCTCCGGAGTCAAACGGTACACTTCGTTCTTGTTGGGGCCTTTGAGATCCTTCACAGTTTCTTTACTTTTTGCCGTCGGGTCGGGCGGCGGCGGCCCGAGCACAGGTGCTGGTGGTGGTCGCATCATTTTCGATCTTTGCAAAGCGATTCGGTTCAACCAGGACCAGGATCAAGAAGAAGCGGCTAATATCTGCCTTGCGCCAGGTATAAGGAGATATCACTCGCAGACCCTCACAGCCGCAACAGTTCCGCGTGCTTTGTTGTTTTCCAAAGGGATGCGTGTCGGCCGAAGTAACCACGAGGCCTCCGCAATTTGCACCTCCTAACAACCCCACTCGTGCGTCAACTCTGCTGACTTTCACGTATCATGCAGCATCAACGACGACGTTTCACCTTCGACATGACCATCCGAAGATGATATACAAGAGGAGCAGTAAAAGTCGTATAATGAGCTCGTAGGACACAAATTACTCAATTCAAAAAATACACAAAAAACGTTCTTGGAAACTCAGATTTTCACTAGGGAAGCTAGTTGCGATCATTAATTTTTCAAATACCAGGGCTTGATGGACGTCATTGACATTGAACAGTTGTAAATATAAAACTGGACTATAGGGTCATGGACAAGGCTATGCGTCATACGATTACATGATATCGCGTAGAGCGAATGACGTGCTAGGTGATGTGCGTAGAGCGAATGACGATACAAGTATACCGATCCTTCGTTCCCGATATCAAAAGTGGCCGATCCTCCAACCGACTTTGGGGCACCGAAAGATGATGACAGAAGCTCTTGCCTGATGATGATGTTAGTCGGTTCACATTGGACTTACGACTTCCCTGAGTCTCTTGTGTGTTCTACGAATTTCTCTGATGTTGAAGCTCTTGCCTATATAAAACCGATGCATCGGAGCACTGACAGACTGCCATCTAGCTTTCATTCAGACCACTTGGCAACCGCGTGAAGATTGCACAAAACGAACGTCAATTTCATGTATCAAGACCGATAAATCCGTCCGCTGAGCTACTCTAGCGGAGTTGAAATCAAGTTGTACAAGCTCGCTGTGATTAAGACAGCATCTAGATGTCACATGTTCTTTAGAAGCCTTGCTTTAAGTGAGGATGCTTCGGAGTGGTATCTACCATAGCGTTGCTCATCCAGAATACGCAAACAGACCATAGTCCACCGTTACCTCCTACATGTTCATTTTTCAAGGGCACCGCAGGTCGGTGTCCGCCGAATTCTGCGAAACAATCGGTCTTATCAAGGCTTGGAATTTTTCGAGCTGCTCCTCCCTCGTTGTCGTCTCAAAATCAATATAGTATTTGCTGTGTGGTTCTCGCATTGTGCGCGTGCTTTTTGACGTCGCTTTTGTGAACGGCGGGTACAGGCGAAGGGAGCGCGTATTGGGGTATACAGTATCATCTTCATCGCATAAAGGCGCAGTACCATGCAACGAATGAGTAGATTCTCGGCAAACGGACACATCGTTTCTCTGCATGATTCGTTCGGCTATATTTTGTGTTCCCAAAACAAAAAGTCCGCACGGCGGCCGTGAAGGCGCGGCATCTTCAGCACTTGCAAGTGCGTCGTCTTCACGATTTTTTTGGCGTCGAGCAGCCATATCTTGGTCACTCGGCACAATCACCAAAGTCAGATCGAGCGAAACCTCGCAATCCCCACCCAAGTGTACGCACTAAGCGTGCGCGTCCACTGGCCGGTACGCCACGCGATGAGCGCACCGAAACCGGCCAAGAAAGGAATTCCCATCAAACCGATCTTTCCCACAATGGCCACATGATTTCAAAGCCAGTCCCGCCGGTTGATACAACGCGTTGTCAATCCACGCCAAATACGTATTTTTATGCGTTTGATCGTAGAAACGTAGAGGCAACTCGCGGATCCATTCTGTCTTTGACTTTCTCGGCGGGGTTGCCAACCAGTTCGTTATGTTCTTACGAATGCATCGCGACTCACTCCACTCACGTAGATCTGCAAGGCAGATCGTCGACAATCCTCGCTTTCTAGCCAAAGAGTTCCTCGCAATTGACGCTTTGTCGAGGCAAAGACTTTCTTGTTCCGTTCTTGCAGCTGCACTTCCAAGAGAACCGGACATACTACCACAACCGCGTGTCGCCAAGATATCTGCCACGTTGTTGGGAAGTCAGCATACGCAGCCCTCGAGTTGCCACGCACACGCAGATTAGCGGCACACCTGGATGCACCAAAACACGACTGAAGGACCATTGCGACCGTGCTCTGTTTCGCGCCCGCCATGCGTCAGCACTCGAAGACCTCAACTGTACGGCAATCCAATCCGCGGGCTCGTCGCAAGCCTCTGCATTCGACTGCAGTCCCGCACTACCTGTGGTTTCGTTAGATCTGTGAGACCCCGGCACCCGTGTCAAAAAACTAATATCTGCTCTAGAACCGTGGCCCAGCAGCGCAGATTCTCGGTCGTGAGCCAGATCACTGTCCCGATTGTTCTTGACACCGGAAGAACCCGTGGAACGCAACAAAAGCGTAGCACGGCAACGCTGCGGCAGACGAAACCCTTCAAACTCAGGCATCTGCTGGCAAAGAAAATCATTTGCGAAGCCCTCATATGCTGCACACGCAGTCTGATTCGAAGCGTGACCTCGCTGCACATGTGCAGCTTTCTTCGTCTGCGTATAACCTCATCTCCAGCAGATCTACGCGTTTTTCGCTGTGTGTATCCCAGGAAATCAGGAAAGCATGTCCACCCGCGAACGGTGTATACTCTCTGAGAGTTCGACGGAATAAATTTAGGCCGCTCAGCGCTTGCGGCCCAGGCTCGATGCGTGTCAAGTGCAAGTCCAGCGACTGAATGTAGGCTCTGGCCTCCATAAAGGGAAGAAACCGGCGCCGCAGGCGTAGCCGGGCCTTTGTCGATGCGATCGCATCTGCACAATGGACGGAACGTCGCATCACTACTTTCTCCATGATAATCTGGGAGTGCGAGCCCAGCGCTGCCACTGAAAAACGCTTGCACCCACAGGTAGCACAATCATGTGAGAACAAAGTTCCAGAAGAAAAATAACTACGTATGACAATTACGCATGACCACTCTCACTTGACACAAAAAAAGACAAATCTAGCCGGCCACTAATATCAACAACAGATACTAACTCTTCATTTCGATGTCTGATATTTACCTGAAAGAAAATGTGGCAACCGCGCAAAACATAGTTGCTTTCACCAAGCACGCACATACGTTCTTAGAGTTGGTCTTGCAGAGCACGACGCGCTCAAAGCAGTCTGCAGTATAAAACTTACGATTTTCGGACCACAATGGGACACGACAGCCGGCGATATCTTCGCCAGAAGCATCAGTCGATTCCATTCTTCACATGAGGAAGAATTTCGTTATTGCATCTTTCTTCGCCGTGCTGTGCATACAGAGCTTTTTGTTGAGTGAGTACCAGAAGCGTGATTATGAAACAAAACAAAAGAATCCCCTTGGCAACATGCGTGTCTCTGGTAGACCAGTTGGCGATGGATTAACTTTGCAAGACTCCGCTCAATACACTATCGATTGCTTGGAAATGATGAATATTGGTGAAATTGAGAATGAAACGAGATCAAACCAACAACATGAATCACTGCTTTCGCTGGATAGTACCTCCTTCTTTGAACTGCAAGAAACAAACTATTTACTTACTATGACTAGGGTATGTCTCCAAGCTACCACGGTCATCTCCAGCAGCCTGTACGACCCTACTAAACGTCATCCAGTTTCCTCCTAATTCCTTCCCGAATCCCGAATGTCTGAATCCAATCCGGTACCCACCTCATGCGAACTCTGCGCTACTGCAGAGCCGCTCACCTCTTGACCCGCCAAAGCAATTGCTGACAGCTGCTGCAGGTACTGTCCGAGCTTGTGCAGGGAGTCGCCTAGAAATTTGCGTTTGTCGTTGACGAAGTCAAGCGCCTTTCGCAGGGCCTGCCTGCGCGTCTTTTGCTGCAGCTGTGTGCGGATCAGCGTATCCTGGTGCTGCAACGTCTTCGCCTTCTGCTGTGCAATCATCGCCGAGCGATGCTGGTATTCGACACGCAGTTGTCTGTTGGTGATGATAGGTGATAGGAAATGTTCTTGAGGTTCTCACGAAAACGAGCTTGTAATTTAATTACTAAATCCTAAATAATGAATTAAAATCTTATTAGATATTCATGGTCAGCGTTTTCCGTTTCAAAGATCATACCCATCATGACTTAGCCATCTAAAAGTACTTGACACTGCTATTTTCCTGCTCTTGCAGCTCCGCCAGCTCGCCTTGCAACGTGCTAATGATATGCGCTGGCTCGGCGTCGGCCTCTGTTCGAAGCCACGAGAGGTCGTGGGCTTCCTCGGCTACCTCGGCGCTTTCGATGCTCGACTCAGTATTCGAATGACCTGCTTGGATTGATCGGTTGAAAAAGATACGAGAATCTTCCAACGACTCTGATAGATAAGTTCTATCCTGCTCAACTTCATCTTCAAACAGTCAATAGTCTGAATCAATCTATCGACAAAACTATCGTGTTGACTCAAATTTCTCATACCATCTTTCTTCCTATGCGTCGAAGACACTGCTAAAAAATTTGTCGCCGAGGACGTGTCACTTGCTGTCACCTCTTCTGGTAGTTCCAGAGCAGAAAGTTCCGGAGCGCCTGACCAGTCAGCCCGTTTGTCCATCTTTTTTGAGAAACCTACACCCGCAGCCACTTTCGACGACAAAGATTCCAGCACAGAACGGAGCCCTTTGTCTTGTGCAAGAACCTGCATGTAGAAATAAATTGTAGTTTCTCTAGTGCTTAATAAATGGGGACGGATCAATTGGAGGGATGAGAAAAGGTGCAGAGATCGATTCTCAGCAATGGAACCGATGTAATGAATGGTTCGAAATCAAAATGAAGAAGGAAGGAACGTAGGAAATGCACAAGATTCGTATGAAATGCAAATAATTTCCACCTCCTTCGCTTCCTTCTCGATTTTCGCGTTTTCCGAAGCCACTGCCTTGTTTTCCGCTTCTATTTCGGCATTCTGCTTTTTCACTTGCGCAAGATCAAGGGACTCATAGTACAGCTTCTGCTCTAGATCTGCCTTGTTCTTCGCCACTTGTGCCTCATCGACCTTCGCCATCCTCTGGATTCGAGCGTCCAAGGCTTTGACTCCGTTCTGCATCTTGCTCAGCGTTGACGACGCGGGAAGCAAGACCTCATCCACTGATGGCAGCCTACTGGCTGGACTGTTAGAGGTAAAAACAATACAGATGTCAGATGAGATGTGCATGAAGATTCATCACACGATCCTACTACAACTTTCGATGAAATTTAACACAGACTCGATCTTCTGAAAGTTGTGTCACCTAGAAGTTGTATTGTCGAGAAGTAGAGAAGATGTAGCAGGTGCAGGTCAGTGAATGCTACAACTACCGAGTCTAGAAGAATACATGAAACAAAAACGATTTATCGTCGAGCAGTAACCTTGCTGCTGCTTTCTGCACCATCGGAAAGAAGACCACTATTTGCGTGCTTCGAGCGCTCTGTCGGTCCTCGTTTTCTATGACTCAGACTAGGCCCACTCAAACTGGTCCCACTCGTATCTTCTGCGTCTGGTATAGCATCTGCTGGGCTCCTGCCCGACGGGCCAAAAGGATGGAGAAGTTCGGTTTCATCTTCTTCCGTGTTACTAGTCCCCTTTTGTGGTACAGCGTTACCGTTGCGTCGTTTGCTGCTCTTGTTGCTCTGTCCCTTGCCTGTAATTGTACTTTGCAGCTGCGATTTTTGCGTTATGTGTCCGTTGGTCTCCTTACTCTTTCGCACCTTGAATAGCGGAGCAGACGCAGATACCGTAACAATGCCGCTACTAGTGAAGCACAAGGCCGACAGGGGTCTCAGAAGGCCGCCGCGTCTTCGTGCTCCAATTGTTACCATTTTCGTCGGCAGCGTGGTCGTAGTACTACGACCTACAACTAGTCCCGGGGACCTACAACTAGTCCCGGATTAGGTAGTGGCTTGCACACATACACGGTGGGTAGTACAAATTCTGTCAATCTATCACAGACTACATGATGTAGAGCAAAGGGACAAAGGATGTCCGAGGGCGACAAGTAACTTGTCACCTATGGAGTGACTGGTGGGGCAAGAACGTAAGCTTTTCAACCTACGAGGAGATCAGTGGTGGGGCACGAACCTAATACTATGTGTTTCAAGATGGGTTATGAGAAGCAGGGATGTTCCACTGTGATACGAGAATAGCTCGGGAAAGAGCTTTTGGTTGTTATTCTTATTGTTGTCCGCCCTCAAATGCTAATTTGATTTTGCAACGCCGTCCTAGTTTCTCTGTTGCATTCATCATGCTACCCACGACAAGTTGTATCTATTCGACGTGAAATATCATTCCACCTTTGTTTTTGTAGAGAGTCGTTCGATTCCCTTTTTCCCTCATCCCGCCATTGACGTTTTTGAGTCAGGAATCGTCCTTTCTTCCCTGCTTGAGTCAAAGAGAACATGTTCTGAGTGAGTTTCCTCCTCTCCAATCCTGACTATGCTGGCTCCCCGTCATAGTCGTGCGTTTTGACATGTCCTCTCCGAGGTATCCCAATCACTTCTTTCGTAGCCAATCTTCACGCTGGCGTGTGTCTGCACACGGATGGATCGCCAACTACAATCAAAACATATCATGATTGCCCCAATGTGGTTTTGTAATATTTAGCGCTAGATGTTGTAGTCGTTTCTTCCTATCTTGTTACCTTCGAGAAAGCAAATTCAATACGCTCGTCCAGTCAGTAGAGTTTCTCTCTCCACTTACATCGAGACACAACAATCATCCACCCCGGACGAAATCTATTACGACCTTTTAACGTCGACCGCTGCGCAGACTCTACTAATTTGAAAAAATATATGTAGCTCAGATGTTTTGTACATGTTTTTTCTTGTCTTGTTCGTATTTTCATCTTGGAATGATCTAAATATCTACCTGAGTTAGTTAGTTAGTTATTATAGGAAGCCCGGTGGTACTCCAGCAACGTGCAGCCCGAGAGTCGTATGCAGAATCCTAATCGTCACCCAGTGTCCGAAACTCTCACCATGACACAGGACGCGCGAGGCAGAAGCGAACTCGCTGAGGGCCTCCGCAGCGAAAGGCAGCGAAAAGGGCGCAAGCATCCGGGCCAAGACGGCAGACTACGTCTCACTCAGAGGGCCGGTTTAGGGCAGCTGCCAGCTCGCAGGCTGCCAATATCTACTTGAGTATCAACATTAAATACCTTGTTCGCCATTTTTCCATTCTCCGGTATCGTAATAGTCTAAATGTATTTTGCAGATCTGACAAATTTTTAGAGATACAAATAAATTGAATAAAACTCCCGTGGATGCTATGTATCTATCATCTTAGCAGTACGTCGCTGGCGAATGTCGTTGTAGAAAGTAGTAGTTCGCTGTATTCTCTTCACCTCTGAATTGAGAACGCGTAAAAGCTCAAGAATCACTAAGAAAAATGCTAGAAGCAGGCGTTACCCGCGGTTACATCGCGAAGCGAGTATCAATAAGTTTTGTTTTCCATTTTTCCGGTTGGCCGTTTTTCTTCTTCTGCCGTTCGCTTTTTATCTCTCTCCACGACCTTGTTGCTCTCGAAAGCCTGCTGCTGCGTTACTTACTTCCAAGTACAGTTTGGCATCTTTCCCTAGTGACTCCTGGAAAAGAAGACTCCCTTTTCAGAGCAACCGCATCGCGAGCAGTTGCTCGTCATCTCCTCAACAAGATCGCTTTCCGTTTGCTCGTCATCTCCTCAACAATGAATAGAATGCGACTTTTTCGTCTAGAACAATCGAAGAACAAGAGAATTGTGAAGATGGTCAACGAATTTGCTCCCTTCGCTTCGCACTACGACTAAAATCTTACAACTGCAAGAGCTAGTAACAAACAACTACAGATACCTGATAATCCGGCGGAGCAAAAGCATCCGCTTCAGAGTTTGGAAGGGGGTCTACTCGTACATTTCGTTTACTGCAGGATCTCTTCTCTCTGTGGAAAACTGTTAACCGAAAAAGGATTCGCGAGTCGGCCCCCAACCTTCAACGAGGACCATTGTTAGTACTTGCAGTAACCGAAGACCGAGAGGTGATACCATGCTGGTATAAGACTGCGTACAGTGGTAAAGCGCCGGTATGTCTTGCAAACTAGGTGTTGCGTCACACGAAAGTGAGGTTGTTAGTTTTTTTTTTGTCCCTGGGTCTACAATTTCCCGCAATACCGACTGCGTTAAAGAAGCAACCACGATGGACACTATCTGATGTATCCCGAGGGAGCAAAGCTAAACCCTATGAGGAGTTTTTTTTGTTACCACCTGGGTCTACAATTCTCGCTTATCCGTCCCCGCTAGTCGGATAGCAACACTAAACTATTTCGATATGGTTTCGTTGTAACGACGAAGAATATCGATATGCCCTTTTGATATAAGTACCAATACATCAAGCAAATTCAAATTTTTTTGATGTCACTTTTGCCTGCCTTCGAAGGAGTGATCATTTGATTTTGCAGAGCCCTCATAGTCTCTCAGACGCATTTCCCGTACTTCATACAGATCCTTTGTGCCCTGCAGTCTTCTGAATCTCACAGTTCGTCCTTCTTCCGCTTGAAGGTATCCGTAATTACTTAGCTTCCGATAGACGAGAAGAACATCTACTTGGTTCATCTAAAAGCAAGTCACTCCTCAGTCGCACTAGCTTCTTTCGTTCTCTACTATATTCGTCATGTGTCTTAACTTGACATGTCGGCCAAAAAGCGTCACAATCACCTTCTTTTCTTGTGGTTAACAAGTCCTGCTGTCTCTATACAGGGATCGATCGCGAGCTAAGAAGGTCCTTGTTTTTCACTGCGCATGAAGATCCTCACCACGGAGATGCAACATGCGACTACAATCCATCTGTTCGATCCACGACTAGTCATCTAGGTAGTTTCTTAGCAACATTGAACTCGACGAAACAGAATATAGCATGCGCGTTTATGAAATTACAAAACAGAATCACAATTAGAAATCCTCCTCCATTCCGTGAGCGCACACGCTACAACATGATAGCGGGATGATTACTTTATTAATGTCGTGCGACACCAGAAGGCATGGAGGAGTGACCGACACTGGTAACAGATACTCTGAACAAATACTAGAATTTTTCGCGTTTGCAACGTATAATCTCAGTTTTCTTTGGATGCTAGTTTGATTCCTAAACACAATACTAAAACACGACGAGGTAACAGACACTCTTCAGATAACAACTACATGAGCAGAAGCAGAACAGAAATTCTTTATGAAACTTAAACAAATCTATTTCATGCACTAAATAAAACCTATGCGGCACTCCTCAAGCCTAGGCTTAGTTCCCTACTCCCGGCTTCTTATCGTACGGCATGCCCGTTCGGTCAATGTAAATGCCAAATATCTTGGCATCCTTTTCGCGCTCTAGCTCATCGTAATCAATCTTTTCAGCCTTTTTCTGCACCATGAGCGGCCGTGACCTGGTGGACAAGCTGATCACGGTCATGCAAGGATGTTTACGTTCCTTTTTTTCTTATAAATATATGTCTAAAAGTGGAACGAAATTACGCCTGCAATAACGGACACCAACTACGAAATTCTAAAAACCAAAATGCAGTACGTAGTAAAGACCAAGATAATGGAATGAACCTGTCACCCTGGTAGAAGATGAACCTAAATAATCTGATGCTTTATACCTACACGGCGGTCAAACTACTTAAAATCATCTAGCAATCTAAAAAAATCTGTCGAATAACTTCCTTTCGGAATGCAGTACCTGTACATAATCTGCTTTCCGATCTTCTTATGGATTGGAGCCTGGGATCGCAACAAACTTGCTTTTAGACGCTCCTCGCGCTCCCTGGCGTTTGCCTCTATTCTCTCCTGCCTCACACGATCGCGTCGGTCCCGCTCCTACGGGTGTAGAGGAATGATTGAAAAAAGACTCTTTACGAGTGTGTGTGTGTGCCTACTCCATAGACATTCATTGAACGACATTTCGAAATCACAAGTAAATCCGCTTGAAAAATAAAAACCGACGATACGAAACTAATGAAAAACTTCTACCTTCTCCCTCTCCAGCCTTAGCACCAATTCGCGACCGGTCTCGTTACTAGCCTCTTCGTTGTCGAGTGTGAGGAATAAGTCCTCTAGTTTCGCCTCTATCTGACTCAGCATTTGCAAGGGGTCGCGCGCGTCCGTGTCAAAACCACAGACTTGAAAAACTGTCATCACCTGAGTGAAATTTATATATACGGTTAGTTTGAAGGGATTTCATCATAGAAGCTGGCCATTCAGTATTCACAGGAAGTTCATGAACACTGACTTAGAAAATTTATGCGTTAGATTCATGCTTGTTGTGGTCGGATTTCTAGAACAAAAATGCGATAGCGATTCCTCATTCCCCGTACCCTCCTAAAAAATCACGACTAAAAACAGATAGTACTTCCGCGCTGAGCTGTGCTAAAAGTTCGGCTTGGCTGGCTTCCTCCACCACTTCCTCGTGTTCCTCTCCCTTCTTGCCATGACCACCAGCTCCTCCACCTTTCGATGTTGATGTTGATGGTGAGGCGGCCTGTTTTTCACTCTTTTCCCGTCCGCCGCGACCCATCTTGCTTGCCTCTATTTCCTCTTTCGCGATCTCGATCTTCAGTTTCTTATCCCCGATCATTTTTTCTGTTGCTTCTATGCCCTCGCGCAAAGCCGCCGTCTTACCCTCCATCACACGCCGTGCTTCCTCGAATTTCACCTCGATATCTTCCATCGCCTGTGGGAGTTGACGATTGAGAAAGTTGGGAATAGGACCAGTACTAGAGTTGCTATTTAGTATCAAATTGGAAACAGCTAGTTTTATTTCAAAACAAAGCGGTAGATCTAATATAATTTCTAGGTCACTGAAACATCATCGTGAACAGGGTGTTCCGAATCTACTCCAGGTATTCTGCCATTGTTCAATCCAGCACTGATCAAAAGTCCATCTTCGCACAAAAAATGAGGGTACCTCTTCCGTTTCTTGCGCGTTTTGTATAAGAAAGAGATTAGCTTCCTCGAGGTTCGTGAATATGTCGAGAAGATGTTTCGGCTCCTTGAAATAGAGTTCCTGAAGTAAGAAGGTGAAAGAGAGTATAAGTACTTGAAGATGTTGAGAATGCTGCAGGATCAACATTTAATTGAAGTACATTGTACAGCCTGTCCCGGTTGGTGTTAAAAAACGATTCTACCCCTGCTAAAATCTACCACGTTTGTTTCTCAGACAATCCAACAAACAGACAAATAGAAGTACGTCGTCTTCATCCTGCGGTGCTTGTCTCGCAAGGACTTCTTCAAAGTACTCTTTTTCGAGTATCTCTTGACCAGGATGATACTTTTTCTTGAGTTTCTTCCGCTTATTTTCTATCTCGTTTCGTCGTTCTTCGGCCTTAATTTGAAGCATCTCTTCCTCTTTCTTAGAGAGTTTTCGATTTTTCTTCATCGCCTCCACAAAAGGATCGGGGATGGCCTCCTCGAATATCTGTAGGGCGTCGTTGTTGCTGGGTCCTCTGAGGATTCAAGAACTTGTTTTGTTGATGGATTTCATACTTTTCCAAAAAATACAGAAACGCCGAGTCAGAAACAAAAAAACAGCAACTGTGCGTTAAATCAAGCAAATGAATTGGTCGAATACCGCTAGTTCTGCATTTATTCGCTTTGTTATCTCGTCGTTTCTCTTGTTCACCCATATATTCTTCAGTCGCTCCGCCTCCCTGTTTGGGTTCGATCATATCATACGCAGTCGCACCACGATCATGAGCCAAGAAAAGTCCATGCCTCACAATAACATCAACTGATAGTATCTACCTTCGATCCATGAGTCAAACTCCACATTTATAGGCAGTTTTCCAATATTAACAAGAAAAGTACAGTCTTCTAAGCTCCGCTTGTTTTTGCTTCCACTCAATAGGCGTCAAGTGGTCTAAAAACTTGCGAAACTTTATGCATTCTTCTTTCTGCTCCTTGTATTTGCTAATCTCTGACTGGATTTGTGCGATCTTTCCTCGCAAATGCTTGATTTTCTGAAGGCGTTCCTGCTTTACCTTCGTCATCTCCTCCGCGTGCTTCATCGCCTTGTGCGCCTTCGCGTCGTTCGCTTGCAAGAAAGTGTCGAACCGGGTTACCTGGACGTTGGGCAACAGGTGGCTCAAGTCTCTACTCAGGTTGAAGTTGAATAACCTTTAAGACAAGATATTTTGCACGACAAAATTCTACTACAACTTGTACTTATACTTAGAGGACACAACAAGTCTGCTATTTGAAGAAACCGATTTATTCCACGAATATCAACGAAACAATTGGTTCCTTCGAATTTCTAGTCAGAAAATCAGAAGAAATCATTACATCCTCATCGAGCATCTGCTGCGACTTTTTGAGGGCTGTTTCCTTTGCCCTGGCCTTCTCGTCTAACTTCAATATTTCCGCTTTTTTAACGTCGAGAGACATTTGCACCTGGAGTTGTTGTTTGGAACTTTTTCTCAGCATCGTTAGAAAGAACAAGATAAACGAACCTGGCGATAGAAAAATCTCCCTGAGTGGCATCCTGATCAAAAGTGCTACATTCTTTCATCTTCGTCAAAAGAACCCAAAACTTAAGTTTGTCGTTGTTGTACCAGAAACATTTCCCTTTTTTTCGCTACGAAATCCGTCGTATTTTCGCGTTCTCTTGGTACTGCTTTCTTGTCCATGAAGGCGTCGCCTTTTGCTTCGTCTTTTTTCCCTTGTGGCTTCTCATCGCGTAGCCGCTTACTGGGTTGCAGGCGGCAGCTTGCGGTTTTCTTCTCCCACACTTTCTGATGCTTTTTCTTCTCCCGTTCTTCCGCTTTCCGCCTCTTCTCCTCCTCTCGCAACAGAAAAATCTCCTCGTCTGGCGGAAGCCGAAATGGGTTCTCCATTGCCGCCATGTTCGGCGACCCGCTGCCCGTGGACGAATGCATTCTCGAAGAATTCGAAGAAGGACTTCCTTGCTAACTGTACTAGAAGTAGACCGAAGCTTCCTTCACGCTTCCTGATGCGATTTCGCAAGGAGTAGATGTGACGTACTACTGCAAGGAGAGGTTCTACGCGTAGTTGATGAAGTAGCTGCGATTACTGTTGCGGTACCAACTCCTGCCTATAATTTTATGATCATGATGTTCAAAACCACTTGTACAACTTCAAGATGAATGCTCGTCGGCGATGATGCTTTCGTGCAACTTCACTTGGTTCTTCGCATGAATTCTTTCCTTACTGACTTGTTTTGTAACTTGTTGTATTGAGCGTGAAGATGAACGTTGTAAGAGTCGCTGATTGATGTAACACAAATGCTTGTTTTCTACTCCTTGATGAAACGTCGACTGGAAGTCGCACGATGTCGCCGCGCTCGCTGGTACGTATAGGAAAATCGCGAAAAGGAGGAGCGACTTCGCATCGAAAACTTTGTATTCGTGTCGACGTTGCTCTAGACGTACAAATGCGAACGTAGACTCGCGTAGTTAGACGATCAACGCAAATCGAATTCTTTCGCTTGCGGGATCACAACTCGATTCCGCTCTGGAGCGAATGTGTATCGTTACACTACAAGACCTGGCTGCCAAGAAGTGCGAACGACTATAATAGTACTGGAGGATGTAGGATATTCTCTGTTACCGTTCCGCTATTGCGATACTTTTCCTCCCACAGTTCTTTGTCGCAGTCCGTCTCTTCAAGCTCTCCACGGAAGCCTTGAGAATTCTACCCTAGGCGGGCACAGGTACTAATTGCCCGAGGTTGTACACCAATGGTGTGACGGCTGACAACGTGGGACAGATCGCCACCGGTCGGTTACAGAAACGCGGCCGCGCCGTGCGCCGGCCCTCTTGCCGAAACCCTCATGCGATAACAACCACCTTATGAAAAAGGTACTGTCCTAGAAAAATGAATTGGAAAATTCAGTGAATCCTAAATTAACATCTTCATGTTATACTGAGGCATGCGTGGTCCATTGAGAGAACTTGGGTTTTCAATTTCACGTTGCGTTTTCAACTTCACAATAATTACAAGCATCTTCATTATATATAAATATTGATGCCCTTCCTTAAAAGACGAGGCGATACATAATACGCCGAAAATCGAACATGAAGCAAGAAATAATTTTTTTCGACCATTGGGGATATGTAAGGGTGCCCATTTTTGGAAAAAATTTGGTTTTTCATCCTCCAGCACAACAACATCGGTTATTAGTGGCTTTAAGTTGGTACAATATAATTTCTGCACGGCAAGCACACGTGAGACGAGTCTTGCTCCAAACAGTTAGTGCGAATCCAACTGACCTCTGTGTCTCTCCAAACCGACTCAACGAGTCGCCTTCTTCACCAAGTCCGATCATGATTCTTCGCATGTAGACACTTTCTTGACCTCTCCTATTTTCCCTGACAACATAGTAGATATTCTTTCGAAGATGGTGCAAATGAAGTTATCATGACACCGATCATTATGCACCTCCGACAAATCTCTGCAGGGAATCGAGAGTTCTTAGAATCACACAAAATCAATAGACGACAGCAGAGATGCGATGTATGTGCACCTGATGTCGCCTTTCTTGACGACCGTAGGGTTTCGATCTGTACAGATTGTTTACGCCATTAACTGTAAATGATAAGAACAGAGGACTACAACACAGAGTGGCAATCAGAGACCAGTTGAACCACAACGAGAGGAAAGAACTTCGATCAAATCTGTGAAATTCGAATCCACATCTCGACGACGAGTTCATACCGAGTCGAGTCCTCTTCGAAACATTTCAAGTCAAGTCCTCTTGCTTCGAGACATTTCGAGTCATGTCCTCTTCGAGACATTTCAAGTGATGATTTGATTGGAGGAGTTCATTTGTTTTTCCACTTATAGAGATGGAATAAGTATCCATATTGCTGAAAAAAGTAAAATCGGTAGTACAGACTTTCAATTTGTTGCATTAAGTAGATCAATATTATCATAGGTGGCACATTAAGTAGATGCATCCTGAGCAGAAGTTCATCTTCTTGTCAATCAACATTATTATGCAGCTGGTGTTAATATTATGTGCAAAAACTGAGGAGGTCGCAGTCTTGTGCATGTTCATCTAGTCCGGTTTTCATCAAGAATAGAACGTGAGTTCGCAGTATGCGACTAGGTTTTAATTCTGAATTGAATGATTTCGTGTCTAAGAAATCCAAGTATTCTTTACAAACTTTTTACATAGATACTATGTCAACATGTCAATGCCATCCGTCATCCATCTTTCATGTCCGTCATGCGTCTTTCCAAATGTGGTTCTATTTTATACATGGATGTAGTGCAGTTTGATATCTGTTGAGCGATGTCGGTCCATCATCACGAACAATATTTTTTAACGCTCAAGGGGCATGCTTGCACGGTCACGTCATGTGTGCGTTCCTGATTCACGGTGGGGGCCACGAGCGACTCTCGAAGAGGCCTTTTTCACTTCCTTCTTTGCTCCTTTCCGAATCATTGGATGCGAGCGACGGCTTGAATGCGCGGTGGCGGAGCAAGTAACTGTATAAGACCAGATAGATTGCCTCGCCAAATTCCACCATCCTAAAATCCACTTCGAGCCACACCCACCTTTCAATTACAATTGTGCTTGTCCGATCCAGACCACTTTCAAAATCAACTGGTTCTATAATTTTTTTCACTTGCCAATTCCACCCGGATTGCGTGGTGATACTCGCCGGTTGTTACTAGGGCCATGTTGTTGGCATCATCATCTGCAGCTCCTAGCCACATCGGCACTCTTCTCGTAACTTGTTCCATTTTTGTTGTCTTCTGTCCCGTTTTCGATGGTAGAATCCAATGGAGTCTTTCTTTGTCGCAGCAACGTGACTTCGAAACTCTTCCAAGGTCCGAGGCCGTGATCTTGCTGCACGACACCCGAGTCAAGGATAGGCGGAAACTCTCCCCTCATCCACTGTCTCAAGAATTGCTTTCTCTCTCTTTTTCCCGTTGCTGCTTGTCGTGGGGTTACTAGATTTCTCAGCGTCGATAGAAATCTGTGAAGACCTGCGTTAGCCAGCTTAGTCGTGGACGAAGCCGTCTCAGCATTCTTCTCAGAAATTGGCTCCGCGTTCATCTCCTCGTCCTCAAATATTGATTCAAACGTCGAGTAGGAACAGCTTCTCATCTCGACGGGATTAGAATTCTCGTAATATTCCTGTTCTCGTTTCTCCTCAGTACCGCCCATCGTGGTCCAACTACGAGTGTCATCACGTCGGTCCCACAGCAGTCGCGGCTCCCTCCACATTATCAAATTGGGATTTCTGGGAGACGTCATGAGCGTCCGCAGATCCTGCATCGCCTGCTCCGAGGAAGCTGTGAAAGCTCCGAGCTCAATAGGACAGCCCAAACTGAAATTTTCGGGATCGCGTTCGAATCTCAAATCTTGATCGGGTCCTTTCCACCGACTCGAGAAGTACAGGGGCCGTTCAGTGGTGATAACCATCACCAGGTTGCGCTGTATCTTCTCTCCATTATCCCACTTGGCACCGTGAATGTCGTACTTCTTCCCCTAGGTCGTTGCAAATCCATTCGCCTCTTCGTTCGCCTTCTTTACCGTCCCGTTTGCCCAGAAGTGCTCAATAGCAGCATGGATTTGAGCATCCGCTTTCTGGATGCGTTCTTTCAGGTCCCACGCCGATCCCGAGTCGGGGCTCACGCTGTGAAGCCGGAAGCTGCTCTGACTCTTATGTTCAGTAGACTCGTCTCCACCTTGTACTTCTCGTCCTTGTTGTTCGAGACCCGGCAAGGTGCTCCTTCTGTTGGGAACTATTGTTTGCCCTCGTTGTGCGCCTCCCGATAAAGTGCTCTTGGGCTTCCCAATGTGAGGAGTGAGACGCAGATTTTCGCTGAGAGTTCCAGTGAAACGGTCGTGCCTATGCGTCTTCGTGTGAATCTCACGGAGCGTCTCTGCCATTACGTGTTCGCGCAAAACGCGAGTCACCGTGACCCGTGGAAGTACATTTCTTCTCTTCCCAAACTCGAATTCTCGAGGCTTGCTAGAGCCACGACTCATGCTTTCCAGGGTGGGCAATTGGCCACTTTCGACTGTGATCGTGTCAAAGGCAGGGCGCCCGTCAGGTAGTGCCGCATGAATTTCTACATAGCTCGAAACGTAATAGCCCTCTGCTACGCGCGAAGAGGCATCCATCGGGGTTGAGAAGGAGCGCTGTTCATCCGTATATATTGAGTTTCTCTACGCCTAAACAATTCTTCCGTTGTTGCTCGTCTGCAATCTCCTCTGCGACAGAAATATCATCACGCAGACCACTCGTGGTGCCAGGAAAAGCGTAGTATCCGGCAAACCGATCTTTGGTCGGCAGGGGAGCAAGAGGCGGCCGCAACCCAGACGCGAATGAGCGAACGAACGGGCCATCGCCTTGATGATCTACCCCGTCTTCCTCGGTTCGACCTCCCTGTGGCACGATGACAGCATAAACTCCCTCATCAGGAACGGTGCAGAGGTTGGTCCATAACAGGATGGACAAGCCGAGTAATGTCACGGTCATTTTCTTGATGGCACAGGAAGATAACAAGATAAGAAAGTGGAGGACCAGGAAGAAAGCAAGAAGAAAAAAAGTGTGGATTAATTAGTTGTTATCCGGTTTGTTTAAATGAGAAAATTTCAAAATCCTAATCATGTACTTCTATAAAGAAAAGCTGAACATTTTTCCAAGGCGAGATCCAAAGTTGAGAATACAACGTTTCTTGTCTTAGAAAAGACCTCGATCGACGTGCCTAGCGCGACGAACTTTTAGTTGCCGATGCAGATCAAGCTCAAGCATAGCTAAAGGTGAAACCATAACACAGTCATCTCTTCATTCATGGGACGCCACCGCCTCGTATCGTCAAGGGTCAGCGACAGTCGGCCCTTCGATGGGGTGCGTGTCCTCGCCAGTTGTGCCTACTAAGGGCCTTCGAGAAGAGACCTGTACCTCGGCGTGGGTGCCTGTGCAATTTATTATCAGATCACCAAACTACCTATTGCGATCTCTGGACTATATGCAAAAAACTCTTGAAAAAATATATGCATCACAATCAGCATACCAATACCTGTAGCTTTTGGTTTTTAGAATGAAAGTGAGCATCATGTATTGGCAGTAGGGAAAAGTCGAAGGAAGGTTAGCCGGTCATTTTTCTTCAAGTGCTTTGAGCGTCGCTGGACCTTGAAAGTGAGAATTTATTAGGTATCCTTTCTCGGTCTATGCCTCATTGTTTCGCTAGGAGGTCTCCAAGAAGCAAGTAGTTGAATCTTGGGGGTTCGAGACCTTCGATCTAGATCACGGCTTTCGTGCCTTCAGGTCTTTGATCAAGCGCCTTGTACGTTTGTGCGGAGGATCGTGATCTGGGATCTTATAATAAGGATCTCCTTAACGTACTGTACCTTTTTCTTCAGTTGTTCAATTCTGGTTCTGTTTTTCGACACTTTTCCATGAAAACCAGTAGCATTAACTTCAGAGCGACAATCACGTCGTTGGTGAACTTTTCGATTTCTTGTTTGTCCTTCTTTGACACTACAACACCCAGGGTACAACTCAATGAGAGCCTAGGAAAAGTAAGCTTTCTTTAGGAACACCCTTTGTCCCGTGTACGCCTAGACAGTATGAAAAGAAACCCTTCGAGAACTTGATTGCAAGTGTCAATTTCCGTTACTTTCTCGTCTTTGAATTCCACATAAAGAACTGAAGGCAAAACCTGACTTGCTCCCCTTGCTTTGTTTTCACTGCGTTGCAAAATTGACGAGAAAGGATTAGATCTGACAGTTTCTGTTTTTTGTGTTGATTAGTGATAAGTCAATAACTAAAAATACGACTGATAATATCTTGTTTTTTACACCCAATAGGGTCGGGCTTACTGTAGCGATTCGCCGAAAGTGCAGTCTCCCGGGAATCTGAGTCAGACAAGCCCTCCTCCAATATAGTTTTTCTTTTCCAGGAGTCTCTCTCTCATACTATACAACATCATGGAAGGGAAATAGGTTGTCCTCGAAATTCCAGACACTGACTAGAAATTGGTGCAATGTATACGAGAGAATCTAGTTCATGCAGAAAAAGATAAGAGCGAAATCAGAACGAACCTATTGATCATGTAAAGTACAGCGTGTTCTCCCCTTACCAAATTTTGTCTTTGCAGTACTTTTACTTCTAATGAATGCAAAAATCCGAGAGCCGAAAAGAATAAAACCGTAAAAAAAGCTCACAACACATAAATCTTTTAGCTCTGCATGCATGGGAATCTGTTTTCTGGCTGAGAGATATGACATCGCGGAGCTTGATAGATATGACATCAAGATTAGTAGGAACAAATGATCGGAAATTAACAACGAATCAATCATGACAAGTAAAAACTTTAAGCAGAATTGAAAAGTAGGTTGAATGAACCTGCAAAGATTGGCTTCTCGTTTAAGACAATTCACGACAGAATCTGTAAACTGCTGTCTTCCGATGAAGACGTTATCACTATCACCGGCTCGTCGTCATCGCTTTGTGGCTGGCCAGCAACTGCTGTACCTCTATGCTCCACACCTAAAGCAGCCTCGGCTACGCTGAGACCCGTACCTAGTTGTAGAGCACCTTGATCTTCTGCTCTCTGGTCCATATCAGAAACTTTCCGCCTCTTTAGTAGTGGCGCATCATCACTCTCGTCGTCGTCCAGGTTGCAGTCCCCCATTTGTTGCATCAATTGAGACTCCTGGCCGCGTCCTTGTGGTGATGCTGCACTGCGCAACGCTGCGTTGTTATACGAGGTGGACGCCACTAGTTCTTCTTGGTGCTCGAAAGTACTTCGAGATTGGCCAATTAGAGGAGGCTCCGCGCGTTGCTGCGGTGGATTACTTGATGAGGCTGAAGAAGAAGACGAGGCCAATGATCTCGAGCTTGTAGCTGCGGCACCTCCCAGGATCAGACCCGAAGCAGACGAAGACGATCCCGAGGCGTTCCCCTTTGCCACGAGCGTTTGGAACTTCTCCGCACGGGCCATGGCCACCGCGCGGCTCGGTGCGTCTCCTGGTGTATACCCAAAGAAGAGTTAGAGACCATCGTCTTATCTCGCTGTAAAAAAATCGATCAACGTCATATAATCAATATACACACTCAAAAAGCCTATTCAGCTGAAAACCTGAAAACTCAACAGATGACTGTCAGAAAAGATAGAAGTTAAGTTGAAGTTTAGCGTCATACTATTTGCGATTTGTAATAATAGTTAATCAAGTTCGAAAAGATTTATTTAACGCAATGGAGGGAATGCTTCTTATGGCAGTGATTTTCTATCTGTCTCATGCGCCATAATTCTTCGTGGTCCCTCTCCCGTCACACTTCTTAATCCCAGCAATTTGCAGATAACTCCCGCGATCGTGGATCGTGCGGCTGGTCACCAGACTCCACGAAGCCGCTGCGCTTTCGTCTGACGTATCTCTAGTGCCTCGCCCTTCCTTAATGTCTGCCACAGCCTCCGCAGATCCCTCGACGAGCGCCCTGAACTTCTCGAAGCGAGCCTCGGCAGCGGCGCGGCTAACTGCGTCTCCCCGCGTATACGGGAATCAAGCTTAGAGTGTGTCAGAGGTTCTCATCGAGAGTGAATATATTAGCTCGTAATGGAGACGCTCTCAATCTATCCGAACTTTAGGTCCTTAGGGGAATGCTTCGCACTACTTCATCTTACTATTTCCTCTGTGCCTTACCTTTTAGTTGTTTTGGCGCCGTCGCACTTCTTCACCCCACCGATTTGCAAAGCGTCTCCCTGATCGTGAGCCTTCAGAGTGCACACGCGACTCCATAACGCAGCTGCATCTTTGTCTGACAAATTTAGAGCTTGCCGCCCCCGCTTGATGCCTGCAGGCGGGTCAGCAGTCAGCTCAACCGTCCCCGACGTACCACGAGAGACACCGCTATGATCACGCTCGATAAGGCTTGGAACAGGTGGCATAGCGCTCGTGGAAGCGCCTGCAGCGGAACTCGAGCTGCCGGATTGCGGACATGCAATAGGGTCTCTATTCACATTGACTCCGGAGACGAGCTGCTGTGCGGACGATGCTACGGCTCCTCCACCTCGTGAAAGAAAATCCGTGATAGGTAACTGCAACTGGCGACTTGTACATACTAACTCCTTCTTTTGATGCTTGTTGCGCTTCGCCTGCGTCTCCTCCTCTTCCTTCTTCTTTGCGATTGCAGCCTTACACGCCTCGGCGCTGATTCGCTGGAGGTCCCTGTTGCCGTCGAGCAGGTTCCCCGATTGATCCCGCCCAAGAAATAGATGCCGGAAGGTTAGCCGAAACTGTGCCTTCTCCGCTGCGATTTCCTCCCGGCTCCGCTTTTGAGTCTTCTTTCTCGGGGGGCTTTTGCCATTGTGCGCTTCCTGCATGAATTTTTTGCATTCAGATGTAGACGCAGCAGCTCAAGGCGTTTTTTGCAACTATGGATACCTATAATATCTTCTTCGCAGCAACATAAAGTCCAAGAGGGTGGAGGAAAAAAAGAACTAGCATCCTTTCCATTTTGCAGCCTTCCGATGATTCCAACTTTTAGTAAGTGCATTTAGCTATGTGGTAAGAGAGCAAATCCGAGCTAGTGGAGCCGCTTAAGTACCTTGTATTCGAGCTTTTCTTTCTTCTTCTCCTTTCTCGATTTTTCCTTTTCTTTTGTGAAGCACGGCTCATGACGTTCCCCATTCCCGTCCTTGGCTGCCCAGACATCCTTCGAGTCCCGGTATCCTCCAAGACGCGGGTGCGCAGTGATTCCTGTGTAGCAAAGCCCCGCATCGATATGACACTGCGCCAGCGTGTCTGATACTCGCACGCCGATGCCAAGACCCTGAAACTCCGGTAGTACTACCTGTCATGTGTATGTTACAAGTTTCTGCGACTGCCGACTATATGTATCTTTTGCCGATAGATTTCGCGCAGATAAAAAAAAGATCCTGCGACACAAAGTAAGACAATATCTCCAAACGGCTGCGCCTATGAAATCCGTGGAGAAAACGATGAAAGTGATTAAGTAGAGTTAGAAGTATCGCTATCACGTAGATTACCAAGCGATGCTCGCGAAATGAAATGCTTCCCATTCCTATGCCTGGCTGCACTTGCGTCGCAATGAGCCCCACCGGAATATCGGCTTTTTTCTCATAGTCATAGAGTCGAAGTAAAAATGAGTGCGAATTCTTTGCAAGTTTGCCGTCAAGGTAGTGATGCGGCTCAAAGTGTAGATCCCAGACGTGTCTCGCAGTGTGGTAGTCTTTCACGCGCTTCAACGACAGACGCAATGGCCTCGGTTTTAGCTCTTTGATGATATCTTTCCTCTCATCTTCTAGTTTCTTCGCGTCAGTCGCTGCTTCGGCGCTCGTCGAGTAGAGACGTGAAGATCCAAAATTACTACTACAGCCTGGAAGCGCCGTCGTGTGGTTGCGCTTTGTGAAGCCTACTGCGGAAGTGGAGCACGACGAGGAAGATGCTCTTATGCCTTGATCAAACTGGTCCAACGTTTCCACGTCGCTTGTGCTGCCTCCAGTGGGGAAAGAGCCGCCATACGATGACTGGTATACTGTCACCTGTGACACTCCTGCCTGCTGCACTGACTGCAGGGATTCCTCCAGAGCAATATTAGCAGGCGGACTGCACCCTTGCATCGCGCTGCTCGCGCGCTGTCCTGTTCCCGAGACCGCGAGTCCCGCTGTTGGTAGCTTCTTCTTCTTCGTTGGCCTCAATTTTTGTAGCTGCGAACTGCGACGCACCGCGAGCTTCGCTCCGATCTCTGCCAGCTCAGACGTCAGCTTCTGCTCTTCCGCGTCCGTCAAAACCGAAACGTTACCAGTGCGTGTGTGCAAACAGACGTCTGGCCGCAACCAACGGAGCGTATCCTCGAACACTCCCGCAAACACGAAGCGAACGTGGCCGACTGTCACCGGTTGGTCCTTCTTCGCACTTGACCGCCCAAACGTGCTCCCCGTGCTATCGCTGAAGGGCGTTGCGGCGATCCGCTGCGGACTCGCTGTGTGTCCTTTCTCGATAGGCAACCCCCCAGCACTGGACCTCGAAGACGATGAGCACACTGCGGGCGGGAAAAGCGAAGACCACCAACGATCCGTACGCAAGTACTTCCCTAGTCTGAGGCAGGCCGCTTCAGCTGTCTTCCTCTCGAGATGGCTGGTGAACTCATCGATGAGGACGGTCGCCGCCTTACCTTCTCCTTCTCGGTCTTTCGCCTTGTTTTCTACGTGGAAGCGCAGCCCCTGGAGAATCAAAGCCGCCAACTCGACGCGATCCTGCTCAGACGTTGACAAACAAGCATACGGCAAAAGCAACGCACTCGAACGCAACAAAAGCGATCGCTGCACCAAATTAAGCAAGCCACCAACGATGTTCCGCGCATCCACATGAGGAGAATCGCCCGCCACAATGTCGCCTAGCACTGAGATCACAGCCCGGCTTCTCGACAGCTTATCTGCCTCCGAGAAGCCCACGTCGATCTTTTTGCGGTTACGGCAAAACTCAGATAGCGACGACGTCTTACCGCTTCCGCTCGGACCTACCACCGAAATCACAGAAAGATCGCCATGGCCGTGATTCCACACTTCGTGGCTCGATTGCGGTAGGTGGATCGTCTGTCTCGTCGTGAACCAGTCCGACTGCTTCGCGTCTCTCGGTAGCTCAAATGCGTTTGCTGCTTCTGCAGTTGCCGGACAAAACGGAACCTCAAACGGTAAGTGGGAGAGTAAGAATAAGTACACTCTATTCGGTAGATGATGAAACTGAAGATGGAAAGATATGTTTGAAGATGTTGTAGCTGATTAGGGACTCGAAGGAAAGTAATCACATGAAAGAAGGCTTGATAGAGGGAGATATTAAAGAAGAGGAACCTATTTTATTAGAATTCGAAGCATACGCCCATAACTTTTGAAACAGCATAAAAGCAATAGATACCGAAGATGTCAGCACTTTTTTGCGTGTCACGTTCTCGGATGAAACTTTTCCCCGCCGATGGTCGACCAATTCCCGTCCTGGGGGTAATTTCACTGCAGAAGCCTCGCTTGTTAAATCTTCAACATCGTCAATCTCCCCGATCCACGAAGCCTGGTGGCCCTTGCTTTCGTCTCTTGGTTGCCATCCTTGGCAACCTGGTGTCGACCACTCATAAGTCAGCTTTCTGTCCTTCTTCTCGACCGGATTCGCAATGACCTAAATGTTAGAATGAGAAAAAAGTAAGTACTAAAGTCAGATCAAAACAACCAAACTGGAACTTGTGCCCATAATGAATCTACCCAAGCAGGAACAAACAACTTCATATGTTGAAATTAGTGAACAAAAAACTTTGCGTGGGTGATGATCGCACCATTACATAACGAATTCCAGTGATTTCACCAATGAATAGACGCTGAGAAACTTCAGCGACTGACTCTGAACTAAACAAGGAGAAAGATAATATGAGGAACCCAATCTCCATACCTGTCCAGATCTCGCTTTTATCGCGAAGTCTGGCTGCAGGTATCGCAAGCACGCTGGATTAGAAATTGTAACTAGAACCCGTCTGACGTTGTGCTTCTGCATACAACGACTCAGCGAAAACGACATCGACCACGCATTGTACTTATCCACTACAGAGGCAAAGTCATCAATGTCCACGTCCGACCGCAACATCTTGGCAAGCTCGAAGCGGCTGCGCTCCCCGTTGCTAAAATTAGGAGAGGAAAGCGATGCATTTTTTCGACATACCCTAAAACCCGAAATAACTAGTCCTGAGAAGTCTGATACTGGAAGGCTGCAGCGGATTGCTTCTGTGTATCTTCCCCCATGGCATGAGAATAGATTGACTGATTGATTGATTGATAATGATAGGCAGCGTCGAGGGCACAGCTAGATGCAGAGCCAATGAAGAAAGTAGGTAAGTAAATCGGCGAGGCGTGCCGTAATCAACTGGTAAGCCTTGCGCATCCAAGTCGGAATTTTGTTTAGGCCAACGTTTTGCAAAGCGTCGAGCCCCGTGAAAGCTCGTAGCTTACAAAGCGGCAAGTCTACCAGCTTCTTTGCCTTTGCGTCTCGAGTCTCCGCTTCTTTCCCGCCGTCTGGATTCTCCTGCTTAACTTTTGTCGGAGACGAGCGCGGGGGCAGCGATGTCAAAGGCTCGAAGAGTTCCACTGTGGCACTCTCTGGCGTTCTATTGTCCTTGCCGATGATCACCATCCTGCCCAAACTCCCCTCTTTCGCCAGCAGCGCGCCCGTGCTGCTGCAGTAACAATCGCAGGAAAGCCGGACTGCCATGTCTTCACGCACGCTGTCAGGCGGACCCCTTTGAAGGAAGTCCGGATCGGAGACGACGGAGCCATCATGCCGCTGCTCTTGTTTCCCAGTGGTTGAAGACGATGATGAGCATGAATGTGGAAAGCCTGAACATGATGGCGGTCCTGCTGCTGTAGCCATCGGCGTCGCTCCGGAGGCCTTTCTTTTTTCCTCGAACAGTTGCCGCACGTGCTTCATCAGCCTCGTCCTCCCGCTCCCACTCTTGCCGACGATAACGCCGAGAGCGAAATCTTCTGGCAATGGATCACCACACAGAGGCGGCACCTCCTGCGACGATGCTGTCGAGCCAGCGAAGCATTCGTCCATCGCCAGTGTCCAGCGGTCCACATCGACGACGAGGCCATCGCTGCTACTGTGAGCCAGCATCGTAGTGCTGCTCGACGACATGGCTTTTGCTTCTTGAGCTTCGAAGTTGTTTACGTTGAAACGAGTCGGGTGATTCAAGTTCAACTGGTGCTGAGCAAAACGATCTGTATACTAGTAATCCGAAGAGACTGTGGCAACTTCGACTAATATTGTTCCCGATAACCAAGACAGCGGCTACCGAAGAGAAGAAGCAGCGAAGAACGCATTTGCCTTACAGCTGATGTCGCGTTCAACAGCAGCTATGATGGCCTACACTATCGAGTCGACCTCGCAGCCAATGCGGACCGCGACAAACTCAACCCTCAGCACCAAGCTCTCCTTACAATGCGCACGAAAGTTTATACTACTGTGAAGGCCACGGCATTCTTCCAAGGTAGATAGGATATCCAAGGATGTTGAAGTCTTTCATTTCAGACATCTAATTCTTCTTTCTCAAGACACATTAGAAATTTGAAATCAAACCACTATACGAATAAGAAACATGGAATGAAGGCAAGATGCGATTCTAATCATTTCATCCGGTGATCAAAAATGGAACATGTAAAATTAAAAACCACATGATAGAGTTGTAACTACATGACAACGAGCCTGAGAGTGCAATCAGAAAGCAAAGTCGATAAAACTGAAGCGCTAAGAACATGGGAAGACCTTAGTTGTGTCCAGGGGTGCTTTGGGGTGGCCGACTGCTTTGGCGCATTCTACAATCAGATCAATTAGGTGCATTGTACCCAAGAGCAAGACCGACTTGGTTTACATCACATTAATAAACGCGGTGGGATAGATAGAGAATCGTCTGTTACCGATTTCACCGATTGCTACAACGATCATTCACACGACACGCCGAGGCGTTCTTCCTACAGCACCGAACGATATCGATAATCCACTATCACGGGCATACTATTTCTGACTGATTCTCAACGGAGAAAAGTGGGTTCTCTACCGACACCGACTTCTATTAAACACGCATATCAGCTTTTGCAGTTTTCTGCATCCGGAGTAGGATCCTAGAGTACGCTCTTTTTCTGTCGGCAACAAAACATATCTTTGAGAAATGGTACTACCACAATCTATCACGAGGAGTTGAAGGATTCAATGACACATGTTGTCCGTATGCCCAAAAAGCCAAAATACAAAGGACTAATGAGAACGTCGCAAAAATAGCAATACAGCTACCAACTTACTACGCCTAAAGATATCAAGAGTGATGATCCTTGCCTATAATTCTTCGAAAGAGTAGTAGGCCGAATTAAGGACTTTTTCTGAGTTCTGCAAATTTCTTAGATAAAAACTTAAGTTCGACGAATAGAAATGTTGAGTACAACTTATCGACCGCCCACGGTAGAGAGGTCACATACATTTCGAACCTAGTGAGGATGAAGTCACGGTTATTTGATGTAGGTGCTCTGGCCGCAAAATATAGACTAATATAGACTTCCCAAGACCCTTTCCTGGGTCAGCACTTGAGGGCAACTAACTATTCTGCAAACCCGTTTAAGTAGCTTAGCACTTAGAAGCGCACCCCATTACGGTAGCATTAATTTCATCTGCGGCGGGCCACAAGCAAGCATCAATTTCCATGGCCGATGAACATATTCCGAAACGAATAAAAAAGTGCTGATGAAAAATGAAGTTCATGTTCGTGGGAATGCAGACCAAGAATCCCAGCGCTTAGAAGAAGTCACGATTAATTCTTGAGCATCGCGAAAAGGCATGACACTGCCTTCTATTCGCTGACCAGCTCTTCTGCCTGCTCTGCGTGCCTTCGCTGCACCAATCCCGTCTCTTCCCCGTCAGCGATGCTCGACGCGGCAGGGCTCTTTCCTGAGAGCCCAGTTGTAGTGCCAGCCTTGCTAAGTCCACCTCCGTAACGCGAACCAATCCAGTTGCGATACCAGGATCCCTCAACGCCGTCAGCATCCTCTTCTAATAAGACTTCTGTCTGCGTCGCATTCGGAATCATCCAGGGCATGATTAAAAGCGTCAACATGGGCAGCACCGTTCCGAGCACCGACGATAGCTTAGAACAACGTGAAGTAGTGGTACAACTAGTCGCACTTGTATCAATATACTTAGATATCTTCCTCGGGAATTGCTCATTAATCATAGATTAGCCATTTAGAAAGAGCTGTGTGTTCTTCAAGAGGATGCTTAGGAAGTAGGTTAACGAGAGTCAAATCAGTATTCGACGGAGTAGTGTTTGGGGCATAACAATCCAGAGGTTGGAAAACTGGGTTGCGTCTTTCTTCGTGCCGTCTGGCTGCACACCGAGAGACTGCAGGACGAAAGCACCGACTACCTGTCCGACGCCGTTGCCGATGTTGTGACAGCCCGCTAATAGAGCATACATGGTCGCTTCCACGCCCCTGGGACAGAGCTGCGCTAGCAGAACCACTCCAGGTATCCACATCCACTGGTGGACAATGCTAAGAATGACGCTGCCGCCAAGAATAAACACTTGGTCAGGAATACCCAGGACTTGCTTCGAAAATCGTGTGTACACGAGAATGCCCAATAATGAAAAGCCGCACTGCACAAGATTTGCGATGAGGAAGAGACGATGATAGCGCCAGTGTTTGAAGTACTGCTGGTACATCGCCATACCGACTAAGTTGAATATCGCGGCGATCATTCCAATTCCAGTCGTGTAAAACCAGATGCTGAAATGCGGACCGTCGGGGTACTCCTCCACCGTGTCCGTGAAGAAGTAGAAGGATGCGCCTTCGATTGACATTGTCATCGCGGTCTGCACGAAGAAAAAAAAGTTCATGTTCGCGATTGCCGGACTGGTAAAGGCTTGAAAAACGATCAAAACCTGGTGTATTCGAGAGGGAGAAAACCTGATATTGCTCCTTTTTAATAGAGTCGATTTGAACCGTTCATCATGGATAATCGTGCAGATTTAAAAGAACACTTATAAGTCAACTAAGTATTTCTTCACTCCGAGATCAACATGATTCGCATCTAGCATTTTCGTCTCCATAGAAACTAGTCCGGCAGTTAAAAGACAAGAGCTATCTCTTACCGCGACTGAAAGCACTGCTGCGAAGAGGCAATTCCACGCGACGGAAACTCTTTGTTGCATCCCTGCTGCGACCATGAATATTGCACAACCACCCATGAAAAACGCTAGACCCACGAGTTCTGGTGGCACCCTTTGCACTGAATCAACGCGCGGGCCACGTCTTCTAGTCCTGTTTTCTCCGTCTCCTCCTGTAGGTGCTGGTCCTCTCCCTTCTTGCTTCCCTTGTTGCTCTGTGTGCGCTGGGCCACCTCCGCGACCCTCTTCTAAACTCTTTGGTTCTTGTTCTGTAGGCGAATCAACAGCTCGCAGATGTTCTTCTTGGTCTTCAGTGCTATTAACGTTCCTCTCCTGCAACCAATTCTGAAAAATTCCATACAGGACAAAAGACGAGACCCCAGACGCAATCAGAGACGGAAAAAAGGGTCCAAATGATTCGAGGACGTAACCTGATATATTTATTGAGAATTCAATACTATTCCGTCTAGGCAGAACTACCAGACATTGATTGGCGCTATGAAGATCTCGAGCGCCGTTGGTGGTAATAAAAGGAATAAAAATACATCTATTTTATTCAGATCCAATGTTTATAGCATAATCACGGTCTCCTTGATCCACTACCTATTGTTAGCGTCCCAATAAAAGCCCCGACGCTTATTCCAGCCCAGACAAAGGTCATCAAATCTGGTCCGTGTTCTGGGGACTCCCTCATCGCCCCTGCATACCTCGCCTCGGACAAGAGATCGCAAACAGAAATCTAAAGGTTTTTTACAATCAAAGATGTAAAAACAGAGCCAAATATTTCTGCATCATCGTAGTTCAAGTCGACTCTCTGACGACAAAGAAAATTGATTAGGTTCAACAGCCTTACTAGCTATGCACATCACAACTAAAGAACCTTCTTGTAAGTAGTACCTGCATATACGCCAGAAACTGGCAAACGATAAAGGCGTTCAGCGGTAAAGCATCTTTGAGCGTCGACTTGCTCTGGGGCTCATTAATTGAGTAGTGGTACAATCCCTGTACGCCGACGTATCCCGTCGCTGCTACGGCTAAAACCGTTACTATGGCCATATATGAGTTCTTGTGGTATCCAAAAAGAGGGAATTTATCTGAGATGACACCAAATAATGGCTTCAAACCCCAAGGTGCCATTACAACTGCCTTGTAAATCTGTATTCTCGGACCGGGAACCTGGGAGGAGGAGATGTCAACATGTCATACAATTCTTCTAAAGCAGAAGTAATATTGTGAATACAAGTGGGATAACTGAAATTCACAAAACGCCTTTTTCTTCTTGAACTATCAAAAATATGTTCTACAACCTACCATGTCTTGAATTTATCGACACTAAGCATTTGCTTTCCCCACGTCGGCTTTATCAGCTTGTAGTTATAAGAAAAGCTAGAGTAACAACACGCATCACAAAGATGAGACAACTTCATCTTTTAGTAGTCGTAATATCTTATAAATATGTTACCTGATAAAATTTGAGCACGAAGTCTAGGGAGGTCGCGAGGTAGGAAAAAACGAATCCCTTGACGATGTGTTGCGTTAGAACGAGCATTGCTATGAGTTTCCATCCATATGCGTCGATGAGAACCGACATCCAGCTGTGAAGTCTTTTTGCTTGCGCTATGGGGTCGTACCACAGGTAGTCCTTCCCCAACTTGCTCCTTTTCCCTGATCCCCCAGGATCGTCGACGTTATCTGCGTCACTGGCTGACTCACCATCCCGCACGAGCGGCCTTGCACTTCTCCCTGTGCTGAGACCCGCTTCGCCTCGACGTCCTGTTGACCGCTCTGAGCGCCCATCACTGTGCGGCGGGGGTACGACTTCTCCATTCGGTCCTACTTTATAGTCAGGGGAGTAATAGTAGTCGTTCGCGTTGAAAGCGGTCGAGGACTGCGAGGAAGGAAAAGCCGTTGACGCCTGTGAGTCTTGCTTTGACTGCACCGACGACGTCAGATGGACCACGTGGTCCTCGTCATCGGAAGCCACCATTTTCGACTAGTAAGATCTCTACCTAGTTGCCTCGAAATCAGGTGATGAAAATCGACCACGAATTAAGAAAGTAGGAGTAAACTGTTCTTTCTTGTGTATACCTATTATTGTACATGTAACTCCGAGCAATAACAATCAACACTTCGAACCATCGAACCGCCCGTCAAAAAAAAACTTAGAAAGCTGTCCACGCACCCACTCTTATCAAACTGATAGCGTCTACTGAGGTGCATTGAGTACTTGATTGACCGTTTTTTCAGGTGAGTCGTTTTTTTGTTTTGCACACACTTTTTTCAACACTTTTTCAATACCTTTTTGTGCACTCTTGATTCAAACATCTTCTTCGAGCATCCTAGATGGTCCAAACCTTGATTCTACTTTCGACTCGACTCTGCTCTCGATTCCGCTCTTCTCAAGGATTAAACAAGACGATGCGACTTTGCAATCGATGACTTTTAGTAAGAGGGTTCATCGAAAAAGAATCACGAGTTTTGTCGGTTTAAAGGTTTCATCGCAAACGTGACGAAAAGGGTTCCGATTCTTGTTTTGGCACAAAGCCCGAGCGGGAAACTTTGATAGGATACTAAATATAAGTTCATTTTGCGAAAAAAGAGTCGATAACATGTGATGCTCTCAGAGTGTCAGTAAGCATCGTGGGACAGCGCAAATCATCTATCTATCAAGCAATCATGGATGGGTTTAGTTGTGGATTTAGTTTTGATCTTTATCTGACCAGAGATTGCACAACTTCCAGTGTTTCTCCTCTTCATTTCGATAGTCCTCGTCCTCAGGCTCTACTGGTTCAAATTCTAGCACGTAGAGCTCTTCGATTCCGCGTGTTTCTTGCGCGACCTTTTTTCCTCGAAGACCATAGCACCGTCGGGCCTTTTCCAAAATCTCAGTCGGATCATTCTCCACTACCCCAATCAAAAAAAACCTTCCCTTTTCGCTTGCGTAGTTTTGTTCGTTGTCGCCATGCTTCAGTCGCAGGAGAGGACGCACCCTTGGTAATATTTCGTCGATGGCGTTACGGCCTTGACCTCCACCGGCCCACGCGTGCGCTATGACGCCGACCTCAGCCTCCTCGCCTTCATCAGCGCAGACATAAGGCGGGTTGAAAACGAGTAGATCCACACCGTGGGGCTGGCACAAACTGTCAGCACATAGTCTGTCGAAAAAGTTGTCTTCGCGAATGACCAGCTCTACTCTATCACCTTGCATACCCTCTGGTCCTTGACTAGCACACGTGCTCGACGTGCTCGGACTTTCACAAGCAGGCTCTTGGCTACACGCAGGCAAAACACGTTCACGCAGAAGACGCTCCGTGAATTTCACCGCACCAGTATTCAAATCGGTGCACAACATGCGCAGCTGTGGTGGGTCATCACTACCGCTTGTTCTTCCCATATCGCAAATTCTCCTTCGGTCACTTTCTAATACAGCACGCATCACACTCGCTGACACGAAGCCGCTGCCACATCCGACCTCTAGTACTGTGAACATATGCTCCGCTGCTGTTGTAGTTCCACCTCCTTGTGATCGCTCTACTCGTTCCGCTACGTGCCGACAAACGACTTCAACGAGCAGCAAAGAGTCATCGCTTGGTGGGTAAACGTCGCAAGGAGAGAAGAAGCTACTCTCAAAACAATGTTCCCAGTCTGCTGCGCCTGACGCGGGAATCGACTCTGTAGCAGGCACGATGCAATCCAAGTAGTCCCGCAGGTCGTCTAGCGTCTGCTCGTCCACGAAAGTTTGCACCTGCATCTGCACTGCCATCGCGTCTTCAGTTTTCCCTACATTTTGTGGACGCGTTCCTTCGCCATCCTCTGTTGTCGGAGCATCTGCAAGAGCCGCCTTCTCATCACCACTATGCGACGGGAGCAGTTTGCGGATAACAGTATCTCTATCGTGAGTGCTGTTTCGTAATCGAGCCACCATTCGAGATATGAGGCCCGCGTGCGGTGTCAATGACGCCTTTTCTTCGGTAAAGCCAGTCATATTCGACTATGCAGAGACTGCAATACGGACGGAGAAACTACCTACGGAGAAATTGACAAGAAAGACAATCAGAAAAAGCTAGTATGATTCAATTGTCGCTACAGAGTCGCAATCAGGCTCTCGATAAAAAAAGCATCAAGCTGCCAGTCGAACGTAGATAAATGATCAAATAGAATAGAAGTTACTAGTAGTAGCACAGTGAAAGCAACATGGAATGGCAGGGATTTATGAGGGTCAATTCATCTAATGCCATGCTGACAGTTCACTTTCTGGATCTGCTGAGATCTTCCTGAGTGTTCTTATACGATCTCAGACTAGCAAGAACCATTCCTACAGCTGAGATGGATCCAGTGTTTTTTTTAGGAGGTCTTCATCATGAGATTTTCTTCGTTTATTCCAGATCTCCCATGATCTGCTAGGTACAGGTGTTGTATTAGGATCAATCTTTTCAATCTAGACGTTTCAATCATACTTTTGTCGTTCTAGAAAAGAGCAGATTTGATCCAAGAATAAAGAGGGTTCATCATCTACCTCTAGCTCTACAAAAGATGAGACGAAGTTTAGGACCCTTGTTCCCATTCGTCGAGGACGTTGTGTGCTTCACGCTGCACTTGGACCAAATCCACGTCGTGACCCACGTCAAGCAAGTCCACCACCTGTGCTAACACTTCATCTGCCATTGTGCGGTAGCCGCCACGCATCTCTAAGGACCGAAATCGGCTTGATCGTATGATACCACTGTTCGTATTGCTGATTTCATCGGATAGTTTTCTGGCGGCAAAAAATTCGACGACAGGGTGTTCCTTTTCCAGGTAGATGTCGTAGCGCTGGTCAAAGACGGCAGCGCTATCTCTGCGTGTGAGGGAATAAGGATAAGTACAACCAGCCTTGCCTCCGCACTTTGGTTTTTCGGGAAAGTCTGTTTCCCAGACCTGCGTGTCTGAGATTTGCACCGCCGCGTCGTTGTAAGGAAAGTCGCAGTTAGAGCACACCAAGCGGCCGACCGCTTTTGAGCGCGCCCACTCCCGTTTCAATTTCAAATGCAAGCAGTTCAAGTCAAGCAGCCCGGAGTTAGCCGAGTAATGAAGATTTCTTTGTCTCAGAGCACGTAGAAATGTCTCCGCTTGCTCGACTGATCGCGGGAATCCGTCAAGCAAAATCTTCATACGGACAGCACCATCTGTATCGGATGCGAGTTTGGATCTCCTAGACAACGCCGAACTCGAAGGGGAACTAGGTCCGCAACTAATAATCGAAGACCCGTCTCCACCAGCACTGGAATAAACATCGTCCTTGATCTTGTCCAAAACACCAACATCTTCGAGATATTTCAAGAAGCAATCGACGATGAGTTCGGAAGGCACATGCAGATGCTTCTCCATGAACGGAGCCATCTTTTGCCCAACTGCGCTGTGGGTTTTGATCTCCGCTTTTATCAAATCCGAAGCAACCACTTTTTGCACTTGGATTCCCTGCCTTGTTAGCCCTTGAGAATCCTCCACGCTCCTTCTTCTTCCTGCCTGCGTAGCTTCGCCTTGGTCCTGCAGCTGAGTCCTGTTTTGATGTCCATGAGAGGACTTTCCCGATTTCGCAGAACCGGAGCCACCCTTTTCCGATTTAGCCAAAATCCGCTGCAGAACTTCAACTGCGAGCTTCGTATAACTTCCTTTGCCCGATGCTGGCGCGCCAACGAAGCACAGAAGCGAGTGATGTGCGCCACCTCCATGTTGCGAAGACGCTATCGAGAAGTGTCGTCGCGCAAGTGCGACATGACTAAGCCCAGCCGCTCGTAGTCCTACCATCTTCTCCGCGGGATTCCAAGGAAATATCCTGCGAAGATAGGGTCTGAAGAGAGGTCGTACGCTGCCATGATGTCGGCCGTGTGTCATCATATTCTCAAGCTACCTAATCAAAGATTCGATTGTTGATTGTTGGCCAAGGAATCATATAAGAGCTCATATTCCAGCGCCTGATCGACAAGACTAGATGCGACATACACGGAGACTTCAGCAATCACGAAGATAAGAGCAAATAGTGCAAAACCTTTGTCCACTTCCCCTATCCAACTGATTCATAAACAGAAGCTCGACCAAAAGCTAGTGACTTCTTTCATCTTCACTTATCAATGGTAAAATATTTGATCAAGTCATTGGGCTCTGATCTCGGAGGCAACTGAAACACAACTTGTTGCTTCTATCAGGTTGCTCAGCTAGGAGTAGAGGACGGGTGAGAGCGTCCTCGTCGTTCAAACAATTCAGAAAACACTGCACGCGCGGAGCTCTGGCTATAGTGAACTAAAAGATGCACCCGCAGGTCATGAGAAGGCTCGTTGAAAGAGGAGGAAGCAATTAATTAAACGATGAGAATGATGTAGTTCGTTCGAATCTCATATGCTCGTCGCTCACAAAGAAACGACCAGAAACAAACACAGTGCAGATTTGTAAGTTCGATGAGGATCCCGCCGCAACAAAATATCGGTAGTAGAACACATCTCTTACCACCTCTTGCAGAATTGATTAAAGAGGCGGAGGCAGCTCCCTGCTGTGCTTTAGAATGAATTCACAATGGTTAGAAGATGGCTTCTCAGTTCATCTTCCCTTGTACGTGTAAGAACTTGGTGCACTAACATAGTTCTTTGCCTTAGATTCAATTTGATGGAAGCACTCTGCGCTTAGCAATCAGGCACAGAACCAAGCCACACCAGTGACAGCGAACACAGTGCAGCTACCGCAGGGAGGTAGGGGTAGGAAAGTGGAAATAGGGAGGTGGTGGGAGGGAGGGAGGTGGGGGTAGGGAGGTGGAGTCAAAGAAGTGAAGTCAAGGAGGTGGGGATAGGGAGGCGGGGGCAGGCAGGTGGAGTCAAGGAGGTGGAGTCAAAGCGGTGGAGATAAAGAGGTGGGAGGTTGGGTCAAGGAGGTGCAGTCTGTCAAGGAGGTGGGGATACGGAGGTGCAGTCAAGGAGGTGGGGATAAGGAGGTGGGTGTAAGTTGGTGGGAATAAGGACGTGAGGGCAGGGAGGTGGGGGCGAAGAGGTGAAGGCAGGGAGGTGGAAGCCGGGAGGTCGAGACAAGGAAATGGAGGCAAGGGAATGGAGGCAAGGGAATGGAGGCAAGGGAATGGAGGCAAGGAAGGTGAACGCAAGCAATCACGTGGGGGCAGCGAGGTGGAACAAAAGTGGCGACAGCCACAGCAAACGCGAAGGGCTAGAGCATGGGAGAAGGCGCAGGGTTTTGGCAAAGTCTAGCAATTTGCTACATTGTGAGAGAGAACCCGGGGCGCGTCTTGCTTGTGTTATCTCGTCGAAAATCCAACGAGAATGACACACCTGGGCGGGAGCGAAGCCAACGAGTAGAATAAAATCACAATCGATTATTAGCATGTAGTACTGTGAAAGGTGTGAATAGAAGAATGAAATTCATCAAGACGAGAATGCGAACATGAAGGAAGTGGTAGTAGAACTGATTCGAGTTCTTCCCCTTTACCGAGTATAAACTTCAAGGTATGTAGATTAGGAAAAAAAGACCCCTTAAATCTCTGTTCCCTGCTCCCGCTCCCCTTCCTTCATGTTCGCTATCCTAAAGGAAGGACAAAAGAGAGGTGCAGGTGCAATTAGAACCAACGAGCCCCGACGATAAATGCAAATGCTTCGTTCATTTGAAGCGTTGTTTTTAGGCTCGGTGCAGCAAAAGAGACCATGCATCAAGAACCTTGCAGGTTTCACGAGGTACGTTGTATTAATTATTATGTTACATTTTCATTGCAGGTGATATAAGGATGAGGCAAACAGATGCAGATCTTAGAATGCAAGCAGCTACTTGATAAGCCGCGGACCCTTTCAAGAGAGTCCGTGTCAACCTATCCTCCCATATATTTCGGCATCTTTCGGAGAGAGCCTTCCACTTAAAAATTCTCTTATTCGTAGCCTCTTTCAGAGAGAGGAGCCATTATCATTCTTGGTATAGCACGCAACGATCCAGGCGTTCATTTTTAAGAATTTCCTCACCCCTATTCCTACGTAATCCGATGCATTTGTGATGCTTAAATGTTGCTGCACTTTCGATCTGTTGAACTTGAACTTGAACTTGATCTGTGGAGGGTGTGGTGTTTTCAGCAACATTCCATGCATAGCGTGTTCTTGCTAGCGAGGTGACTGTCCAACAAGGCACAAACCATGCATGGTCGAATGCTGCAACCTATCTACAACCCCTGAAGCGGTTTGCATTTTCAATAGGTTTTTACGCGCTGCTAAAATAATAGTAAGTACTTGCTGGCTCGTCTAAAAACTAGGCTCTACGACGGCAAAGTATAGGCGTTGTTCGTTGTGGGTGTGGTCTACTTTGGATGATGGTTCTCCTCGTTTTCAACGACCACACACTTCGATCAACAATCGTAATCATGAAGTTTCCGCTGGTTTTTCTCCTCTGGTAATCTAAAGCTTAGGCTCTCAATAGTTAAATAGCAGGGCTCTCAAATAGGAATCTAATCAATGCTTAGGGATCCATAACTCTAGAATACCCTTGTGATGTTCAGATAGTGGACTTGCCTGGAGCCAAAAATAAGTTAAAGAACTACTCCAAAGCGCACCATTATGAAAAACTGTCACAGGAGTAATTCAGCCGCATATCGATAGGCGTCCCCATCTTTTGACGGATGTTTTGGCTAGTGCTCAAGGCCGATAGAAAGAATTTTTTCGCACAAAAGTGATTGCAACATGCATACCGTTTCTAAGGTAAAAAACAATACACACCGAGAACAATCATTTTCCAACCGCAAAATTTATTTAGGCCAGGGTCGAGCATAAGCATCAGAGCTGTAGTCCAGTTGTTGTCTGTGCCTTTGCGTCGGTCTATCTTCGACTATCGGCGCATCTCCAGCCGAAGAATTTGCATGGGTGTTCCTGCTGCATGCACCAAACAGCGAAGTCATTGATGATCTACCCGCTCGCATGCTGTTGATCTTTTTCAGTCTTGCAGTACGAAAGTCAAGGCAATGAAACACGACGAAGATCCAAACCTTGCCACTCTTGTGAACATAAAGATAAAAATTTAAAAGCTTAATCCCATTAGATTTACATACTCAAGCTACTAAATCACGTGACCCCACGCCTGAAGTCGATCGCGTGCTTAGTTGTGTCGTAGTGGTGGAGGGAAACCGGCGAGGCTAAGTGGAGGGATTAAGTGGATCAACCAATAAGCACAACATCAAGCAGCTCAGCGCTTAAAGAAGCTCCCGGTATGCTGACAACCTTCGAAATACAACACCAAACTAGACCAAGAAGGTCAAAGAGGACGAGCCGGCCGCAATGCTCTCGTCGCTGCTAAAACAGAACAAAAATCTACCATGCTGAAAGTCCAAGAGGACGATGGTGGAAGCGGAAGGTGGACCTTGTTCGTGATGATGATGATGATGATGATGATGATCGCCGAATAGTGTGGCTTCGTACGGATTTCCAGAGAGAGAGAGAGAGAGAGAGAGAGAGGAGAAAAGGACGGAAAAGGAAAACTGATACTCGCTTCGCGATAATGAAAGCTTTTTATTTCTATTTGAGGAAGAGCAAGATGCGACTTAATAGAGTCCTATCGCCTACAGTGCGACGGACGCTCAAGCTCAAGCTCAGGATATCCCCGCCTCTCGCCCCAGACCTCGGTCTACATTTTTTTTTCCATAGGACTACATGCTGCCTCCCATTCAACTACTTAAAAAACCCCACTTAAAAACTTACTACAGCAGCACTGAGGGATGTTCAAGATGTCTACTCCTGCGAGCAGAGAGGCCCGGCCGACTTTATCCGCTAGGAACACGGCCCACCCATAGCCTTTGCTTGCCTAAGCATAACATATAACGCATCAGTACCAGTATCAGAAACTAACTTAATTAAGGTAATCAGCCGTCGAGTCCAAACGTAACATCACATAATCGCAATTACAGCAACGATAAGTCTGCAAGTCTCTGCTATTGGTTGATCAGACCCTTATAGACAGGAAAAACAATAGAGAAAAAAAAAAAAGACAAGCAAGCATTACAAAGTTTAAACTTCTCCCTTCCGTTATCTCTCGGAATCTGGGCCCCCCTGTGTTCTGCATTTGATCACGCTACTTTTTTTACACCGTGCCACACTGTGGCATTGCTTGTATTGCGACAATCTCGTAGCAGCACAACTCGCGTTGCAGCTGTTCTTTTTTTTTGTAATATCAACCAAAAGGTCGGCAATAAAAATAAATATTCTCAAACCTCTGTCTAATATCATTGTCATTCCAATACTAGGATTCTATGCACAGTGAAAAAACAAAACCAAGGAGGATAAGCCTCATACACACTGGTTGATACAAAAACTGTCCTGCTATCATCAATTACATTTTGATCTATCAATCATTGTTCATTATATTTAAATGACCAATGTTTTCTTATTGTGGCCCTTCGTGACAACCACAAGGGCCGTTCGTGACAACCACGCAGAGCGGACCCATCTTGTTCTTCATAAAAACAAATGAATTTACCTATATCGCCAACAAAAATAATGAAAGCAACTACATGATTACTAAACTTGTTCGTCAATCACCTATACAAAAGGCGATGGTCTTCTCCTGAATAAAGCGCCACGCCATAAGAAGCGGGTCGCGGCCACCACGCCATAAGAACATGGTCGCGGTCATTTCCATCCCCAGAGTCACGCTTCTTGTCCATTTCGTATCGTCGACCGTTGTAGCGCTACGCGCTAGTCGTCTTCATCACTATCAGTTTGTTATTTTGTTTTTCGCGAACTGCTGGTAGACCACATCCACTGTCGTCAAAGAAATTTTAGAGCTCGGAGCACTTCATTTCTCAGATTCGTTCTCTCAGTATTCCAAGAAAAGAATGGAGGAGGATAACCTGTGGAAATGAAACACAGCGAGCCTTAAAAGTTGACAAGTCATAAAAGAAAATGCAGGCGCAACTTCGTCCGGCATGACGATGCAGCCCTCCTCATCACTCAACTAGGATGAAATTCATTCTTTCGCTAAACTTTGCTACACATATCTACACACGTCGTCCACTGCTGCTAATTTGTTTGCACGTACCTGGCAAGGGAGGATGGCTCCTTGATCTCAAACAACTCAGCCAAGAGCTTACTGTCGAGTCAGTTGTCGATTAGCGCACCAGTCAAGTTTGAGGAAAAAAAATGATAGTGAAAGGAATACGAGTACCAAGTGCGAGCATAGATAGATACAGAAGCTGCCTTATAAACATACGAGAGAGGTTCATAAGTACCTTCTAGTTAATTCTTGTCTGGTTCTGCAGAGACCTCGTCTGAGTGGTTGAGCTTGAGGTTGGTAGCCAAAAGCTCAAATAACATCAGAAACCAAAAGCCGGCGGTGACCTGCAAAATGTGAAAAGTGTATGTGGAAGATGAATGAAGATGAATTCAGTGCTTCTGGAAAACAATGCAAGAATCGATCTGCTAGTTTTTCGCGAGGAGTACCTTCTCAAAGTCAAAAGTTAAAACTGATAACAAAAACACATTAAAGCTTAATATTAGTTTGACTAGAGACAGATACTGCAGTCGACTGGGCACGCAGGCCGGTCACTCTTTTGAATAAAAAACAAACGAGGACACCCTAATACATATTCGTACATAATGTCATGATCGATGATACCGCTCCCAAAATCGCACTTGCAAGCAGATCGGCAGCTAGTTGACGCCGATTTGCTTCGTTACCCACCGCGGCAGGGTGTGCCACTTTCGCATCGCCACCCGACCCTTTCGCGTTGTCTGCCGCCCACTCTTCCCGCGCGCGACGATCCAGCCTGTAGAAGCGTCTCCTTCGGAGTTGGAGTTGCTGGCGCTCCTCATCTGTGGCGCTGTAATATTAGTGGTAAGCTGTAATATATTCCTGTTCTATACGATAAAAGAAACATTGGTACGAAGGAATACCACTAGTAGTGTAGAATGTAGTGTACATCTCAGTGCAGGTGTAGCACCTTCTAGATCCAACCACTCACAAGAATCACAAAAGGGCTCGTTGGAAATCAAAAAGGAAAACCCTGCATTTAGGCTGGCTGCTGGGACTAAATTGGAGCAGTGAGATTCTAGCTACCTTGTTCCGGCGCAAGTGAATCGTCAAGATAGATCGGTCTTAGAGAAGGAAAGATAACGGTTTCACGATTACGCTGATCAAGATATGCCCACACAGGCACGGAGTCATCATCTTCCCACTCTCCACCCCAGGTGCATTGATCTTCTTCGCTGTCGATGTCCTCGCTCTTCTTGCGAGAACTCTTTCTCCGGTCTTCGTTCTTCTTGTTGTTCCCCAGTCCGGGCTCAGCAGTCTCTTGCTGAGGCGGAGCGGTCGCTTTAGTAGTAGTAGTAGTAGTAGTAGTAGTAGTAGTAGTAGTAGTAGTAGTAGTAGTAGTAGTAGTAGTAGTAGTAG